CACTCAAATATCAACAAAAGTTAATATGATAAATTAAAATTTATTCACTCAAACCGTGATAATTTCTCTTATACAATTGAAATGGCAAATAAGTTAATGACACGTCTTTATTTCTATAGATTTCGAATTTTAATTGGGGTTTTGCTCTTGAATCTGCCTAGTGAACAATAGCATTGTTACATTATGTTAACGCTATAATATTTATTGGCAAATTACCAGATACATGGCAAAATATGTTCACTGGTCAACACATAAATACATAATCATGTATGATGTGTGTGTAAATATGTTATCACTCGTCAACACATAAACGCAGTCAGTAAATTCTTCTACCGTTTATATATATAAAAACATTTAATAACAACAAAATCATTAAAAGTATTATTAAATGTCGAAACATATATAACTATTCCTTGGTTATTATATGTTCAAATGTCTCCCCTAATCAAAATTGTTCTACGTACTGATGGCGTTTTTCTTTCTAAAATACAGTGAAATGGTTCTAATAATTTAAAAGAAAAAAAAACTAGTGCCGGCGTACCCTACGTTGTATGGATGTAATGTGATACCCACGTAAAAGACCAAATGATTAGGTATGTTTATCTTCGTCTTTTAAAAAACAACAATTAACAATTAAATATGTTTATAGATAACTGTGACCGATGATCAACAAATCGTCATCGCGAATGGAACCAGGTGATAGTATTTGATAACTGCATAATGGATTAAAAATTGTTTGTTCTCATGTGTGACTTTATCATGTAATGTTGCCGTATTGGTCGGTCGGTATTCAATTTCAGTGTGCACCTACCGTTGATCTTCGTTGTTTGAAACTTCCGTTTAGGTGATCATTCACTACAGTCGAAGATTAACTCGAAGTGTCATTGAGTAATTTTTGATACTGTGTGTAGATTGATATACGCACATACACAACACAGCTGTAACATATTGCACATCATTTTTGTTAAAAACATATTACACATATTTCTATAAAAACACATATTGCACATATATACAATAAAAACTATACAGAGCAAATCGATTTATGATAGTCAAGTAGGTGAATGATTTGTATAGAGCTAAAACATAAAAATTTGACTCGTTCTTTTTTTTTTTGATAAATCATTCCATTCATAATTTTCTTATGATTATTGATTAGTCAATATATTCGTCTTAAATTACAACTATACATCCTATATAACATAAATAAAAATTACAACTATACTTGACTTGACATGATTAATATATTATGGATTATAGCTTTGAAATTTCCGTTTATATGAAAAATATAGAATCCGCTATATTTTAAAATATTTGTTCGCCAAATTCAGCCTTAAACCATCCAATGCAAAGTTTATCATTTCTTTTATGAATTATGATCACATAATAATTATGCAACAACGTGGTTCTCAAAATCAGCAGAGTGGAAAACTGTAGTTTTTCTTTAGATTGACTGTAGCGTTAAATAGTTTAAAATTTGATTTTAATAAAAATGAAGGTTACTCTACTTAAAAGGCAAAATAATAATAATAATAAAGACTGTTGAAGATATTCTTATTGTATACAATGCATCGATCGTTCTCACCAATAATCAAATAAGTTTGGGATCTCATGCTGTCAGATAGAATGTTTAATTATTCAAAAGCTTCCGTATTGGTTATTCACTTATTTGATTGAAATTAATGGGATTTTTTAAATAGTGGGATAATACCCATCTTAATAATGCAGGGAACTACATATTCTCTCTTTATATATTTTATATCAATTTATCATTGCATGACTGAGCGACGATGTTAGAATTTCATTAAAATAATTTATTGCATTTAGATTTTTGATACGCCATGATTCGGGAAAAGGAGGAAATTAGAGACAAATGACTTTAATTTGCGGGTAAATAAATAAAACTAATCTAATTGCGCGTCATTATCCAAGCCACACAGCTCTTTCTACAGTTGGAACAATCGAGCTGAGCTGGCACATTTAAGGGACCCACTCTTTTGAACCATTGGGCTGTCACGGCCCACCTAATATCGTCGTCTTCGAAGAATCCAACGACATAGACGGTGCCACGTGTTGATCATATTAGCGGCCAAGATTATAACCATGTCATCAAAATCTAGAGCGAACCACCTGTCTCGGGCTAGCGTCAAAGATCCTACAAAGATTACGTTCCTCTGAGAGTCTGAGTAATCACGTGCAAGTGTGCAACGGCCTTGTTCCACACGTGCGACTGTTAAGATTATTTAACCGTTTTTTTTTTTTTTTGAACTTCCGTTTTTTTAATTAGTTCAAGAGTAATAGGACTATAGGAGTATAGTAAAATCAACTAACCATCGAGAGTATTTAGAAATTGAATGAGTTGAAAAAAAAACAAAAACAATCCACTAGTCGTAAATTAGATAATACGTGTCCTTACACAATAAATTTGAATGGATAATATTCTTAACGATAGTTATATTTCTGTTGACTCAGGAAAAAATAAATTTATAAATGATTAAATATAAGAAGATTGAAAAGAATTTACAAGAGAAAAAAGACAAAGAAGATGGATGACCGGGATAAGTCAGGTAGCCGTCCGCCGACCTACGACGTACGCATCATAATAGCAAAGAGACTCACAAGTCCCTTCTTCCCAAATCCAAATCTTTATAATTTCACTAGACTACCAAAAATATTACTATTTGATTATATAGCTCAATCTCACTTTTGTTTCACATCAATCTGTTTTTCTTCTTCTTCTTCAATCAGCCATATAATTATAAATTTTTGACATAGTATTAAGATGAGATTTATAACTTATGCAACACTAAATAGTACTATAACTTAGTAATTTCATTTTAATGAGACGAAGAAACTCATCTAAAACTTTTGTTTGGTGCTTCTTCTATTATACACTTTCCTGTGACAAACTAGTGAAGAAAAAAGCAATTGTTACGTGTCATTCACTCTTCTCTCATCATATTTGCTACGAATCAAACAAGTACACAAAAAAAAAAACATAATTTTTTGTCGGGGATAAAAGAGTGTTCGAAACCGGTTGATTCAACTATGGTTAGAATCGGTACGCTTTTTGTGTAAACAGTAGTTATGACCGTAGTGTCGTCCTTATTACACGCAACTAGGTTATTAACTCTTGGTCACACAAACCACAATACGAATTGTATTTATGGGACTGGTGACGTACGCAGCTAAAGCATGGGAGAGAGAAGCTCAGATTTCGTTTGTTTTGAAGGAGAATCAAAGCCAATCCTCAATAAGCCTTACACCAACGTCTTGTCACTCCAGGTTTTACCAAACTCATCCTTCCTCTCCGTAATTAATTTAAACATTCACAGCTTTTGTAAGTATCTGATTTCAACGTGCGGGATGTTTTTTTCTTTCTTTTGACTCGATGTCAGAACCGCAGCAAATCTTGTGGTTAATTACACATGCGGGTGTAATTCAATGTACGTAAATGTTTTGTTTTCCAGTAATAAGTAAGTATATATATTATGTTCTGTGTGTCGTCGTTCCATTCTGTATTTAATAACGATCTATACAGAAATGTGGCACGTACTAATGTTCAATGAATATAGAAAAGTAGTACAGTCGTATTTAAAGCGTTGTCCATTTTTTAGGTTTATCTGAGTGATTTTTAAATGGAGAGAGAGCACGTCGAACTTGAAGTTCCAATACGTATGTATTTTTCTTATTTTGATTACGCTATACGTATATTTATTGGACTTGCGTGGTTACGTATTAATGGGTTTTAAATTTATGAGAAACAACCAATACGTCTCTTTGTCGTGTAAGCTAGAAAGGGAAAGCCCGTGCTATTAGTTTGAGTATTTTCTTTCTTACTTTTCTCCTTCATTATTTTTTCAATATACGAAACAGTTTCTTTTTATAAAGAAAGAATATAAAAGTGAAAAGGAATGCTTTATTATCAGATTAAACAGTCATACGTCTTCATCGTTGGCAGAGATTTATCCCGATTTATTTTGATATTAGCTGCCTTCTATTATTATTTTTGTAATTCACAAGATTATATTCTGTATACTTAATATAAGACAGATTAGTCTGCTAAGTACATCAGATGATTCGGGGAATTTAATATTTATTTTCGATGCATAGTCGTGAGGTCGTGTCCATAATTACATATTTGTATTGAAAACGTTTACAAGTCGTGAGGTCGTGTCCATAATTACATATTTGTATTGAAAACGTTTACAACCCTTCATAAAGTTCATTTGAAAATTGATTCCCCCAAATTGAATTATCACATACACTGTCTTCATCAATATATATAAATTGCAAATTTCAACATTTATAACCTAATGCATTGTATATGTTGTATTAGTAATGTCGTCCACTGAATTATCACATACACTGTCTTCATCAATATATATAAATTGCAAATTTCAACATTTATAACCTAATGCATTGTATATGTTGTATTAGTAATGTCGTCCACTGAATTAAACATAATAATTTGTTGCATGCTAGACATGCGTACGTATAAAGCATTCGTATTCAGTTTTATCTATAACTCTTCTATACATTTTTAGAAACGATTTTGGGTAAAAAAGACCAAAATTTCGATTTTGAGTAATCAACTCTACACCTACCACTAAACATGTTTCAAATAAAGAAAACATGTAAACCTATGCTGTAATGTTTTCAAACGAAGATTGTAATATTTTTTAAAGCTTATTATCACAGTTTCCATAAATTTATCTGAATAATCAAATAAGTTATAAGAATATTTTTTTTGTTTTGATATATATGATTATTGATCATTAAATACGAGGAGCAAGATGTTGAAGGTTTCTAAGAAGAAAAGTGGTTTGCAGGCTGATGGAGAGGAGAACATTTACAACCTTTATATGGTTACTTTGAAATTGAATTATCATATACATTGACTTCATCAAAATATTAAACCACATATATAAATGGCAAATTTGCAATATCAACATTTATAACCTCATGCAGTATAAAAACGCCTTAGGTTATATAAAAAGCCTTAATCTTCATTTTGGTATTTTACTGTTGAGAGATTGAGATTTGTAAGGATTTCTACGTGGAAATTTTAATTGGACCTATACTTTATAGACTACATAATAATCTCTAAATGGCTTTCACTAATATGGCCCATAAATTACTAAAGGAAATTGGAACAAAACCAAATCAATTTATGGTTTTCCCATTATTACGCAAAAAAGTCTACTTTAACTTTTAAATCCCAAAATAAATCAAACTTTGAGAGAGAGATAGTTCATGAAAGTTTTTGCTTACTGGGACATAGGTTCGTTATTAACGTTCTTGAGAGAATCTACGAGATGATATTGGTATTGCTTAAGCGTCATGACCTCATCATGCAAAGCGATGAAATTGGTCTTCATAATATCTTCGCACTCTTTGATGATTGTCTCGTCAACTTCTTCTTTCATTAATCTCTGTCTTAGTTTATCGGTCGAGACTGAGACATCAGTCGTCGTTGCCATTAGCTCTTCGTTTGACATTCGTGGAAACGTTTCTTTAACAGCTTGCAGGGCTTCGATCCAAGCCGTACGATCTTCGTTTGTTGCAGCACGTAAATGCAGACTCTTCGTACCGGTGAATACGGTGAATCTCTTGCCGTCTGATATGCTTTGTCCGATCCTTGAGACCTGTATTTTTAAAACAAAGAGTCAATCACATATGCAATTGGGACTCGATTTATCAAATAAATAAATGTTAGGGGTACATCTGAAATATATTTAAAATACTGGAGCCCTTTCAAATAAATCAAAAACCTTGGCCGAGAGATTTATTTTCCTTGGCTATGAAAACCACATATGCAATTGGGAGGGTATTTGATCATTTAAAAATAAATAGGGCAGATTTGAAATTTTTCATAAAAGAGTCTTAAACAAACCATTTTCCAGATTTGCAATTTGGTTGTGTTTGTATGTATATTTTTAAAGTTTGGGGTATATTTCAAAAGTTTAGAAAATGCTTAGGCATTCAAAAAATAAATCAAAACCTTGAGGTGAATTTGACCGAGCGGTTTTCCGGGACTATGAACATCACCGCGTTGGCTGTGGCGGCAGATGAACCGTAATGATTCGCCGCCGATCAGTTTAGATCGCCGATCCATCTCGACGGAGAGAGAGATCTTATCCGGACCGTGGATTCTGTAATACGACAAAACACCGTCCTGGAGGACAAACCACCGCCGTTTCCACCCTTGGCCGTAGTTGACCCATTTGTAGAGGGTTCCGGCGATGCCGTTCCCCGACGGCGGACGATCCTCGTTCGTACGAGGACCAGCGGAGAGGCTATACCGGAGATCGTGGTCGCGATTGGTACTAGTCGAGTGTGGGATGTTTAACGAAGCGGATCGGTGCGTCGTTAGGTTGGATTTTGCGGCCACTGGAGAAGACATTGTTAGGTTCCTTAGGAACGAATGAATAAATTTAGGTTAAGGGATTCAACCGGCGGTTGAAAAAAGTGAACGGAGGTTATGATTAAAAAAAAAGCTATGGAGAGAGAAAAACAAGGAGAAAGTTGCGAGGTTTACGTAGGACGCAAGGTAGATGAACAAAAAAAACCTTTTAAAATTGGAAAAAAATTACAATTAGGTTGAGTGTGACGTACATATGTGTGGTGTGAATAAAAAATGAAATGATACACGTCCTAGTAAAAACTGATAAACCGACGTCGTTTGTTTGCATATCGCTATTAGCAATAGATTTCTAGGAAAAGGGAGTTTCACAGAGGAAGATGCAATGGAAGTGGAGTTTACTACTATTTCGTTAACGGAAGATACGAAGGAGACTGGATCAATGGAAGATACGATGGCTATGGTAATGGAGTGTTGGTCTAAAGGAAGTAAGTATAAAGGACAGTACAAGCAAGGACTTAGACATGGTTATGGATTTTACTGGTCTTTTTACTCCGGATACTCTTACTCCGGCGAATGGTTCAACGATCAAAGCCATGGCTGTACAAACCTGCGCTGATAGAATAAAATACTGATAAACCGACGTCATGTGTGGATTTGATAAAACTGTAAGGTTTTCATCAAAGACAAGCACCCAAAATGATACATTCCATTACACAAGAAATCAAACAGGGTATTATATAAGCAAACATCTCCATTACAAAGCTAATAATGAACATACCAATTTACAGAATCCAAAAAACCTCCGAATCAGATAACTAACCCCTTAACTTGTTTTCTACTTCAAGCCGCCGTAATCGTTCCTGGAGTTGAACACAAAGTTCTAGCAGATCGTTTCTTGGAAGAGGAACAGGGTCTATAAGCAGTTGTTCAAGCTGAGTAATGGCTTTACTGTCATCACTACCAGAAGTTTCAGCAATGTTGCTGAGCAGTTTAATGCTTTTGACTTGAGGCTCCGGTGGGATGGGTGGGGCAAGGAAAGGGTGTTGGAGAAGCTCAGGGATTCTCCATCTCTGGTTACGGTCCCAAGCTAGACATTTCTTCATTAGGTCGACAAGCCACGGGTTTGAGAGCTGATTGTAAGTGATCTCGTGGTTTGGATCGGTTATGACTTTGAACTTTGCCCAGAAGGTCTTGTAATCTGCAAAAGGTGTTCTTCCATACACCATCTGATACAGTATGCAGCCAAGTGACCAAATATCTGACGGCCTCCCACATTTTATAGTGTTTCCATTTTCATCGCTCTCGTTGCACATGAATGCCTCTGGTGACATGTAACTCAAAGTCCCCACCTGCCGCGCAATACCATATCCCATTGGTATCAGTAGCATGTAATTCAAAAAGAGATGTTTGTATTTTGAAAAGAGGATGATGATGACAAAAACAGAAAAAACATTGGGAGGTTTTTACCTGTGAGTCTCGTTGAATATTCGTAGTGTCGCTATTGATGGCCTTGGCGATACCAAAATCAATAAGCTTTAAAAAGCCTCTGACGAGAAGGAAATTTGCGGGTTTCAAATCAGAGTGCACGATGCGTTCCTCGTGTATGGTGTTCACAGCTTGGAGTATTTGCTGCAATCGTTTACAGTTAAGTATAAGAATCAGTTCCTCTTGTCATATCATTGTAACAAGCCGAATGAAACAAGTTGATGGGTTGTGTAAGAACCTGCCAGTAGAACCGAAGCCAGTTTTCATCAATTGTCCTGTCAGATCCTTCGATTTCCTTCCATTTTTGGGACAGCATGTGAGCCAAATCAATTTCTCCATATTCTAGTACCATATATATGAATCCATCGTCTTTGACTCTTCCATCTTTGTTAATCATTGTGCCATTCAAAACCTCCTGGAGTAAAGTCTTATCCGTGACCTATTTGCAAAAGAGAATTTGTGTTATGGTTGTGATGATGGACATTGTCAGCCATGAATTTACATATCACAACACGAACTAGAAGGAAGTACCTCATAGTCTACAAGCTGAATGATGTTGTTTTTCCCTTTCAGCTTCTTCAGATATCCAATTTCTTGGCAAAACCCATATGCTGTAGCATAGTCACGACCCTTAAGCTTGATTTTTTTAAGAGCATATATGGTACAATCTGAAGAAATAACCTTGTGGACCTCACTGCTTCCTCCACTTCCTATCTTGCCAAGCCTCTGATAGAGCTTCCCATTGACTTTAAAGAACAAGTCTGGATCATAATTTCTTTTACGAGGCGCTGATGTCCCTTTGCTGCTTGCAACCTTTTCATGCTTATCTGATTTTTGTGGCTGCGAGCTAACACTAGTAAGCAACTCATCGGGTTGAGGAGCCTTAGCTATTCCGTCACTCCCATGACTGGAAGATACCACTGGAACTTCAAGTTCTGTAGAGCACTGTTGAAGCTTAGACATATCTGTCTCTTTTGTTCTTACTTCTGGATCAATCGTTGAGGCTGGCATCTCAGATAAAGCTGCATCCTTATTGGCATTCAGAATGTTCCTGTCCTTGGAAGAAGGATGAAGAGAACGCAAGTTCCCTTGAGTTTGAACAGCATGGGGATTTGCATTCGTATCAGCCTCTACATAAGAACGAGAGACTTGGGTAGTCGCATTTAACATAGGAGCTGAAGACGAATGGATTAGCGTAGTCGTGGCACATGATGACCCCATGGCAGAACACTGAGATGAAGGTTGATTCAAGAAGTTGCGGAATTCTCCTAGCTGGCCCTGCATCTTTGCCAGTGAAGATGAAACCTTGTATTCAGATTTCAAACTGATCTCAGAATCAACAGATTGGAGATTCTGATGCCTTGATTCAGTACGAGCACCAGGGTTTGATGCTTCAGCCTGATTGGTTGCATCCCACTCCATATCTTCCAGAACAAAGTGAGATTTTATTAGATTCTTAGCTTCAACCAAACGGACAACAACCATGCCCTGTGTGAAGAGCTTTCTAAGTATTTACATACAACAGCAAAAGCAAACAAAAGGAGAGGGCATTACCATGAGATGAGAGCGTGCTGCCAGTGAGAGACTGGACCTTCTTGTGTGCATTTTCGTTCGGATGCCCTGAATCCAGATTGCTCTCTAAACCAGCAAAATCAGGTTTTGGCAAATTCATCTGTCTCTCTGGTGGTTTGAAATCCTCGCCAAACATGTTACCAATAGTTCCTGAAACCGACGGTGGCGTAGTGGACGCAGCATTCTCGAAAGATTCACCAGCAGCAGGAGTGGCTGAGCTTCTTGTATCATGTGTCAAAGTGTTGGCAGCAAGACTCTGACTCAGGGAAACAACATCTTGAGGTCTCTGGCTTCTTGAAGGTTGTCGCTGCGGAGCAACACTTCGCCGAGGGCCTATGGTGGTCGTCTGCATTTTATCTGTAAAGGAAAGCTATAAGAGACCCTTTTTCAACTCACTCAAGCAAGGATTTTTCAGCAAAAAACAGCTAAAATAAGAGCAATTGGGTGTCCTCAGAATCGTGAGCTCGTCTCCATAATCAAAAGTTTTAACTAGCAATATCATATCACCCACACCAAAATACACAAACTCAGTAACCTAGAGATTGCCGTGGAATGGCGAATTAGACAACCTAGCGGAACTAAACTTTCCCGAAAAAGCCCTAAATCGAAAGGAGATGAGAGAAATGCAAAAACCCAGAGAAACCATAAATTAGCAAAATGAAAGCTTCAGACATATAAATTTCTCTTCGCGGAAACCCAGAGAGAGAGAGAGATTACTGAGTGGGCGGTGGCGCTTGAAAGCGGCTTGTAGATGGCGTAAAAGTTCAGGGGAGGATGAAGAAGACGACGATTCCTGGTTTAAGATGGAGCGGACCATACTCTTCGGAGGTTTATCCGGTGGGACCGGAAGGTCAGCCTCCCTGTCCATGGCTGGATCTCAACTGCATCTCCGAATTGGCTACAGCCTTGATTCCCGAACAACAAAGAGACGGCAGATTCAATCTTCAATATCTGGTGATTAACCCAAGCTTAAGGCTCCGCCAATTACTTTACGCCATGGCCGTCGAAGAAGAAACCACACACACTCTCTCTCTCCAGTGTATTGCACAAAAATGGTTTAAAATTCGATGGAGGAAAGGAGACACCGAGAGAGAGAGAATGTGTTGAGATTCGAACTCCCCCTATTGCCGCTTCTCTTTCTCTCTTTGAGCCACTTGAAAATTGAGTTGCAATTTATTATAATTAAGGTCCATTGGGCCTCTGGTTGTGTTTTTTTAGGAAGGAAAAAATCCAATAAACCACTTACAAAGGCCCAATGGACCTAATTAATAGATACATTTCGCGGCGAGCAGATCATTTTCTTTGGTTTAGCTAATTTTTGGGCTAATCTTTTTCGGTTTATTAGAACTATCTAAAGTTTTATTTTGTATACTCAAAAGTGTAGAAGGCCCAAATATTTTTATGTTAGAAGGCTCAAAAATTTTATGTTAGAAGGCCCAAATTTAAAATTTTGTGTAAATTTAAATGTTAAAGGCCATATGATTATCATCCTTCGAGGTTATAATTATACCATTGGTGATGATGGCGCTGGTTTGCGGAGGAACCTTGAACTCCTCTGCCGCGAATTTCAGAACCGCCGTGAACGGAGCTCCTTCCGGAACGCTGAATCTGGAAAAATTAACCGATCATACACTTTGAAAGGAAGCTTAGGGTCTGAAGTCAGAGTGACTTTGAAGGAGACTTTTCCACCAGTGGCCATTTTCCGGCGAACGGAGGAGATCAAGCTTGCACGGTGAAAATGGCTGAGAAGTTCCCTGCACTTTGAGTTTCTTTACTTATAGATTCAAACTTATTGTGTGGCAGGTAAATCTGACGGGAATTCCACATGGACTAAGCTTCCAAGAAACAAAAGAGCTATGGGTTCGAGCTGATCTTGATGGAAATGGTGTGTTCGACTATGAAGAACTCAAGGTAAATTAATGTAAACAAAGTTGATGCGGCAAAGCGGGAATCACAAACTGATAAAATGATTCAATAAAGATTGCTTTGTTTTAAAAACGTCAATCAAGACTCTGATGCGTGTCTGTGTATGTATAACGTCAGAAAATTTGGAACATGACGATGATGAATCAATCTGGAAACTGCAAAGAGAGTGTGATGGAGAGTAGGAAAGAAGAAGGAGAAGAAGAAGAAGAAGCGATTGGATTGAAAGTGAAGAAAGCGGTTCTGTTTCCGGAAGGATTGTGGCCAGAGAATTACAGCCTCTCGGATCATGCTTGTCTCACCCTACACTTCTCTCCTGTCTAAATGCTCTGTAGCTAAGTTTTTATTGTAAACCTTTGCTCTTGTAAAAATGTACAAGAGAGATTGAGATTTGCAGCGACAAGTTTTGAAATTTGTATCGCTTTTGAGATTAAGATACTCAACTTGGGTAATAGCATCACTGTTTCTGATAAATTATCAAAGATTTTGCATTTTCCATTTATACGTTTTGTCATGAAGCCACAGACTCAATTTTACAACGGTAAGAAAATAGAGAGAGCGTTAAAAAATAGCTGTTGTGAAACAAATTCAAGTTGCTTATAAAAGACCCATGCCACAAACAACAAATTTAAAAATCCAATGATTTTCTTTTTCTTGTTTCTTTTCGTTTCTTTGCTCTGTTTTCGTCAAAATGGCTGAAATGAAGAACAACATTTCCGTGAATCATCCCTCTTCGCCTTCTGATTCTGGTAATTTACTCAGCGATCTCTTTAGGATTTATTTGTCATAAAGCTTTGATTTTTCGCTCAATTGGATCTGGTTTCTCCGATAATGGGTTTTCCTTTCCCCATCGCAAAAAAAAAAAAAACTGACTTTGTTGTGTAATTACTTGAACTTATTTGCTGCGTATGTTAGGAGAAGATGAAGATCCTTGAATTTGTTTGCTGCGCATGTTTATTCTTCATAAAGCTTTGATTTTTCGCTGTACTCGATCTGGTTTCTCCGATTGCTTTTAGTTTTAACTGTTATTTGTTTCTCCGATTATGGGTTTTGACTTTGCTGTGTGATTGATCATAATTTTGGAATTACTTGAACTTATTTGTTGCGAATGTTAAGAGAAGATAAAGATCCTTGAAATTGTTTGCTGCATATGTTTATTCTTCATAAAGCATTGATTTTTCGCACTATTCGATCTGGTTTCTGAACATCAATAAGAGTTGGGATTAAGTTATAACTGTTAATTGTTTCCCGATTATGAGTTTCCCTTACCCGATCGTAAAAAGAAAAACCTGTCTTTGTTGTGTGATTGGTAGTAATTTCAGAAATTCTATGTGGCTTCGCTGGAATTAAGATTAATATTACTTAACTTGTTTGTTGCGTATGTTAGGAGAAGATAAAGATCCTTGGCTTAGGAATTGTGGCGATGAGTTTCTGCAGGACACATTACCTTTTGAAGACGATACCTGGATCAATGATCGATGAATATCCAATGAATTTTCCAGAAAGAGGTCAAATCCGATTCTCACAATTTCTTTTTTCTTGTTTTTTTTTGTTTGATTTGGATTGTTTACTCTGTTTTTACAAACAAGATCACACGAATCTGGATAAAGGATATTGATTAGTTTCTGGGCATCTCGATGCTATGTTATCTGAAATGTGCAGCTTCATATCCAACAAGAAATGGCTGCTTCAAGTGCTCTACCCGCAAACTACGTCCTCAAGCGGCCAAGCCACCTCCACACTCTCTGGTATGATTTCGTTTATTTGTTTCTTCAAATCAATTGGAGTTAAAATGTCATTTTGTTTTGGTTAGGTTATTAATTTTTGCCTCTTATTTTAGGTGATATGATAATAACTCTTTTTTTTCACTAAAAGTAATAGGGTTTTAATAAAGGCATTAGAAAATTAAAATAATGGTCATACAGTTTTTTAAAAAAACTAGTATTCTTAGTGTTTAAAAATTTTTATTTCTTATAACCATTTTTATTATTAGTAAATTAAAGAAATTTGATTGCTAAGTTGCATATTTTGTGAAAATACACCGGACATTACATACAGTCATTTGACTGTTAGAGATGTTATATCTTCAACATATTTTCATATTATACTGTAAATTTTAGTAATTAAATTTCTACTGATTTGCTAATAAAAACATTTTCTCTTTTTAATAATCAAAAATAAATTTTTAATATTATTTAAATAATAATCATTAGAAGTATTCAAAAAATTATTATTTTTAGATTTTTATTTTTTTATCACCGTTTAAGTTATTAGATAAATTAAAAAATTTTGATTACTAGATTACATATTATGTGAAAACACACCGAACATTGCATCCAATCATTTGACCATTAGAGTTGTCATATGTTCAACATGTTTTCACACCATATTGAAAATTTTAGTAATCAAGTTGCCATTAATTTGCAAATAAAAATATTTTCTCTTTTCTGCTAATCGAAAATAACTTTTTAATATTACTTGAATAATAATCATCAGAAATTTTGTTTTAAAATAGACATTTTAAAATTTTTGTTTCTTATCACTCTTTTAATTATTAGATAAATTAAAAAAAAATTGATTGCTAGATTGCATATTTTGTGAAAACACACCGAATATTACATCCAGTCATTTGACGGTTAAATGTGTCATATGTTCAACATGTTTTCACACTATATTGTAAATATTAGTAATCAAGTTTCTATTGATTTGCTAATAAAAATATTTTCTTTTTTTAATAATCAAAAATAACTATTTAAATTATAATCATTAGAACTTTTTAAAAATTAATATTTTTAGATTTTTGTTTCTTATCACTGTTTAAATTATTAGATAGATTAAAGAAATTTGATTACTAGATTACTTATTCTTTGAAAACACACCAAACATTGCATTCAGTCATTTGACGGTTAGAGATGTCATATGTTCAACATGTTTTTACACCATATTATAAATTTTAGTAATCAAATTTCTATTAATTTGCTAATAAAAAAATTTTTTTTACTAATCGAAAATAGATTTTAATATTACTTGAATAATAATCATTAGAATTTTTTAAAAAAATATGTTCGGTTTGTTTCTTATCACTCTTTATCACTTTTTTAAAATCATTAAAACATGTTTGTACACTAATCAAAAATAGCTTTTTAATATTACTTGAATAATAATCATTAGAACTTTTTTAAAAAAATAGTTTTTTAAAAAAAATTGTTTCTTATCACCATTTAAATTATTAGATGAATTAAAAAAATTTGATCACTAGATTTCTGTGAAAACACACCGAACATTGCATCCAGTCATTTGATGGTCAGATGTATTATATGTTTAACATGTTTTTACACCATATTGTAAATTTTAATAATCAAGTTTTTTCTAATTTGTTGATAAAAATGTTTTTTTCCTTCTAATAATAAAAAATAACTTTTTAATATTACTTGATCATTAATCATTAAAACCTTTTTTCAAAAAAATAGAATTTTTAAATTTTTGTTTCTTATCACCGTTTCTTATGTTCAACATATTTTCGTATCATATTATAAATTTTAGTAATCAAGTTTTTTTTTTAATTTATTAATAAAAATATTTTCTCTTTTTAATAATCAAAATAGCTTTTTAATATTATTTGAATAATAATAGTTAGAACCTTTCTGTCAAGAAAAAAATCATTAGAACTTTTTTAAAAATTAGTATTTATAGTTTTTTGTTCTTATCACCGTTTAAATTATTAAAAAAATTAAAAAAAAAGTAATTGTTAGATTGCATATTCTGTGAAAACACATCTAATGTTGCATCGAGTCATCTAACAGTTAGATGTGTCATATGTTCGACATATTTTCACACTATATTTAAAATTTTAGTAATAAAAATAGCTTTTTAATATTACTTGAATAGTAACTTAGAACATTGCATCTAGTCGGCAATTATTTGAGGGCAGTCATTTGACCGTTACATAGCAACTTGAAACGTATTTTACCCATTTATATTGTATAACTTGAAACGTATTTTACCCATTTATATTGTATAACTTGAAACGTATTTTACCCATTTAGGCTATGGGATGATTGGGCCTCTTTTCGCGTAAGCCCAAACGGTAATGTGAAAGAAGAAAAAGCCATATAAGTTAGTGTAATGTGCTTCTTCTACTGTAGTAGTGAATGGTGATCACCGAAGTCTCTCTCCCGTATCTTCTTCGTCGTCGAGTTTGCCACGACCACTTAAGGTTACAAATCACCTTAATCAACATTAATTTTTTATTGGTTCAACGAATTAATTCACACATGTTAATTAAAAAGACAAACAAATTAAAAAATAAGAAATAAATTACACACGACACGTAATATCGAATGGAAAAAAGTTTGTCACGTATATTTAGCCTACAATTGTATGCTTTAAGATAACATAAAATTCATACTTTTTTAACTAATGGTATATGATTCCATTGACCGGAAGTAGCGAGAAGACTTCCGCTATGACGTCGTTTAGCCAGTGATGGTGACGATGCAATCGCTTAGTTTTAAATATTCTTTTAAAGTGAAACTTTATGATAATGATTACTTGCTTTCGTACCCATAATGTTCCTCAAACGCAAATATTTGACAAGAATTAACAACAGACTCATATACATCTAAGTTTGCATTCATAGTGAAGAAGCATACTCTGTTTGATGAACATGAATAATACCGAGACATATATGAGTTTAACCAAAACGGCGAAACCCCACCCTTAAAGGAGTAGCACATATTTATTCAAAGAGAAAAAAAAAAAGTTGTACAATAAAACATTTCAACATGTTAAATTTTTTAAAGTTTTACTCAATTCCTTACAACATTCAAGGAGCGATCACAAACGCAGCTCCAACTCTATCACGCGGGATCAGTCTTAGCTCAGAGCCATGCTTCAGGAACACGTTTCCTGAGAGACAACATTCACAAACACACCACATACATTATTAACATCCGAAAGCATGATCGTGAAATGCAAACACCGTTAAACGAACAATTGAAATGATCCAGTGAAACCTAACTATATGTATAGATAATTCTAGTCCCGGTTTCCAATGGCCAATGAAGCCACTTAGAGACTGACAACAATCGGCTTACAATTTCACTGGAGATGAGTTGGACCAAAAAAGAAAATGCACACTAGCAAGAATGATCTTTCTACGAGAAAGAAAAGTGGATTTTGCAGAAGCATAAAAGATAGGAATTGAGTGAAAGGCAATCAAAACAAGTCAAAAAAAGTAAAGGAATTTGAGATACCTGCGCTCTGTTGAGGATTGATCCCGATCCCATCTGCACACATTAATACACATCACATCAGAAAAAAATCAAAGAATGCTAAAGTCTATTCAAATTGAGACAATAAGAAAAAAACTGAGACCAAGAGCTTCTTGCATGACATCAAATGTCTAAGAGAATTCTCATGACAAACATATGAACATAAGAATCAATGAAACTCGAGAAAGGAACACAATGGTTTTCTAAAAGTTTGATGAGTCTCTTTTGTTCAAAGCTAATTATTCCTTTCTACATCTTCTTGCACAGGAAAAAAGCTGAGGGAAAAAGTTACATGCACATTAAAATTTAATGGTTTAAAGAGAATTCATGTTCATCAGTGAAGGAAATATCTGAAATTTATAAGCTCATTCCTTGATCTAAGGGAACACAGTTTGTTCATAATTAGATGAGAAGAGTTTTCAAATTCAAAAATCAAGAGGATAAGAAAAGGCCTAAATTCACCAGCTAATAGATTCCGAATCATATGAATATCATCGAGGTTTTAATTATACCATTGGTGATGATGGCGCTGGTTTGCGGAGGAACCTTGAACTCCTCTGCCGCGAATTTCAGAACCGCCGTGAACGGAGCTCCCTCTGGAACGCTGAATCTGGAAATCAACCGATCGGAAAACAACACAGAGATCAATCACAATTCACAAGCAAACCAAACGCGTATTTATATACGGAAATCGATAAAAAGGTGCATACACTTTGAAAGGAAGCTTAGGGTCCGAAGTCAGAGTGACCTTGAAGGAGACTTTTCCACCAGTGGCCATTTTCCGGCGAAGGGAGGAGATCAAGCTTGCACGGTGAAAAATGGCGTTTTCTATTTCTCTTTATTTCCTCGCGTTTCAACGACGCATATAATTACCACCTAACCACGAGAGAGGGTTTCCACATAAATTTGGGTTTCAGAATCGGCCCATCTTTTAAAGCCCATTTCTTAATCATTATCAAGTTTAATTACATTTTAACCTCACTAATGTTGATCTAAAGGTTTTAAGAATTCTTCTTGGACCCCAGAGTGTTATTATACATAGGATTGCAAATTATGTGTGTATCTCTGTTCTTCATCTTTTCTTTTCACACCCAAATCAACCTTGAATTTACATTACAATTACACATCCAAACTAATGAAAATAAGCAAACCAGGAATTTTCCGGAAAAAAAAAAAAAAACTTGTTTAACTAAGAGTCGCGAAATTGGATGGCTATATATAATATATAACATTAGCTAAAAACAACAAGAGACAACAACATCAATACAACCCACAATCTCCCAATCATGATCCTGAATCCACCAGAACCAGAACCATCGCTGCATATCAACTTGTTATCATGGTACGTGCACACCTGCTTCTTCCTATACACATGAAACAACATCAACTCAAATAAAAATTACAGGAAAAAAAATTAGAAAATTCAGTATTAATCCCAAAGATCGTTTTGGTCACGTTTAACTCTGCACTTGTCGTTACAAATTAATATTTAATGAATTAAGGTCGTTTTTTTACATTTAAAAGAGTATACTTGGATAAGACGCAAACCTGGAGGAACAGAAAGAGATGACGTAATCAGTGCCGGAACACGTGAAGATACTGGTCGGATCATCGTAAGCGTAGCTGTAAGCAGTAGGACAAGCTTGCTTGAAGATTTTGGAGTAATAAGTTGGTTGACACACAACAGGATTCCCATAAACTCCTCTGCAGCAATATTCATCTCTATCGAACACATCACAAGCACTCCTACACGATATCACTTTTCCGTTTGATCTCACGGCGAGCTCCCGCGGACACTGCGGCCTCAAATCGGCGATGCAACCGGCCACGCTGCAGTTTCCTTTCCCGTTCATCGGAGTCACCGATATCGGGAGATTGAATCCGTCGACGAGGCTCACGTCGTAGAAATCCAAGTTGGCTAATGTGAACTCGGCGAGTGAAGCCGGTGGTTTTCCGGAGGCGGAGCATTTTAGGGTCGAGCCGCATGAACCGGTTTCACAGGTTCCGGTTCCGGTTTTGTCGAAATTGCAACCGGTTCGTCCCCAGATTCGCCCTGACCAGCCCACTGGTGCGTTGAACACGATGGATTGGCCCGGTTTGAGCTCGAATCCACCACCGTTGAAGTTCTCTCCGGGAGTAATCGCCGGCCAGATTATTTGGTTACATGAGTTCACGATCGTGAATACTCGAGCTGATTCGGACCATTTTGTCCCTGGGTATTATGAAAGTTACACGAGTTATATAATCATTATTCAAACCTTACTCTTTTATGTAAATGAAGATATGAAACACTAAATATTTCCAAGAAAATCATACAATTTGCCAGATAAAGATACAAAGTAGAAGAAGAAAAACAATAGAGAAGAGGGTTTCTTATGGGTTTAGAATTATTTGAACTCATTTAACTTGATTGGTGGATTAATTTGCTTTTCAAAAAATTTCAACGTTATGTGATTTATTGATGAAATATTTTTCCTAGTATTTGGCAAAACAAATATCATTTTGTAGTGTTATTTTTTAAGAAAAGTAAAATGGTTGTCATCTAATGTTTGGATCTCGAAATACATGACGAATACATGTGTAAGTGAATATATATACAGACAATCACGATTCGAAATGTATATAAAGATGAACTGAATTGTTACCTGATAATAGTGTGAGAAATAGTAACAAGATCCTTGGTGAAAAACTGAAACGAATTGTCATCTTTAATGAACAAGACTTATCGATCAAAAATGTTCAACTTTTTAGTTCGTTTTACGGATAATTATTGAATTGAGGTTGCCTGTTTTAAGGGAAGAAGAGGGAATAACTTGCATAGAGAGTCTATGTATCAAATTATAATAATCGTTCTTTAGTAGTGTAAATCCCAAAACAAGTAATTACGTTCTTCTGTACGTGTGTTTCAAATAAGGTTCCTTGTTTCGGAATTTGGGAAAAGTTACTGTTATTCTTTTCCTGATGCTTTCATGCAAGTATTCTTTGGGAATTGGGATGGTTTTTTGGTTAAGGTAACCAAGTCCAAAAGGTTGTGATTAGTTATTACTTATAAATAAATTAATAACTAAATATATATTTGTACTATTTAATAACAAAAAAGAATCACACTGTTAAAAAATATGTTATGGTGGTTATACTTTTTAGCACTACATGTTATGGGTGTCAATTCCTTTCACAATATAACAACCCTAGACCCTAATCAACGGTCATTTGGTCCATTTTTGCAGTATTTATAGTGTTAGTATCAATAAAAGAGTGTTAATGTATCTTTTTTCTTTGTTTCTAAGCAGATATCCTAATCAAGATTAATTCCAAACAAAAATCATAATCTCTGTCGTCATGAAAATCACTTGTAAACTATATGTCAACCAGTAGGAATTAAAACCGGATTTCAAGAGATATTATATTATCTAACAACAATCACTTGGTATTTTTGTCAATATTATTGTCAACAATATCTGAAATCTTTGCCTTATTTTAAGGAAGATGATATTTATTTCTTGAAAACAAAAACATTGGTGGTCTAGAGAACTATAACCTATAAGTAAAGGGTCAATCATAATTTATGTAACATGTACTACCAAAAATAAAGAGAAACTATACTTTATGTGAAATTTGGTGATCAGTTTCTTTCCGCTGCCATCCATTTTGGCCGGGTTAAAAAGCTATAAAGATCTAAAATGATGATTCCGTCTCATTAATAATTCGATCCATTGTAAAAAGCCAGGGGCTAAAAAGGGGAAATTTTAAAAAGAATGGGATAAATAGTGAGATTAAATAAGACTAAGACAGCTATACACGTGTGGTAATTATGTTTAGCACTAACCCCACCTGATTAGCAATCATTCTTTCCATTGGATCCATTCCCAATCCTCGATCAACCTCACAAATCACAATTACTTATAGTATATTCTAAGTAATTTTTTGTTCTACGTCAAAATCGAGCGTTCAGATATATATATATATATATATATATGTGTGTAATATGTGCTACAAAACGCTAGACAAAGTAATGGTTTAATGTAATTTCAAGTTTCAAATAACAACTATAAAATGTAATCGGACAAGACATACAGTTGATTATTATACATATAGATCGCTATTATTCTTACACCAAAATGATGAAAAAGGACCATTATGTTTTATTCATGAATTGTTCTAGTTGTTACAATCATCATGATAGAAAAATATTTGTTAATGATAATATTAATAGTAGTTTTAGCCTTTCTTTTGAAAACCCATCATTGTCGTCGCTTCTATTATCAATTAACAATTGCTCTACGCCCCCTCTTTAGATTAAAGTTTTATAATTAGTGGTGTACCCTCTTTCTTGCATATTATCGGGGTCAAAATATAATTAACAATCTAAAACTGGGCCTACCCGCTCGTGTAGTGCTCAAGTGATATGGCCCATAAGCCCAACAATCAAATCAAGCCCATTAAAAAAACAATCCACGCTCGCCGAAAACAGTAAGTCACAAGCAGGTGACATACCTCCATCACCAACCAATCATACTCATACCTAAGCTTCGTCCCCAACACTCGTAAACTCAATTATTGCCTCCAGAGAAGAAAAATAACCCATAAATTAAATAAATAAATAAAAAGGTATCCAATTCTTTAAAAAAGAAATAAAAAAAGCTTCTATTTAAAGAGTGGAAGAAAGAAGCTAAAGAAACTGAGAGAAGAAGAAGAAGTGGAAGAAAAAAAATGGCGGCAGAGAAAATAGAGACAGTAATCGCAGGGAATTACTTAGAAATGGAGAGAGAAGAAGAAATCAGAAGTAATAATAAATCTTCAGTGAAAACGAAACTCTCCAATTTCTTCTGGCATGGAGGTTCTGTCTACGATGCTTGGTTTAGCTGTGCTTCAAATCAGGTATATATAATACATTTATATATAATTTTAAGAACTGTATGTATCTTCGTCTTCTCAAATTGTAATAATAATGACAGGTGGCACAAGTACTGTTGACTTTGCCATACTCATTCTCACAACTTGGGATGATGTCGGGAATCTTGTTTCAACTCTTTTATGGATTAATGGGAAGCTGGACTGCTTATCTCATTAGTGTTCTCTACGTTGAATATCGAACTCGTAAAGAACGTGAAAAATTCGATTTCCGTAACCACGTTATTCAGGTTTATTTCACACCTCTAACACTTGTTATAACGTTAATTACAATTATATTTATGTTAATTTGTAGTTTTTTATTTTCTTTTAAAAGTGGTTCGAAGTGTTGGATGGATTGCTAGGAAAACATTGGAGAAATATTGGATTGATTTTCAACTGCACTTTTCTTCTCTTTGGATCCGTTATTCAACTCATCGCTTGTGCCAGGTTAATTTAATAATATACATTCACTTTTGCTTTGTTGAAGTGGGAAATTTATTTATATATATGATTAATTGCAGTAATATATATTATATTAATGACAAATTGGACAAGAGGACATGGACATACATATTTGGCGCGTGTTGTGCAACAACTGTTTTTATTCCTTCGTTCCATAATTATCGAATTTGGTCATTCCTCGGACTCGCTATGACCACTTACACTTCTTGGTATCTCACCATTGCTTCTCTCCTTCACGGCCAGGTCATTTTAATTAACAAAAAAAAAATCATGTTTTATTTGTATAATATTTAGTCCTGGATATTATTATTTACTTTTACTCTTTTTTTTTTTAATAAAAAAAGGCCGAGGACGTTAAACACTCCGGTCCAACCACAATGGTTCTCTACTTCACCGGAGCCACCAACATTCTATACACCTTCGGTGGTCACGCCGTCACTGTGTAAGCATTTTTATTTCTTGTATAAATCAAAATTTGGTCTTTGTTTTATTAACTAATTATATATTTAAAAAAATGTATTATAGGGAGATCATGCATGCGATGTGGAAACCGCAGAAGTTCAAGGCAATATATCTACTAGCGACTATATACGTATTAACGCTAACGCTACCTTCTGCGTCTGCGGTTTATTGGGCGTTTGGCGACCAATTGTTAACTCATTCCAACGCACTCTCTCTTCTCCCAAAGTCAGGTTTTAGAGACACCGCAGTGATCCTGATGCTTATCCATCAGTTTATAACGTTTGGATTCGCGTCCACACCGTTATATTTCGTGTGGGAGAAACTGATAGGTGTGCATGAGACGAAGAGCATGTTCAAAAGAGCTATGGCTAGGTTACCTGTGGTTGTACCCATATGGTTCTTAGCCATTATCTTCCCATTTTTCGGACCAATTAACTCTGCGGTCGGATCTCTCCTAGTCAGTTTCACTGTCTACATCATCCCTGCTTTGGCTCATATGCTTACTTTTGCTCCTGCCCCTTCCAGAGAGGTTACTTTTTTTTCCTTCTTTCACATATTATCTTTTTGATTCTTTTATATCATTTGCTTAATATTATTGTCAATTTCGTATATGTAATGGACAGAACGCAGTGGAGAGACCGCCTAGAGTGTTGGGAGGATGGATGGGGACTTATTGCATAAACATATTCGTTGTGGTTTGGGTGTTTGTCGTTGGGTTCGGGTTCGGAGGATGGGCGAGTATGGTCAATTTTGTTCGCCAGATCAATACTTTTGGTCTATTCACCAAATGCTACCAATGCCCACCTCACAAGACTTGATATTTACGTATTAGCCATTCAAGACCTTCTACAAAGAAGGTTTCATTTGAGGGTTTTTTTTTTGTTTCAAGATCGAATATATATATATATATATATAAGTTATTATAATTTAATGAAAGCCACATCTCTTTGTAATTGTTTGACGAAAATAATTTTTTTTTAATTTATTTCGGGTTTGTTTTTGTTATGTTGAGTTGTATTTGGTAAATTGGGGTTTTTCTTCTTCCTTAGTTAAGGTGTGATGGTTATCTTAGGCCAACCCTATTATTATTTATTAGTGTTCTTCCATAGATCGTGTAATTTTTCTGTGTGTTTGTGTGTGATTTCTTTATTTTTCTAATACATGAAAAATAAAAGTTCCAGAAATTTTCCTCTACTTTCTTGGAATTTTTAATGAAAAAATACTAGTTTCATTCATTCCGACATTTGATAAACACCAATGGTGAAACTAAACTAAAGTTTGTGCTATATTGTGCATATTTTAGTTCATAGTAATTTGATGTGGCTAGATTAGAGAGTTTCTTAGACAAATGCAATAGATTATCGTTGAAGCAATCAAGTACAAATCTAAATATTTAATATTTTATTTATGAATGCAAGTGATCGCGAAATAAATCCATCATGGGCAAATTAGCATCACATCCAAAACCAAAAAAACAAAGAAAAAAAGTTTCTGACTAAAAAAAAAAGAGAAAAAGGAGGCAGCTGTGTCATTTCGTTATAGGACTTAGGCAGCCTTTTTACAATCAATTTGTTGGCCATCACAATCCGGTTTAATTCTCAAATAATCACCAATGGATTCAATGGCTCGTTACTAATTTGTCTCAACCGGTCTCAAAAACCGAGAGAAATTAGTCGACTAATTAATGCATTGCTCTTGTATGTATTCATCGACTAGTTTTTGTTAAGATGTATATATGGAGGTATAAGTTACACAACAACTGAAACAACTAATAGTCTAAGACCGATCGATTTACCTTTTCAACTAGCAATAATTAAGTAGGAACAAGCTCATTATCTGCTTTACCAGAAACCTGACATTTGTGTTGGTTTTGCGAGATGTAGACGTTTGACGAACCACTTTTTTTATTATTAGGTACTACTATCCAAAAAAGAAACTTAAACCCTGAATTAATATTTTGAGATCCTTGTCGGAAATCCTCATCAACACCCTCTTAGCAGGGTTGGAATTAACAGAGATCGCAGACATCCTCAACGATGTTCGCAACCTTGTTCCTCTCTTTTCTTTCATTTTCTTTGGTTTCATCATCCATACTGTGAACAGATGTGTAAATGGACTTGCTAAATTTGCTTGTCTCGTTTAAATCTATTATGCCCTTTGTAAAATATTTTTCAGTTTAATTTAAAAATTTTTGACCAGAAAAAAGACTCTTAATTAATATTTCTAGTTGATATATCAAAAAAGAAATAAATTAACAAACATTCAATATATTTAGTTATATGAATGAGAAAAAAAAAATAAGAATCAGGATTCAGAGTGTCAAAAGTTATTTCCTAACAAACACCAAAAATGGCTTTAATGGATTCCAAATCTATTAACATGCTGCTTTTTGACTAGCTTTCTAACTTCCATACTCCTTCAATCAATCTTATGGGACGTCGGGTCACACCATTCTGCCATTTTCTTTACTTGCTAAAGAAATAGACAAAATAATAGCAATTACAAAAACAATAAGGCCAATATGAAATGATACAAAAAACGTTATCATAATCTATCCCTGAATACATATTTAACCTAATTTTCTTGTGTTGCAGTGATGATATATTACAAAAGAAGAAGTTAACTAGCAAAAGGACAAACTTTGGCCAAGTTTAAGAAAACAACAATTTACAATCTTGTCCGAACCTTTTCTTTTGGGGATATTCAAACTTAACTAAAAGGGTTATGAAAAAATAACATGTGAATACCATTCACACTAGATTTAATCATTATAAAACAACAAATATGTCAAAACTATTGAATCATTCTACAGATATAAGTCTAAAGTCCTATTAACTACTTTTTTTCTATCGAAACACAAATAACTAAGCACGTAGTTTATGGTTTGTTTTGGGCACATGATATGCCAAAATCAAGTTTGTGAAACAATTCAATCAAAATTTCAAACAGGTTAAAATCAAGAGTTGTAAACTTAGTGATAATGAAATTTATCTGTTCAGATGATATTCCGAGAAGGAAAAACTTTAAATACTTAATGGACAACTGATATGTAATCTACAGTAAATTAAAAAAATGTTATCAAAATCTATCCTTGAATATCTATTTAACCTGATTTCAAGTATATTGTACTGAAATATTACAAAGGAAGTAGTTACCTAGGAAAAGACCAATTTCGACAAAGTTAAAAAAAAAACAATTTAAAATATTGTTTAAAATAATGGAATTTTTTAAAAACCTGAGAACGCTATAGGAAAACAAGAATGTAAATATTATTCACTTTAGATTAATCTATATAAAACAACAAATATGTAAACAATTGTTTACTTCCCAACTACTGTCTTAAATATATTTTTTGTACAAGTAAAAGTCTTATTAACGCTCCCCACTCACTCGTCCCCTTCTTTTGTTGATAACACACCGTACTAAGTAGTAAGTACGCAGTTTTGGTTTGTTTTGGCAAATGTAATTCCAAAATACAGATTATGATACAATCATACAATGCAATAAAGAATTATAGTGGGTTAAGATTTAAGTGTAGCTAGTGTTTAGTTAAAATATGTGATTTTTTAATATAAAAAAACAAACAAAAAATCCGACAAGAACAAACTTTAAACCATTAATAGACAACTATAATATCTTCTCCAATAAATGTATATATATACATATAAAATGATTTTTCGATCAATTTCTAGAAAAGGTACGAGAGTACGACAAGACACAAAAAATCAAGATGAACACGTTCTCACGTTGTGCTCAACCTTCGTGTTCGTTTGCTAAAGAGAGAATGCAAAGCTATTAGTGAACTGAATTTTCTGCAAGTAAGCAAAGAAAGCGAGAAAAGAGAATGCAAAAAAGCGTGTGGATAAGGCTCACACGTGCGTGGGGTCCCGGTGAAGAAAGAAAAAAAAAAAATCATCTTCGATATCTTCACGACTTCACCTTTTGTAATTTCAACACCATAAATTTCAGAGAAAAAGCTACATATCACATGTCAAATTTCAGATGGCTTTCGTTTTCAGTGGCATCATCAGTCTCTATTACCAAATTAAACATTGGTTATCGTTTTTTACTTCAAATCAAATATTAATTGTTTCTATCATATTTCAGAGATATGTTTGAATTCCATTATATGATATATCATATATCCCAGTTACAGAAGAAAACAATACTATAGATGTAAACTAAAGTAGGTTTCACAAAAAAAAGAGAGACAAAAGATGGGTACATACATGACAGATTTGTAAGGTTATGCGTTGGAGTGTTTCTCATAAATATGCATGAAGATTTGTAAGCTTATGCTTTGAGTATATTTGTTTACATATATACATGATGTATGGCTGTATGCATATATGATATATGTCCCTTTTGTTTTAGAATATCGATATTCATCATCCACATGCTGCATCTGTTTGTAGTTGCTAATCTCTATTAAAACGCAGATCGTTTCAAAAGAAAACGTTCTAATATAGATGGTCCAATAACTAAAACTATAATATCCAGTTACAAAAAAAAAAAAAAAACTAAAACTATAGATGTTTTTTTTATATTATATCTTAAATTCAATAATATGAATGTTCATAACTTGGTACAATACCTTAAATTATTCTTCTATCACATATGACATTAATTTGGGGGGGAAATTCTAAATGCAAATTCCAAATATTTTACTACGACATATTTATTATAAGTGAAATTGAAAAGAAATCGAAGAAGAAGAAGAACCACTAGCAGAGGGCGAAGAGCAATACGATTTCTCTTTTCCAAGTTGTTGAATATCGAAACAAAAATTTCGATTTCTCTATTGAACACATAATTATAGACGATAAAGATGACTCGAGCTGATTTCTCTTAATGGGCTTAAAATACTACCTTTTTATTTATTTGGGCTTAATAAAGTTTGACCATATTACCTCGTGAAAGGCCTAATGTTCCAAATCGGTTAATATATGAATTATGATGGATGACTCGAATCTTTGCATACACGGTTAAAAAAAAAAAGAACTGTAAACTACACATATATACTAAATAAAAGGAACTAGTTGGAGTTTCTTAAGCTATCCACCTCAGCTTTTCAAACTACTCTAAAAGTATGACACATCAGCAAAAAATAATAATACAAATTCCCACTTTAGATTTTTTTCGAATACACATAAAGTAAATAAATAGAACCAAAATTAATATAGTTAAATATAAGAGTAAATAAAAATAAATTATTATTTTTTGAATCAGTAAAATAAATATTATTTAAATCTATAGCATCAATATATACTCTTTTGTTTGTAATATAACAAATTAACAATAATGAAAATTCTCACTTTAGATTTTTTGAAATACACATAAAATAAATAAATAAAACCATTAAAATAATATAGTTATTAGCAAAAAACTAAATAAAACTATATATCATTTTAATCAGTAAAATAAATATAGTGATAGACAAAAAACTTAAATAATAGTTAATAGAAACAAAATTACAAAATAATAATTTCTAAAATAAATTTTAAAACATTTGTAAATTATAAAAATCTAAAACATTCACCTTTTAGAAACATACATATTAAACATTATAGTACGTTAGATTTATGGCAACCAACAAGACAACATAAATTATAGGAAGCTTTTCAAAGCATCTATCTATATGAAGATTTCGATCATTGTTACTATTTACATTGCAGAAAATGATAGACAAAAGAAGAATTTTATGCACTGATATTTATTCAATGTGTGTCTTAGTTGGCTTAAAGTAGTCAAGTTACTACAAGCGATACATGTCAACACATGAGTTAAACAGTTTATAAACAAAAATTAAGTTTTAAATGACAGTTAATTTTTATATATATCAAGTTAATAAATTCTTAAATTAAATAATTATGCATTTTTGAAAAAATAACATACACATTTTAATGTAGAAGAAAATGTCTAAAAAAATCTTTAATTATCCACATCAACAAAATTCCTTATAAACCCAACTTGAATGAAAACTAATATGGTTTTTTTACTGGGTTAAGAAACTCCTTTAAAAATAATATAATATATATTATTAGTTTAATTATAAAGGCTCATCAAAATATATATGTGTAGTTTAAGAAAAAATGTTTAAGTTAAATTACAAGCAAAATGTTTTACATCTTTTGAGTTTTGAGAAACTCAACATACTTTATATAACATAATGAGTTAGTATGAAATTATATTTGTATATGTATTATTTGCCTTATTCATCTATATTTTTTTTATAGTTTACGTATATTTCATAGACCAAATCAAAATTGCATTTTATCAATATGATTGTGATTTTTTATACTATGTAAATATTGTCATCAATATTGCGTTTTCTCAATATCCAATTTATTGTTTTGCAAAATATTTAGGTATCGAACGTCCCTAGTTAATAAATGTGTCCCCACTGGTAAGCTAAGGGTGTCTATAGTACGTTTTAAATACTTGGGTTAAATATGCTAAAACCAAAACAATAAAGGGGGTAGATGAAAACAATCCCGCAAATAAGTAAATTACCTACTTTAATCAAGCCCCAAAAAAAAGGGTTGTAGCTCAGGAGCCGTCCGATGAAGTCATGGGTACACGTGTTATACGATGAGGCAACCGACTCAAGCTGTGTATAAAAGAAAAAGAGAAAGATTTATAAAGAAAGCAAATGGAAAAGGCGACAACGTGAGAGAGAGAGAAGAAAAAGAAAATATTAAAAGAAAAGAAAGAAAAGGAAAAGGAAAACAGTCGGCGCAATCCGCCGACCAATCATCACGGTCGTTTTCTCTTCTTCGCCAACCAATAATAATCACTTATTCTTTCTCTCATAAGATCTCTTCTTCTTCTTCTCATCGTCGAAATTTGTTCCGTCCTTTTTTTCTTTTTCTTTGATTTGTTTTTTTTCATTTTTAAGGTTGGGACGAGTTTTTGTGTGTTCTTCCGTTGGTTTTTTTTATCTGATCGGAAGATACCAAAAGGAATTTAGCTTCCTAGAATTTCCATTAGAGTTTATACTTTGAAATCCAACGATGAGTGCTTCGGCGGAACAATCAGTTAATTTTGGTGAAAGAATCGAAAACGGTGACAAGGATAAGAAGAAGAAGCGCAGAGCTAGTCGTCGATCTAAGAACAGCTCAGGTAAATTACATCCTTTTTAGTTTTTTTCTTTAGGGTTTTTGGTTGCGAATTGATCTCCCAATGTGCGATTGAGTTTCAATTTGATAGCTTTGGCTTCCCTACGACGCCGATAGGTTGAATTTGATAGTTATGATTTGGAGTAGGAGTGAATCTGAACCAAAACCCAGTATTTAGTTGCCTTTGAGAATCAGAGCATTATGAATTGAGTTTGCTATACAGAAACTCATGTTTTAGCTTAATGTGTGGGAACAGTAGGTTGTGCAATCGAAGACATTAATGCAGAGGCATCGGATGGTAAACCCAGTGGGAGTAGAGCAAAAGATTGTGGCTTTTCCTCACGTTGTACTTCATCGAAGCAGCAGAGACCAGGCTTGGATAATGATCCCAGTGAGTTAACGAGAGCGTCCAATGTTGCCTTCGTTTCAATGCCGCCTCTGCGTTTCGAGAGTCCTGGAAGTCCGCTGGTCCATTCTGCTGAAGTTATTAAACAATTGTTGTCCAAGTCTTGCCCTGAACCTAGGGATTGTGAGCAGTCTCCTAGAATGGAGCGTGACTTGTTCCAGCAAATTGATGGTTCCTCACAGCGAAAGATCTTCTCTTCACACTGGTCTCTCGATGCTGTGAACCAGGCTTTGGAGGTTTGTCTCTGATGTTCTCTTTATTATCTTTCTCATGTTTTCTTTTGAAATGTAATAGTAATGAAGTAATAGCTATAGCTTCTCTTGTTATGCGTTTTTGTAGAAGGGTGAAGCTTTTAAGGCACTGTTTCGGGTGAATGCTCATAACCGCAGTGAGGTTAGAAGTAACATCTGATTTTCCAAGAGGCTTAAGTTTCTTAACCGTCGGTTTCCTCTGCTCACTTTGAATTCGTTTTTTTTTTTCCTTTGAAGGCTTACTGTAAGATCGATGGAGTCCCTACCGATATTCTAATCAGTGGAAATGTTGGCCAAAATAGAGCAGTAAGTTTGGTTTACTTTGTTCTCTTTTTCCTTTTGGCTCATGTTGGAGAGGTTTTGGTTATTCAAGTTCATACTTGTGTTTCTGTTATATAGGTGGAAGGAGATGTTGTTGCTATTAAACTTGATCCGCTTTCACTGTGGCCCAAGATGAAAGGATTTGTTATGGAAAGTGTTGCCAAGCCTGAAGAAACGAACAGTCCCCCTGAAAAAGATAAGATAGTTAGCCGTTTAGGAAGAGACGAGATAAATGCTCGACAGAAGAATGCTGTGGTGGTAGGTTTTGAAGATGGGTTCTCAACATACAAATCTTCAGGCAGGGGACAAGGAGCTAAGAACTGTGTCAGCCGGAGTTCTATGGATTCATGTTTGGGTTCTTGTAGTGAGCAGAAAGGAAATGGCAGTGCGGTTGAGAAGCTATGCGCCATCCTTAGTTCCATCCCCAACAAACGACCCACTGGACATGTAGTCGCTGTTGTTGAAAAATCACTTGTGAGAGATTCTATTGTTGGCTTGCTGGATGTGAAGGGATGGATTCATCACAAGGAAGGTAATGCAAAAACGACCAAGTCTGCTTTGTCTCTGTGTGATGATGAATACGTCCAGCTGATGCCTGCAGACCCTAGGTTTCCTAAATTGGTTGTTCCCTTCCATGTCTTACCTGGAAGCATTAGAGCAAGACTTGAGAATATGGATCCAACTCTCGAGGCAGAGCTGGTTGCTGCCCAAATCGTGGACTGGGGCGAAGGGAGTCCATTTCCCCTAGCTCATATTACACATATGTTTGGCCGTGGCAGTGAACTGGAGCCCCAGATCAATGCGATATTGTATCAGAACTCGGTTTGCGATTCTGACTTTTCTCCTGGCTCGCTTGCTAGCCTTCCAAGTGTTCCGTGGGAAGTACCAGAAGGAGAGGTTCAACGTAGAAAAGATCTGAGGAACTTGTGTGTATTCACCATCGACCCCTCGACGGCGACAGACCTCGATGATGCTCTATCAGTGCAAAGTTTACCCGGCGGTTTTTTTAGAGTCGGTGTTCACATTGCTGATGTCTCCTACTTTGTTTTACCAGACACTGCTCTTGACAACGAAGCTCAGTTTAGGTCGACAAGTGTTTACATGCCGCAGAGAAAAGTACCGATGTTACCTCCAATATTGTCGGAGAACGTAGGTTCACTGAATCCAGGAGCTGATAGGCTTGCTTTTTCTATCTTCTGGGATCTAAATAGAGAAGGGGGTGTGACAGATCGCTGGATTGGTCGTACTGTTATACGGTCGTGCTGCAAGCTTTCATATGACCATGCTCAAGACATTATAGATGGGAAGAATGATGTCGCAGCGAATGGCTGGCCTGCGTTGCACGGACCTTTCGAGTGGACTGACATAATTCGATCTGTCAAGCAGCTTTGTGAGATTTCCACCACGTTAAGGCAGAAAAGGTTTAGAAATGGGGCTTTGCAGCTGGAGAATTCGAAGCCTATTTTTCTCTTTGACGAACGTGGAGTTCCGTATGATTTTGTGTTGTGCTGTAGAAAGGCTTCAAATCTTCTTGTTGAGGAGTTTATGCTTTTGGCAAATATGACAGCGGCTGAGGTGATTTCTCGAGCTTACCCTGACAGTGCATTGCTCCGGAGGCATCCAGAACCTAATATGCGCAAGCTCAAAGAATTCGAAGGCTTTTGTTCAAAGCATGGTATGTTGTTGGACGTTTCTTCTTCTGGCCAACTCCAGGAGTCATTGGAGAAAATCACGGAAAGCCTCAAGAATGACTCAGTTTTTGTAGACATTCTCAACAATTATGCTATAAAACCAATGCAGCTTGCATCTTACTTCTGCACTGGGAATTTGAAGGACAATGTTGCTGAGTGGGGACACTATGCGCTAGCTGCTCCTCTGTATACTCACTTTACATCTCCTCTTCGACGGTACCCGGACATAGTTGTTCACCGTGCGGTAGCGGCTGCTCTTGAAGCTGAGGAGCTGTTCTTAAAGCAGAAGCAAAAATCCATTGGTGAAGTGAGAAGCTGCTTTACTGGCATTCATTTTGATAAAAATGCTGCAGAATCTCTGGAGGGCAAGGAAGCACTATCGGTCGCTGGTTTGAAACATGGTGTTCCCTCCACCGAAATACTCTCTGAAATCGCTGCTTATTGCAATGAGAGGAAGATGGCGGCTAGAAAAGTCAAAGATGCATGTGATAAGCTCTACACTTGGTGTGTGCTGAAGAGAAAAAAGGCAAGTAAATAAGAAACATTTTTTGCATCATAACGCTGCTTCTTATGTGAATGTTTTTTTTACGAAATCTCATTTGTTTCCTTGTCACTCTGTAGGTTTTTCCATGCGAAGCAAGAGTAATGAACTTAGGATCAAGATTTATGACTGTTTACATTAGCAAGCTCGGGGTAAGTCTCATTTGCCATCTATCAAAATTATATAAATCCCTCTGTACAAATCTATAACTCTTGTAATACTTCGATGGTGTTACAGATTGAAAGGAGAATATACTATGACCAAACTGAAGGCTTGTGTGCAGACTGGCTAGAGGCAACATCAACCTTAATCCTTGATAAACTCTATTTCAAAAGAGGTGGAAGAGGCTACTTCAAGCCCTTGAAAGAGGTTGCTTATCTGGTGAGTCCTTGTGACCTGTGTGTCGCTAAATGCAACGCAATGTCTGTCAACGACACGGAGCCAAAAGGCGAGGTTGCTCCTGCGGTTTTTCCTTTGACGGTCCAGCTTTTCTCGACCATTCCTGTGGTTCTTCACGCTGTTGGTGGAGATGACGGTCCGCTCGATATAGGAGCGAGACTCTACATGGCTTCATATCATAATAGATGATGATTGGAGCAAAAGAGATATCTTGAAGATGCAGATATTTAGTAGCAACTGTTGTATATTTTTCACACTACAGTTGCTGGAAATAGAAAAATCATGTCTGACGAGAATAGACAGACCAATGTGGGAGACTTGCCGTTGTTTTTTTTTGGTTCGGTTGGGATCCTCGTTGGTTCGAACTTGTGTTAAAAAAAAAAGAAATGTGTTTCTACTTCCCTTTAGTTTTCATAGATTTCGCTTTGCCCAATATGTTTTAGTTTTGGGTTTGGCCGAAATCATCAGAAAGCTTTTCACTTGTATTGTTCCATTGAGAAAAACAAGTCTCTGGCTAATGACAGTACAATATAAATGTTTAAAATTTACTGTGTGTACTGCAAAGGTGAAAACAGAGCACACAGGCACTTGAATGTGTTTCCATCTGTATGTTTGAACCAAAAGAATGTACAGTACGAAGAATCTTCATTTCTAGCTTTTCACTTTATACACGAAAGGCCTTATACATCAACTTCACAAAGAGTTAGTCAGTGGAGTCAAAGCCAGCTTTGGTGGGCTTTGCCACTATCGTCTTTGATTCCTTGTTTTTTCTACTTGTTTTACCCAAAAAGCAACACAAATTAAAACTCGGCTTCGTCATCTTCAAGGCCGCTTGGCCCACAAATCATCATGAGTCGTGTTGTAAAAGCCCACTGACGTCAAAAAAAAAAACAATTATTTTTGTTTGTCAAAAGTTGCAACTTGCGACTTTGGAAAATTCCTAAAATCCGAGCGAATCAAAATCCCTAAGGAATATCTGGTAATGCGGAGTCGATGTATCTGGACACACATGGTGTGATGCTCAGACACTTTAGCTTCAGATCATCATCCTCCTCCCTTCTTCCATTTTCGTCTCGTTCCTTACGAAGCTCCGCGAAATCAGCAGCCTCGTCCCACTACTCTCGAATCGTAGCCACCATGACCACAACTTCGACCCAGAACGAGTCGACTCACCAAACTCAGAAACCCGTTCAGGTTGATCTCTTTCTCTTCTTTTCTCACGACATTCCGTGGGGTCTCTGTTTCTTAGTGATTGATTCTCCTGTAAAATTAGTTTCTGTATATAAATCAAATGATGAAAAAAGGCAATGCCTCGGTTCTCGCGTTTTGGAATTTGGGAGATTCAGCTTTTGCAACACTGGAAGCTGCTGTTCTGTCAATTTGATGTTTTGTTTTTTTTTCCCTCTTAGCGAAATGATTTCAGATTTTTTTGGATTTGTCCGATTCGGTTTTCCACTTAGTTCATGCGCTTACGGTCCCACGATACCTTTTGCAGTTTACACTATGCACCCATATCATCAAATCAATCAAACCCAAGAGTTTCATCTTGTACCTTCTTTAGCTCGTTGACTTCAAAATAAGAACTGTTTCTCACTCGTTTATATCAATTGAGAAACTGTAGAATTTTAGCTGAACATTAGCATACATTACTGATCTTCTATATATCAAAGTAATGTATTTGCATTTGGTATACTCAAGATTGCTCTCTGTTCGTTTAATCATATCGGAACTTGTAGGTGGCGAAGCGATTAGAGAAGTTCAAGACTACGATTTTCACTCAAATGAGCACATTAGCTCTCAAACACGGAGCAATCAACTTAGGCCAAGGCTTCCCTAATTTCGACGGTCCTGATTTCGTCAAAGAAGCTGCAATCCAAGCCATCAACGACGGTAAAAACCAGTATGCTCGTGGCCACGGCGTTCCCGAGCTCAACTCCGCTATAGCTGCACGGTTTCTTGAAGATTCGGGTCTCGTTGTTGATCCGGAGAAAGAAGTCACTGTTACCTCTGGTTGCACTGAAGCCATAGCTGCAGCTATGCTAGGTTTGATCAACCCTGGAGATGAAGTCATTCTCTTTGCACCTTTTTACGATTCGTATGAAGCAACGCTCTCCATGGCTGGTGCTAAAGTAAAAGGAATCACTTTACGCCCACCTGACTTCTCTCTCCCTTTGGAAGAGCTTAAAGCTGCGGTGACTAGCGAGACCAGAGCCATCCTCTTGAACACCCCTCACAACCCAACCGGGAAAATGTTCACAAGAGAGGAGCTCGAAACCATTGCGAGACTCTGCGTCGAGAACGACGTGCTCGTGTTCTCTGACGAAGTGTACGATAAGCTCGCGTTCGAAATGGACCACGTCTCCATAGCTTCACTTCCCGGTATGTACGAGAGAACCGTGACGATGAACTCTCTGGGAAAGACATTCTCTTTAACCGGATGGAAGATCGGTTGGGCTATTGCACCGCCTCATCTAACTTGGGGGATTCGACAAGCACACTCTTACCTCACGTTCGCCACGTCGACGCCGATGCAATACGCAGCCGTCGCAGCTCTCAGGGCACCGGAGTCTTACTTCAGGGAGCTGAAGAGAGATTACAGTGCGAAAAAGGAGATCTTGGTCAAGGGTTTGAAGGAAGTTGGGTTCGAAGTGTTCCCATCGAGCGGGACTTACTTTGTGGTTGTGGACCACACGCCGTTTGGGTTGGAGAACGATGTCGCCTTCTGTGAGTATCTTATCAAAGAAGTTGGGGTCGTTGCGATCCCCACGAGTGTCTTTTATTTGAATCCTGAAGAAGGGAAGCGTTTGGTTAGGTTTACTTTCTGTAAAGACGAAGAGACGTTGCGTAGTGCAGTGGAGAGGATGAAGCTGAAGCTCAAGAGAGTCGTCTGAAAGTTTGAAACTTTCTTCTGAAGGGAAACCTTAATTTTTTTTATGTTGTTGTGTTGTTCTTCGGTTCCATTTGATTTGAGGATAGACTTTGATTCAGTAACGCAATCTAATAAAGTAGGTTCACGTTATTATATGAGTTTCGTCTAATTTGTTTAGTTTAATTAGTCTTGGCAAGTCATAGATGAGTTAAATTAATAAATTAAGGTTGAATATTCTCTGAAAGACTGAAATTGGTGTGAATATTGTATTTTTGGGTCGGATTATATCTTTCATATGCCGAAAGTTATAAAAAACAGTTGAATGCATCAGAACTTAGACTTTTAGATCTCAGTGAAAGCGATGTTAGCTTAATGAATCAAATACTAGATAAACAATATTTGATCAATGTCCTTAGCTTAAGATTGTCGTTTTCTTCCCTTTGAAAAAAAACATTACGAAGTAGTATAATTTAATGTCTAATATATAATGATTTAAGAGTTAGACTATTAGGAGTATATGTTAACTATCTCAAGTTCCGAAACTCATATCGCCAAATACCAAGATTATTATTAACGTTTTCAGAGATAAACTAGTAAAGCTGGAAAATATATGCACTGTAGATATATCATATTATATGTGAATATAATTTATTTGCGTTATAAAAGTATTATCCCATGTGAAATTTAAAAAATGAAAATATCAGAGGCCTACTAATGCGGAGTGCACCATGCGAGGGTGTTTGGTAAATGTTTGTTTTCATTCACAACTTTGATCCAAACCCATTTTTTCTTGTTTCTTCTCTTTATTGGTATATTTATTTCCGAATCAAGTAATTCATCTCGACCGTCCGATTTGGTAGATCACCTACACTTTACAGTTTTCACCAACTATACCCAATATGAATCGTTGATGCACATACGAGTCTATGGTACCGTACATTTCCATGTAAATAAAATAAAGTAGTCTTACTACGAATAGAGACTATAATTTATAAATATTCTGTTGAAGTCCAAATCAAATGTTATGGTAATATAGAAAATTCCCCCAAAAGCAGAGATATTTCATCAAAATTAAGTTTGAAAACGAAAAGTTAATTAATTAATAGTATTTTTTTTTTTGGTTTTTTAATTAATACTAGATGTGTGTGTGGCGGCACGTGCCGGCCTGCAACAGTAAAGCTAAAAAGCGTCCGCCTCCTAATATTCCCGTCAAGGACCGGGACTTCTTCTTCTCTTGGTCAGATCCAACGGCTACGGTTCTTTGCTTTAGCCAATCAACTGTCAGATTTTAATCTAACGGTCAGTATTGAATCTGACTCCATTTCTTCTCGACTCTTTAAAACAAACCCAAACCCGCTCCAAAGCCTTCTCTCTCTCTTTCGATCTCTCTAATCAAAGTGAGCTTCTTCTTCTTCCTTTCGCCTTCTCCGTGAGAATTCTCCGGTACGGGAAAACGAAAACGACGAAATTCAACTAGATTTTCTGGAGTTAGAGAACTCTCGCTTGCTTCTCCGCCAGCGATGCTCGTCACGGTGGTGCAGTGGTGGCTAACGTATTTTCGTCTGAGATTTGGCCGGAGGAATCGAGAGAGAAAGTGGTGATCAGGCTCTCGCCGCGATCGAGATTTTTATTTTTTTTTATTTTGTTCTGTTCGCTATATTCCGCGAGATTATCGGAGCGAGGGAGAGATGAGCCAAGCGAAACTGACGAGGACTCAATCGTCGTTGCTCAGATCATCTCCGACGATTCGATCGTCGATTCACAGCCTTTCTTCAATCACCGAATGCGATTTTAACGAAGCCTCTCACCACCGGAATCAGGATCTGGAAGCTGGTGAGAAAGAGGAGAAGCAGAGGAGAAGAAAACGGTCTAAATCAGCCGGGTCAATTAATCGAACCGGGTCAACCCGAATTAAACCGGGTCTCACCTTCACACTCGCTTCCCTCTCTTTCCTCAGCGCCTCGTCTTTCCTATTCTTCTTCGTCTTCTCTCAAACCAATGAGATTCTCACGTCCGAGAATCTGCTACTAGGTTTGATCTTCGTCGCCGTCGCTCTGTTCTTCGCGTCGCGAAACATGGCGGTTATCAGCCAAACCGTAATCGCAATCAAACAGATTCACGAAGAAACAAGTAAAAAGTTCCGAACCAAGCACAAGCCGAAGCCGGTTCAATGGTACATCGGCGATACGAATCCGGAACCGATCAAAGCCCAGAGAGAAGAAGAAGAGGAAGAAGAAAAGAGACTTGTCGTCAAAGAAGGAGTACAGTTCTTCAGCAATGGAGATTTCTACGAAGGGGAGTTTCACAGAGGAAGATGCAACGGAAGTGGAGTTTACTACTACTTCGTTAACGGAAGATACGAAGGAGACTGGATCAATGGAAGATACGATGGCTATGGAATCGAGTGTTGGTCTAAAGGAAGTAAGTACAAAGGACAGTACAAGCAAGGACTGAGACATGGTTATGGAGTTTACTGGTTTTACACCGGAGATTCTTACTCCGGCGAATGGTTCAACGGTCAAAGCCATGGCTGTGGTGTTCAAACCTGCGCTGATGGAAGCTCTTATGTCGGAGAATTCAAATTTGGTGTCAAACATGGACTTGGATCTTACCATTTCAGGTAAAAAAACAAAACCTTTTTTTTTCGTTACATCGTATACACAGATCTCTCTGTTTTATTATAATATATGAGCTCTGGTTTATGAAATTTTGTTTGTTGTTGTAGAAATGGAGATAAGTACGCAGGAGAGTATTTTGGAGACAAGATTCATGGATTTGGTGTTTACAATTTCGCTAATGGTCACTTTTACGAAGGAGCTTGGCACGAAGGTCGTAAGCAAGGCTATGGCACGTATGGTTTCAGGAACAGTGATACCAAATGTGGTGAATGGGATGATGGTAATCTCTTAAACCGGCTTCATCCAGAAACCGACCCGGTTCATAGAGCGGTTCAGGTATATTATATATGTCAATAAAGGCTGTAACTTTATCTAGAGAAAAGTTAAACATCGTTTTGAATTATAGATGTTTGGGAAATAATTGCAGAGCGCTCGAGAGATGGCGAGAAAAGGAGTAAATCAGAGACGAGTCGATGAGCAGGTGATACGAGCGGTTGCTGCGGCTAACAAAGCCGCGACCGCTGCGAGAGTCGCAGCTGTGAAAGCCGTTCAAAATCAGATGGACGGTAAACTTTGTGAAAGTTGAAAATGACAAGTAAAGATGACCATTAACAACAACAACAACAACAAAAAGTCAGAGGGGTCTTTTTTAGTGTAGCCCTAGTGAGCTTTGAAATTATGAAAAAAAAAAAAAAGCTTTACTGTGGAGGTTTTTGTTTTTTATTTTAACTAAGAATGTAAATGTATATACTAGAAGAAGTCATGTTTTGCTTTTCTTTTATTGTAAAAAATTATGTGGATGGATTGATTGGTGTTTTGATATTGATCCGAATCACTGACAGATAGATTTTTTTAGTTTTGATTAAAACGTTATCCTAAAATCGGGAACCTTTGTTTCGTTTCGTACTTGATTTGATCTCTTTTTTAGAAAGTAACAAAAAAAAAAAACAGATATATTATTATTTATTACTATGACTATATAAAAAAAGGGAGGAAACAACGAAGAAGATTCTTCGTACCCAGACTTGTCAACGTAAGCTATATAGTAGCCATATCAAGTAAAAAACTAAAAAATCAATGGATTGCTATGGCCTGCAACTGTAACTGGTCTGACCAAATCAGTTGCAACAATTCAAAACTTCTCGGAATCTCTCTTCATATTATGCATGTATTAGGTGAACGCATTAAATATTTTATAGAATTCCTATTTTTTGGTGTAGTATAAGGCTATGCTATTGACCCAAATAATAAATAGGTTAGTACTTTTTTTTATACAAATATAGAGATTGGTAGTTTTGATATAAACATAAACGATATGCAAATGTTCAAAAAAAACGACATGCTTGAGTGTACGAGTCAATTCAATCTCAATGCATCATCTTATGTGATCCACTGATTTTTCAGTTAAAGCACAGTCGAGATAATATTATACGGAGCATGTGATAGCTAAGCATCTCGAATCGTTCATACTTTCAAGTTATATCCAATCTCATTATGGATATGATAATATATGAACAACAGAAAGTTTAAAACTATTTTAATCAGCCTGTCGTCATGATATCACCACTGAAACTTAATTAAAGAAAATTTTGATTACGGTAAAAAGCCAAAAACACGTCCAAGGCATGTCTTGTTAAAATGTTAATAAATGGCTGAAGAAGCCATGCATGTGTGTCCTCATCATAACCATCGCTTGAGGATTTTACTCTTCATTTTTGCTCCTATATATATCCTTATCCTTTTTATTTGGTTTTATATATCATTATCCTTTCTTATATCTTTTTTTGGTAAATCGAATAATCGCGGTACTCCAAGAGAAGTAACTGATGTCATCGTAATTTTGCTTATCAACAGTTTGACTCAAATGTTTGGACATTCAATCTTTGAAGTCTCTAACTACTCAACATGCAAAATTCCTCTGAAAAAAAAACAGTTGGTCAAATTTTCAAGCTCCATAAACAGAAACTGTAACTGTGCAATATAAATGAATATCAATTCGCATTAAATATTTTCCGATGGCTATATATGAGTAAAAAAAAGCATTTATTGAAATTATTGAGATAACTACTCACGACACGTAATTTAATACTTTGATTGGTCGACAACAGATTAAGGCTGCCATGCTATTCAATATACGACATATACGCACAGCCAATAATTTGTATTATTGCATGTAAACCAATATTTTTAGATTATTGACCAGAAAATTTGTGGACGAGAAGAAAATACTTGTTTTTGTTGTGTACATTTATTAGCTTAGGCTGAAGTGGTATATGTTTTTTTTGGAAGATGAAGTGGAATAGTTATTTCCCAATTTTACATACGCATATTCAATTGACGAAGGCACGAAGCTATTAACTATATAATTATGTGATTTTATGTACCGTGAGGTAAATGATAAATTTAAAGTAAAATTTACATGTCCTTCTAGTAATAATAAAAAAATCGTATAAATAACTACTATTCATCATTTGTTTTTTTTATTAGTATTAATTTCTTAAGATTCCATCCTTCCATATGACATGCATGTGCATGTTTATTGGGTATTTCTTACATGCAGAGAGTAAAGGCCTCGTACTAATAATTTTGATGCCTTTTTTTATTTATCAAATTCACGTATTGAAATCTTTTAAGTTAAAATAATTTAGGGATTAATGAAAGTGTTTTGTCCAATGGGGTTCATTGTTTGACCCAAAGCATATTGGTCAAACAGTTTTCCCCGCGACGCTCCGCAAGTCCGCATTCACCGATTTATGCTAATCTGCTTAATTAATCATTTTTTACATGTTCTAAAAACTACTTTTAAACATATACGACGAGCGTAAAAATTCAGAACTGAGATAAATGAATCTTTTTCAGATATTATAACATTATTGAGAAATTTGTTTTTGATAAAGAAAAGTTAAAACAATAATCAATTTTTTTGTCTTAATGGATGTGAAACATATACCACGGCGATATACAAAAACAATCAATCTCTCAATCATTAAAATATTAGTACTACATGTTGTTAGTAAATGTTGGATTCTATAATGAAATTAAAATTCTAAGATCTACCGTAAAGAGAACGATAAGTTTCCGCTCAATTAAACTAGAAGGTTAGCGCTAATATCTAACAAATTATAAAACATGTAAGAAGTTAGTTTTACACAATTAAACTAAAAGCTTAATACAGTAGTACTATTACTTACCATAATCTAATGTGAAACACAACAAAATTATGAATCACACATGAGCAAACAAATGGCAACCTCTCGAAACTCATATTTCCTCTTTCTCCTTTTATTGGGATCATTAATATTTCAAGTGGATTGCTACAATACATGCAAAGTAGACAACATAATTACAAGCTGCACTATTAACACTAAAATTCAAAAAAATAAAAGCAAACCGACTTTTCCATTCTTTTGTCACCTCGAGTTTGGCAATTACCACCTTTTGTGGATCATTTCGTATTTCAATCGTTCCGATATTATATATACTCAATAAGTAAAAAAGACAGCTAAGTAATATATGGCTTCTGTTACATAGTCTGTTAAACAGGCAAAGCATTCTGTTAAACAGGCAAGGCACATGAGCATAAACCTTATTAACTCGCATTTAACAAATCTCTTATTTATGCACATGAGATATAATTTACTTTTTATACAAAGCATAACCTGTTTATTTGTTTATTTGTAGATAAATATATCTAGTTGTCTACTATTTGTAACTACCGATCAACAACATCAACGTAATTAACGATGAGCCCACGAGTCAGAAGCCCATGTTATATCTGAAACAAAGACCTAGCAACTACATTGCAATGACCAACGAGCCTTTGTAAAAGTCCAATAGTTGAAACATTTGTAAAAGTCCAATAGTCGAAACATTGATAAAAATAGATTATATTGCATTGTAACAACCAATAACAAGTACCTTTATGTTTTCGGCACTTGCGTCTACAAATATCACACACAATAGAATTTGGTGTCTGGTAAAAATATAATAAGGGTGTATTGCAACTAAATTTTTAGAGAATTTAAAAAGTTTTAAAATTTAATGAAATTTTAGATGATTTTATGTAGATTAGAAAAGTTAATATGATTTGATATTAAAATTATATGATATTCCATTTAAAATAATGGAGTTTGGTTTTCTATATTTTTAACTAACAAATTTCACCAAATCATTTAAAAATACTTAATATTTTGTAAAATCTACTATTTAAATATTTTCAATAATAATGGATTTGATTTATTTTTTACGAATTCTTGATTGAATAACATAGATATTAAAGTAATTTTAACTAATTTTATATAAATTTCATATTCAAGTACCAACTGAATTCCAGCAAATGGATTGGCGCTGCTGCTGGTGGAGCTGATGGCTCTTTACACTTTAACTTAAAAAAATTTTACTCACTAATATCTCATCACTACCATTCTTGAAAGTTCGAGTCTTAAGTATAATTGAATCATCATCATCATCAAAACCTGGATTTTCACAAGAAATTTGCTTCGAAGCACCGACCTCAAGTTCCAGTCAATTTGTGGAATATTTATATAATTACACAAATTTTGTACCAGGAGTTGTAGACGAGTATCAGCAAACAAACAAAAATGAAGTTATGAAGAGAAAACCGATCTAAGTAATTAAAGTCAACTCCAATCTGATTAGATACCAGACCATTACATGACATACTCAGCTTCTCACTTTTCTAAGAAGAGGAAGAGGGAGCAGAAAGAATCTTCTTACCTCCACAAGCTCCGAGTCAGTCATTTTGGAAGTTTCTTGCGTTCCTTTCTCTCTTAAATCGATCCCTTTGGAACGCCTTTCCTGGATTTAACCATATGTCTCTCAATGACAATAACAGTGAAACACGATACAATTTGGCCAGAATAACAATGAACCACATTAGAGCGAGCAGAAAGCATCTTACATCGACAAGACCAGAATCAGACACTTTGGAATCGATTCCCTCTTTCTCTCTTAAATCGATCCCTTTGAAATGAGTTTCCTGGATTTAACCATACGTCTCTCAATCACCAACATGTTCCCTAGTTTTTTATTTTATTTTTCCTTAACGGTTTACTATTAACATGTTCCCTAGTCGCAGAAATGAAATTGAATCAGACTCCAATGAGTATCCTTACCGAATCGGACGGGAGATCTTCCTTCACCATATTCGAACGGGAGATCTGTCTGATTAGCTAGCGTTCAAGCTCAATTCTCAGTGACGGAAGAGGGAGAACGGAGGAAGAATAGATGAGATGATTGATATTATGAAAGGGAAACCATGTATTTATACTCTCAAGCTGCGTCCAATCCCTAATTCATTCTATTTGGAAATTAATTGACAAATTTATAATATATATGGAAATACTTTATACATGCATTTCTACGAGGCTTCATCTTCTCTTACCTGTTTTAATCAAAACAATGTTAATATTATTTTTGTAAATTTTATTGAAAACTTTTATTATTACACTAGGTGGATGTGTGGGCATGAGAATTTTGATAAAAATTAGCTAATAATACTATATATCATTTATAATTTATAATTTTTTTTTTAAAAAAAGTAATTGACTTGTTCAGAAAATTTTGTCTGTGAAAAAATATTTTAAACATTACACCACATAATAATTTCAAACAGTTATTTTTTATTATGTCAATTTATTGTATGTATTTTCATATATTCGTAACCCAAAGTGAAAGACGTGAGGTCCATACTGAATCTCTCATTCCTCAAGAACCTCTTTAACCTTCTTATGCCTCACATAGAAGACGGAACCGATCCACGAGGCCACAAACGCAGTAATCACCGATAACTTTAAGCATATCACTAAAACCGTCCTTGCTGTATGAGATGGTTTCTTGGGATATTGTACGTTCATATACCATAGAGGATTCTCGAGGTTGTCGGTACTGAACACAGCCAACATATAGTGAAGTGCTCCTGTGGATCCAGTAGATGCTGTGAAGCCATAGTACATATCCTTCAAAAGCAACGAGGAGAGATCTCGGTTTAGCGAAAAAAGGTAATAAACAAACAAACACTTAGACAATTAGACTAACAATGATAGAAGATATGAATAATGGGAAATACAAACTATTAGATGAATCATTCGGATCTACAGTCAAGCTCATCATAAGACATGTATCACATTCAATAGAAAAGTTTATTTTCATGAAATAGATCTTTTTACTAATTACTTAATGAAACTATCTAGACTTTTATGGACAGTTAAGAAAGTAGTAAATCACTACTCCATCTCTATGCTTCCTCCCTTGATCATCTTTTCCGCCAAGGTTTAGTTGGTACTTGGTATTAATCGTTTTATGCTCCTCCTCTCTTCTCTTGGTTCAGTGGATTTCCCCAATTGCTATATCACTAGGCTTGGATTTGAGCTTCTTCTAAAACTACCTTGGATTGCTTCTAAATTTTTGATATTTGAAGTGAGACTGCTTTTTTTTTTTCATGGATTTAAATTGAATTATTTTCTTTCCAAATTTAATTCTAAATGATCTAACCAATCATTTTAAAAGATCAATGGAGGTCCAAATTTATTGTAACTATAATCCTACAATTATAACTTTCAAGAAAAAAGTGATCCTTATTATACGTAATGTTAAAGACATGGGATGGATAGGAAAACGACCCGTTTCACAAATATCATATACAACATTGTTCCGAATGTTTTTAGTAAGTCTATTGCGTATTGTGAATAATAGATAGTCCTTTTTATCTCTTAAAGTGTTTGAATTATTATTTTTGTTTACTATAGTGTTATAGTATCAAGCTAGGGTTTTAACTATATAGCTCCATAAAACTTGAAATGCTTCTCTATGAAATTCCTTTTAAAAAAAATAGAAAATAGAACCGAAATTCACATTAGTTTTCAGAGTAAGAGAAGCACCGGGAATTCATTCCATATGCCTGATGGTCAAACCATTACTAAAATTACATTCAGATAATTTGAATTTCTGAGCTTCCACCAACCCTATATACGGTGAATCTTTCAACGAATAGACTATCATGATGAATTAGTTATTTAGTTTGTTTCTATCCGTTGATTGTAATACACAGGATTTAGTATTAGTACGTGCAGTAAAAGATAAATTGAAAAATTACCATTTCTAAAATACATGGTTTAAGAAACAGAAATTACGTTTTGCAATTGCAATCAGTGTATCATATCGGGTTTACAAAAAGAAACATGTTCACGTCATGTCAATTCTTTATTTTACAAAGGGAAAGAAATGGTTGGAAATTACGTGATTAATATAATAGTACTACTTAAATACTTATTATAAGTTATAAGTGTAATAAAATAAACTGAAAAACACAAGTAAAAGTCAAAAAGTGACAAAAAGCTTCTTGTTCATGTGATCTTCTTGAATTAGTTTGTGTATATTTAATAAATATATTAAAAAAATTACATATCTGATGAATGATAATTGATAAACTTAAAAGAATAAATTAAATGAAATAATGGGAACTGGAAATGTTCGAAGTAATAATATGGACCGTTCGATCAACTGAAACTCCATAGCTGAATATCAGCATCGTCGTAGAAGTCATCCATCGTTGTCGTCGAGCTAATTAATTGTGGAGAATAATCAAAAGAAGCTCCGTTAATGAAGAACATCTCATTATGATCATACCATGATGGATCCATCAAAGACACATGTTCATCCACGAATGATCCCATTAATGATAACAAATCATCATCATTATGATGATCATCTGGCGGAGAAGACGCAGCTGATGAAGAAGGAGATGGATGGTGATGGAGACCATCATCATGATCATTGGAGGAGGAAGGAGGGGCAAAAGCGTCAGAAGCGATGGAGTTAGCGGCTTGAGCGGCGACCTTTTGGATGGTTTTGGGGGACAAAAGGGTCTTTTCATCGATGCCAATAAGAAACGGAGAAGTAGTAGTGGCGTGTGGGAAGTTGAGATTGGCTTTAGGGCCTTTAAGACACAAGAGCGCAGCGTCATAAGCCCTAGCAGCGGCCTCTGCGGTTGAGTAAGAACCTAACCAGATCCTTGTCTTTTGATTTGGTGCCCTAATCTCAGAAACCCATGATCCCCAGCTTCTCATTCTCACTCCTTTGTATTTCTTTATCTTGTTCTTACAAGATTGATGATGCAATGTCAACGAGGAAGAAGAACAAGAGGAAGAAGATTGAGACAGTGACGATGAGGAAGTGGTAACTTGAACTGATCGTTCTTGTTTCACCATATTGTATAATAATTTTGTGTTTGGTTGGAATGTTTGATGATACAAATGTTTGAGGTAAGAAAAAAGTATTTTGGATGGATATTATGTTGAGGGAGAGGAGATTATATATATATATATCAATGGATTGATTTAGGAGGAAGGAGACAATAATGGTTTATTTAATAAATAAAAAATTGGTCAAATGAAATAGTATGATTTTTTAGTATGAATGCGACATTTTTGGTGTATGACAGGTATTATTTTTTCACCAGAATAATCACAAATAGATATGTCAGATTTTGTTTCTTATATACTCCATATATCCTATTGAGCATGTAGTATAAGAATTTGATTTTTTTTTAATAATAAATATCGTAAGGGTGATTGTATTAACCGGTTAAATCATTTGAAAATTTAGATATTTACTTGCACTCATTCGAATACCACGTTGTTTGCTACGTTTGAAGATTAAATATTAAAACTGTATAATAAATCTACCATGATGTTGGTCTTAAATTGAATAAATTTGAAAACAACATTGTTGGGAAAAAAGAAAAGACGAGTGTACAGAGCTAGCTGTACGGAATCCACTTGATGAGGAAATCGAGAGTATTGCTTTTAATTAATAAACTGAGGGTGAGATTTTTTTTTTGTAAAAGGAAAATAATGTTTTTTTTCTTTCGAAAATTTGATGACTTATTGCTATCACTTTCCGAAAATGCAAATTACAGCTGCATTTGAATGTGTCAAATCCTACGATCTTTCGAAGAAAGTGACTCTCCAAACCTGCTCATTGGTCTATGTTTTGTTTTGTTACTATGCTACCAATTTTGGTAGTGAAAAAAAGTCCTAACATAAGATGAAGAGAAGTATGTTAATTACATACATTGAAAAATCATATTAGCGTATTGTTAAAATTTGTTTTTACCAAAATGAAGAAGAATATTGGTTGATAAATGAATTTAAATAAGAAATAATAAAGAAGATACATAGGATTCTGATATGAAGGGGCAAGGGAAGGCAGCTTCGTGAAGTAACATGTTAGGTCTCTCACACAAACAAAAACGATAAAACTAAAATAAAACTTAAACCCTTATTAAAAAAAGTGTAAATACATAAGCAATATTTTGGTGTACTTGTACAATTAGAATATACTAATAAATGACATATTAATAAAATATAAATGGAAATGGAAACGCGCAGCCAAATAGTGAAGAGCAATATTGGTGAAGACTGAAGTGAGTGAATCACTTCAAACAACAGCTGTTTCCACTCTGTCTTGCTGCTGCACAAAACCGCGTTTTCTCTCATTCTTCATATGTTTATTCTACTTTTGATTAGAAACAATATTTATATTTAATGTATATACATATGTTTTTATTCATACGTCCTCAACACTTCTTATACAAAAAAAAAGCTGTAAACAGAGATATTAATGGTCAAAAATCTTTATACAATTATGATGTGAGTTTACAAATGGTCAATAAGTACTTTGATATCATATCAACGTAACAAAACTATTTGACTACAACCACTTAGTCTTAATTCTTATTTTTGGTTTTTAACATTTTCAAATAAAAAGGCAAACGAAAAAAAGTTAAACCAAAATTAAACACAAGGCATATAAAAGTTACGTGCGACTATAACTGAAGAAGGAATCATGTGCTTTTTTGTTATTTTTCGTATAGATTCAATCAATACACATGCATCATATTTAAGCGAACATTCGTATAGATCTCTTTAATTAAGCCCGTCTTGTGAACTTTGAGGAGATTCCCCACGTCGAATATTGCTAAACTACACAACCAAATTTGCATATATATATTTTCTATAGTTAAACAACCCAATGATTAAAACGTAGAACTATCCTATAGTAAAAACGTAGAAGTATCTCCATATTGCATTTCTAAAACATTTATACAAATCAGAGGAATATATAGCTCAGTATAATTTCATGTTCGTGCATTATCTTTGCTGATGCATGTCCACGAGCGAGTGACACGATCTATAACAACAGCATATATATTTCAAAATTAATCTAGATATTCTGGTTTACGAATTACGAGACTCATGTATACTAAAAATTAGTGTTAGATACCACAATAAATTAATGGTGCATGCATGTGAGAATATGGAGGTGTGTAGATAGATACTAAATAAAAGCAAGATAATGATTTCAAAAGAAGCATGTGTATATTGGCAAAAGCCAAAACAAACCATATATGACTTTAAGACACGCAAGAGCACATGATCGAAGAGTCGAGAGATGGCATGTTTTTTTTGGGGACAGCCTTGACTTTCTCACCAAGGCTTAAGGGTTTGTGAGACTTGTCTTCACTTAGACATTTCACACTTTGGTCCTAAGCAAACCCTTAAAGGTCAAAGAGGTGACCTTTGCTAGCTTTCCAGCCAAAAATATTCTTTTTTTGTATGAAGAAAATAAAGCATGTCGAGGCTACTTCCGTTTTCATCCTACAGCCAATTCTGGCGATGTAATTTTAATTTAATTACTACTTCATATAGTTATGGACTTTTTGTTGCGTGTGTGTTTGTTCTATTTCATTTTGTTTTAGAAAATAAAATGGAGAAAAGCAGAAAAATAGAACTTGCCAATAAAATATGTTAGTTTACAAATAGTTAAATTAATTTATTTTTTCCAAACTTACAAAAACAGCATAGTAGTTAAGCGTAGCCCATACCGTGCGGCATTCGCTGGCACGGTGGCACCGTACTCCCTTCGTACCTTCCCAACAACTAAACAAAGAGATGACCTTTACCATCACATCACATATGTTTTTTTTTTTTTTTCACATCACATATGTTATCTAACAATATCTTCACTTACTTACAAGATTTAAAAAATAATATTTTTGTTATCTCTATAAATATATATATAACTTATACAGATATTTCGACTTACAGATTTCTTTATTTTTTGAACTAACTACATAAAGATTTCTTTCTCTTTTCTTTCTTTTATTATTTATCAGAAACTGGTACGATCGATGGTACGGTTTTGGCGTGAGAAATTTCGAAGAAGGTGTAAAATAAGGTTGAATATGAAAATATAATAATTTATGTAGGGCTAGATAATTTAATGCGATATATATGATCTCGAGGAGAAATTTCTAGGAAAGTAGAGATGCCTGAGTTTCATCATTATGGCTGGGGATGCTAAAATCCTATTAATAGAATAAAACCAATATTAAGTATTGTTTGTTTTTCAAACAAAATGAAATAGAACATACGAGAACTATTTTATTTCTCGTAGAATAGTGTGAAAATTCTATATAATTATATATACAATAAGTTCATCTGCGTAATAATGGGTTGGTGTTGGAATCTTACATTGTAAATTTGACATATATAGAGTAATATACATACTTCAAATTACAGTAATCATATCCTCATTGTCTCTGTCACTTCACCACATTATTGTCTTGCTTTTTTGATAAAATGAAGAACACGCAAACCTCTTGATGCAAACTCTTGATACAACTGATTGTATAAACCGGAAAAATGCTTTACAAATGTAAAAGCTCTTGATACATCTTTGTTTTTGATTTTGGGTAAGTCTAATGTATAAGACATTCACGGCTGCAAAACTAACGAAATCAACAATCTGAGAAGAGAATGTTTATATGCAGAAATGTTCAAAATTATGTCTCTTTTGTGGAAGTCCAATTTCATAGAATCCAATCACTAACGCTTATACAATTAAACAAAGCAAAAAAAAGAAAGAGAGGCTAATGATGTCAAACCAAGAAAACAAAAGAACAAGAAACAATAGAGATCAAAAACACAACGACTGAGAAATAGCTCAATGGGGAAGAAGCGATAGAGATACTCCCGGCAGGACCATTAGCTGGATTGCCCGGAATCGAACTGCTTGAAGGAACCGTAGATCCTCTCGGTGAAGCTGCAGCTATGGATCCTCCACCAACAACACCATCAAACTCTGGTGAAGGTGAAGGTGTAGGTGCAGGTGAAGGTGCATACATCAGTTCCTTTGGAACAGTATCAGGTGGAGCTAAAAGCGGCGCTAACTGTTGAGGTCCTGCAAATATTTTGTCAATTCAGTTAGAGATGATCAATATTTCATTCATTCATATACGCATGATGATGAGTCATCATCATTATACATACCAGGACATCGAGGTTGGAGAGACATGGATAACCTGAAAGACAAACCGGGAGAGTGAAGGAGTGAGAGATCGGTTAAATAGGTTAAACTCGCTAGCAGCAGGAGAAATGGGATAAGAAAAGACTCGTTACGTGGTCAAGATAGTGCCGTTGGCGAAACCGTTGTAGCTACAAGTAGTGAGTTTACAACCAGCGCTGCTCTGCTGCGAAGTGATGTTCCCGAGCATGAACTTGCTGTTTCTACATTGCATACTGGAGCAAGAGACTGCCAAAGAAGCAGGCTCACAATACATTCTGCATCATCACACACCAAGCTGCAAAAGATGAGCTTGTGAAGCCAAAATATGGACTTTAACGCAGAAGAACTCAGCCGCTGAATTACCTGCGGCTTCCGAGTGAACAGCTGCATTGTACACAGTGGCCTGCGGTGAGAGCATAGCTTCCGTTTGGAATGGTCAGTCCGTAGTCCGTAGCGTATTTGGGGAAATTCGAACCGCAAGCTGTGATGTTTTGGTACAAAAAAACAACAGAAAAACATTCAACATCTAAGTAGTTACATATCACTGAGTAGCAAATTCCTATAAAAAAGATTTGATACTTTAGACCTCTTATGCCTCCCAAGATGAATTCAATTACATTAGTTACATACATATCACTGAATTGCAAATTCTTATAAAAAGATTGAGACTTTAGACCTCTTATGCCTCTGAAGATGATTTCAATTACAATAGTTAAATATCAATGAATTGCAAATTCCAATAAAAAGATTGAGACTTTAGACCTCTGAAGATAATTTCAATTACAGTAGTTACATATCAATGAATTGCAGATTCTTATAGAAAGATTGAGACTTTAGACCTCTTACGCCTCTAAAGATAATTTCAATTACAGTGGATTCAACAAGGAAGATAAGAGTGTGGATCTCACCTAGCAATGGAACAGCGAGGATATCGCCGGGATTGATATCAGGAGCTCCCATGGCATTCACGTTTGTTAAATCCGTAACGGTGGTCGAGAATCTCTTTGCGATTCCGGTCATTGTGTCGATTTGCCTCACAACGTAAGAGAGGTAAAGCGCCGGGAGAGAGTCGTCGGTGCCGTTGAAGCAAGCGCAAGGAAGGGGAATCACAAGCCTCGTACCAACATCGGGAGTCGAGGACTCAATCTCCGGATTCGCCACCTGAATCTGCTCCGGCGAGACCAGACCGCCGTAAACAGAGTCGGCGATCGATCCCAGTGTGTCGGAAGTACGGGTTTTGTAGTGGGTGGATAGCGATTTCCTGATTCCGTCGACACAGGAGCAAGTGATTGGGATTTTGAGGAAGAGTTTTTCGGGGAGGACATGGTTCTCGACGTCTGGGTAAGAGATATCGATGGAGTTGGAGAGGAGTATGGAGATTGGGTCAACTTGGAAGAGGGATGCGACTTCTGTGACCTTGAGATCGGCGTAGAGCGTGTACCCGAGCAACGAGTTACAAGTGTCGCTAGTGGAGCAGGGCTCTATTGTTGATTTTGCAGTCGCCATTGAAGATAAGCTCGAAGCTAGAATCAGAAACAGAAGTAAAGGTGTTTCTGGGTTCTTCATTTCGATTCACCGGTTATGATTGCTACGGTTTTTACGAATTTCAAAATTTGTTAGGGTTTTACACACTCACACACACACACTCTCTCTCTCTTCTGGAAAAATGCTGATATCAGCGGAGAGAATACGATCAACAGAAGAAGAAGCTCAGAAACAAGAACTATCGAAACTTTACTGTTGTGTGTTAAAGAGATGAAAGGTATATTTTTTTGGGGATTTTGAAGAACTATAAGTCTTTCTTCTTCCTCTTCCAAGGAGAGAGAGAGAGAAAAAAGTTCAAAGCTTTTTGAAATAGTTGAGAGTTGAATGAGTAGCAGACAAAAGACAACGGTAATATGACGGATTTGTCCCTCTTTCTTATCTGTTCGGTTTGATTTCGACCCCACCGGTTCGAGTACAACATAGAATCATAATTCACCGGTTTAACGGGTAAAAGGAATCTTTTACAGTATTATGCTAACTTCAGCAATTAAAAAAGAAGAAGATTATGTATTTGTCTAATTGATAAAAGGAAAAGAAAAAGGATTGTCTATTATCTCTAAATGAAATATCGGTTCAGAGATTAGGGTAATCCGGTAAATTAAGGTTCTGAATTGAGGCCCACTTCAAAGCCCACTTGCATTTTTTTTTTTTTTTCCGGGAGCTAAAAAGCGAAGAATGTTTATCAGTGTTAAAAGAGCTGCCGGGAAAAACTTTGATCCAAACACGGTCTTCAAGTTTAGCGGGAAAAAGGAAAACAGAATCTCTTCCCTCCAAATTCTCAACCAAATAAAATCAACTTTTTTTCATCTGTGTTATTTACGCTTCGGTTTTTTTTTTTAACCTTCAACTTCAACGTTATAATTTTATCTTGCCAAGATCCCCAAATTCACACCAAAACCCTAGATTCTACCGCGGAACTCTGATTTCTCGAAATTCAAGTTCGTAAACACATAATTGACGATTTGTCCCGATGGACAAATCAGGTGAGAGAGACGGGATTGCTGCGACGGTGATCGTAGTGGATCAGACTCCACGGAGGAATGTTCGCCGGAAGTTGGTTCAGTCGACTTTGGTCCCGCATAAATCGGAGGAGGTAATTGATCCCAATGGCGATCGATCGTGCGATGCCGGTGATAAGGAAGAAGGCGAAGGAGGAGACGGAGATTTCTGTAGCAGTCAAGGGAAGAAGACGAGAAAACAGAGGACTCCGAAGAACGGAGCTTCCAAGAAGGTTCGTTCGATTATTTTCCATAAAATAGATTACCGTGTTTAGCTTGCTAGGCTTGTCCTGCTGCGTTTGGTAGCTAGAAGTATTTAGGTAAGGACTCTACAATGGTGATTACATTCGAGAAGATTATGTAAGCTTTTTGTTTCCGATGCAGATGGCTAAAGGAAAGTCGCCTCGTAAAACAACACCTAAGAAAAGTGCAACTAAAAACGGGAATGTAGCTGGTGAAGATCAAACGTTTGCTGCAAATGTCTCACCTCCAGTTCCCAATTTGCGTCTGGAAGCAAAATTAAGAGCTGAGGTAAGTGAAAATCATTTTTAGTAATTAAGCAATAGATGTGAAGTAGCTTCAAACACTCTGACAAAATTTGGCCTGATGTAAATTGGGTCTGAAGTTTGGGCATCTATTTGGTTTCTGTTTGATCAGGAAGATTCGCGGATGTCTGCTGGGAAGCAAGTACATCCGTTTTTCTCGTCTTGGAAAGGAGGTAAAAGAAATCAAGAAGCACCCGCAGCGGAAAATGGTAGTTGTCAGGGTCAAGCAAGAGATACATCCGTCACCATCGGCCCTATCCATGTATTTGAGAGGTTTCAGGTATGCCTTATACATTTTGGGTAACTTCCTCGATTATGTTTAGTAACAAAGCAATCTAAATAGCAAAACCTTCTTCTTAGGATGATGATTGGAACATTGATTGGAAGAACTGGACTTTCTGTGAGCAAATATCAACCACTTTGAGTCCTGATCGACAAAGAAATCCCCACTCCCTTAAACCCCGACCCAAGGAGTTTGATCTAAATGAAGTTCCGACTCTTTCTCATCCTGGCGTGTGCGTCATCGATGACGAGGAGCCTGAACAATGTGCTAGTCAATCAAAAAGTATCGCAGAGGCATCTCCCGTAGTCTTAATGGCATACCGGGAGGATAAACGCGGGTACCTTGATGGAGCAGAAACGGTAATAAGCTGAAACTTTCCCTTTTGGTCTTTGATAGTTTTGTTTCTTGGAACCATTCATGACAAAGGGTCCTTTCCTGCATTCTTTCTAGGGTTATGGAGTTCATGAAGCAGTTGAGTTATCTGATCATGCTGGTGGTGCAGCAGACATTACTCATGAACTGCAAAGCTTATCATGTCGAGAAAGGTGGGAATTTTGTCGTTTGATATCACTAGCAGAACATATGTTTGACCTTTAGTTTCTAATCTATGCAATAATAAATTGCAGTGGCATGCATCGTAATAACTTATGGGTAGATAAGTACCAGCCACGAAGAGCCTCGGAGGTTAGACCATTTGAACATACTGCCTTTATACTGGAATATGCATGTTTATATCTCCTGGGATGATATGGTTTAAGAAAAGCAGCAAACACAAGTCTCATATTTTCTTACCCGAGTTCTTGCAGGTATGTGGTAATACTGAATCTGTAAAACTGATGAATGAATGGCTGTGCCAATGGCGCGAGAGAGGCTTTCAGCCAAGCAAAGACTTTTTGAGTAGTGATGAAGAGAAATCGCAAGATGCTGATTACAACTGTTCTGAAAGTGATTCTGACTCGGATAATAATGGTGCTGAAGACTGCCTGAAAAATGTTCTCTTAATCGTTGGTCCAGTTGGGGTGTGTGATAAGATATTCTGCCACTAACTGTCAATTTTTACTTCTACATTTCTTTCTGAGTTTCATAAATGAGACTCTTATATTTGTGAGTATGATTGTGGATGTGTTGCAGAGTGGGAAATCTGCAGCTGTTCATGCATGCGCTAAGGAGCAAGGATTTAAAATCCTTGAGGTATGAATGTTTCCACTAAATGTATCTGAAATATTTTTATCCTGCAAGAGGACCATTTTTCCTCTTCTGGCATGAAGTTATTTACTTATGCAAATAATCTCTCGCTAATGTGAAAATGAGTGTCTCTGATGACTTTTCTTTTCTATAGTCGAATGCATCAGAATGCCGAAGTGGAACAGTTGTTAGGCAAAAATTTGGGGAGGCTCTCAAGTCATATAGCCTGCAAAGGTACAGAGAGTGGCAACAGTTATGAATGTTTGAATCTGATATTTTCTTTTTTTTCTGTCGGTGCATGCAAACTCAAGGATAGTGTGTTTATACTCACATAATTTCTTTCGTCAGGTCCTTGGACCCTCTTTTCAATTCCTGTGCTGATGGCAATGGGGTAGAGGATGTGATTGAAGTGACGCCTGTATTACATATCCAGAATGACAGAGCTAACGTGAAGCCTTTAATTCTTTTTGAGGATGTAGATATTTGCTTTGCTGAAGATCGTGGTCTCGTATCTGCTATCCAGCAGATTGCTGAAAGAGCAAAAGGGCCTGTGGTATTGACTGCCAATGGTACTGTTCGCCCAATATACTCTTTTTTTCTTTTCTCACTTGTTGTATATTTTAATTAATCTACTGATGGCATCTGTATTACATGGATATGTACAGACAAGAATCATGGTTTACCAGACAACTTGAAGAGGATAGAAATATGCTTTTCTTTGCCATCAACACAAGAGCTGTTTAGCCACCTTTCTTCGGTATATATTCTGATGCGTCGTAAACTTGGATTGTTAATTGGATTCTTGTAAAGAAAACTATTCTTCTAACAGTTGTTGTTTCACAGGTTTGTGCAGCCGAGAAGGTTAAAGTTAATCCTGGTTCACTAGAGCAGTTGACCAGCTTTACTGGTGGTGATATACGGAAAGCGATTATGCAATTACAATTTTGGTTTCAGAGTAAATCCAAACGAGGTACATTCAAAAAATTATATTAGTCTCTCCATAGGTTCATTTATTAGAGACTAGGTGATAATATGTTCAGCTATTTATAATGTTTTGAAGTTTGATCTCGTTACATTTTAAATTCCCATTTCCAGCCAGAAAGGCGAATAACACGGGTGATCCAGATCGCTTTGATCATGAGGCTGGTCACGTTCTGCTTCCCAAGATAATTGCTCGGGAGTTTCCTTCTCAATTATCTCAGTTTGTGGAGAGTGAGATTGCGAAATCATTATTTATGGCGGAGGAAAATGTTAACACAGTTGAAGTATTTGTTGAAGAGGTTGAAAACGAAAATATGCTTAATAGTTTGTGGAGGCGGGGCACAGAAAAAAACAGCATAGAAGCCAAAAAAGCAGCCATGTTGAGGCAGAACACTTGTTTTGAGGATTGTGATGAAATAGAAGACGTCTTAAGTATTCCGTTTGAACTTAGCAACACTTCCTACCAACCACACTCTCTCTCTCGGCCAAACAGAAGGAGGAAGCTCAATGTCGTGATGTCCTCTGATTCAGAAGATGAGCCTCTTAGTGACATACGAGTTTCAGTTTCAAGACATCAGAAGGACGACGGTTTTGTCCTCCAAGAAAATGGTATGTTGTCCTCGTATTGTGCAGATACGCAAAAGGATACAATCCCATTAGCAGCAGATCCTTCAGTTCATTCCAGAGCAGAAATATTGGAAACAAGTTGCTATCAGTGTGAGACATCAAATGTCTCTTGCATGAATGAGATGTCCCAGTCAGTTGATGTATCACGTGTACCAGAATCTTCATATGTTCCAGAAACTTTAATGGATAGTGAAGCTGAGCTGTCGCCAAGAGCGGTATCTTGTGGTCATTTTGATGGAAGAATAGACATGTCTATGAGTGAAGACGACGTACAGAGTTCCCCACCAAAAGAGATATACATAGACAGATTTCAGAGTTTTAATTGCTTAAAGAATACATGTGAGATCATTGCAGAATCTTCTGATGGGACAACGATGGAAGATTGTTTTAAGGAGTACGTAGGGAGTTCCCAGAAGATGCAACAAGTAACAGATGAATGCAGCCGTATAGATTTTGGTATGACATTCAAGACCGCTCAAAAGTCGAAGCTTGATACCTCAAGATATACGGTGCAAGAATCATGGAAAAAACTCTGTTCGAGTCATGCGGATCTGAAGCCATACATGGATTCAGAACCTGTAGAAGCTCCACAAGTTCTAGACATCACTCATCAGATAACCAACCTAATTTCAGAAGCTGACCTGACGCATTCTAGATGCCTGAAGTTTGTGAGTATTACATTAACACTTCAGCTTCCTCTCTTTCTAGACTCTTTTTCACTGTTGTTAGCTCATACATTTTTAACTTGTGGAATCTACTTCTCTAGGTTGCTACGGAGCAAATGATGAACACCTCTGGAGAACTGGACACGTCTGGTCTACCTCATGTGCTTGAACAGATGACTTCCACTGTGGCACAGCATGGGTTTAGCTTTTTCAAAAACCAAATTGCTACAACGGAATCCGTCCCTAGTTCATCAGCCACGATGGTACCAGGAAGAGATTTGGTAGTAGACGAGACAAAGCAGGATTACACATCGACGAGAAGTGGAAGCTGCTTGGATATGAAACCAGAAACGCACATAGACGTATTAAAATGGTAAATATTATCCTCTCAACGTATTTGAGCTATAAATGACTACTACTTCATCACTTTCACTGGCTTTTTTTGTTGCAGTTGCAATTTTCTTGCTGACGCACTCATCTTCCGTAAAATTTCCACTGTTCTCTCTCTCTTTCATTATTGAGCTGCTGTTTTTTTGTTCGAATGCAGTGAGCGAATGTTACAGCTTTCCGGCATATTAGAGTCAGTAGTCCCTCTAAGATCATTGAAAGGAAGAGCTTTCCATGAATATGCTTCATTCATAGAGCAGATTTCAAGAGCAGGTCCCTCTAACTTATCTGGAGCCATGGAGACGAGCAGACGGCGAAGGTCAGTCTACCAACTGGTTTCACCATAGTCTTTGAGTATGATTGATTTCTCTCCTAATCTCCATTTCTCTCGTTTCAGGTCAAGAGAAGGTCGACATTATCTGTCAATGGATCTATCCTCGGAAGAGATTGCATTCTTGGGTCAACACAGCACATATAGAAGAAACGAATAATAAACCAGTTTCAGTTGTATAGAAATTAGAGTATTAGAAAAGCTCCACACTTGAGTTTTAGAGTTTTAAACAGGTTTGCTCAGCAATGACCCTTACGGGTTACGGCATAGTTTCTTCATCTTTATATATACAGAGAAAACAACAATTGATGTACTTTTCTTTCCTTCGGGTTTCTGAAAATGTATTATATAAATTAAAGATTCTACATATCACAGAGATATATAAATAGTAGGGAAACATTATCTCTCTTCTATGAGCACAAAACAAAACGACGAAACAAAATGTTACTTTTCTCTATTGAGGTTTTTTTTTGAGTAAAATGCATATACTTAGTAAAAATTCAACACCCCTTGTGTAAAATGGCTTTCTCTTGTGCATTGGTGGATACTGAATCGAGATCAGACTTTGCCTTCGAGTTTATCGTTATTAACAAGAGGAAGTAACTCCATCTTGTTTCTCGGGGTACGAGGAGTCCTAGGAGTTCCCGGCGCCTGCTGCGAAAGCATATGCCTCACGTATCCATAAAACGTGCAGCCCACAAGCGTGATCCCACATCCAACAGCATTCATATACGATATCGGGTTACGGAATATCAACCATGACACCATTACAGCCACCGCAACCTGCAAACACAATATGAACCATGAATACGTTTGTTATCATTTGTTGGTCTGTATCATCCAGAGCAATGCGAAAAGAATATAATAAGTTATGATGGGGTTTAGGATTCGTCTTTGTTACCTTGAGGTTTCCAGCTACGTTGAATGTGACTGCGGTTGTGGAGTGGATGACATAGAAGATGGAGAAGTTGAGACAGAAGGCCAACACACCGGAACTGAAGATAATGATGAGGGCTGACCAGGGAGACGGGTGTGCTTCAAACCAACTCAATATTCCGTTGCCTTCCAGTAGTAACGCCGGTATCCCGAGAATCATCGTGGCGAAAGGCGCCATGTAGTATACTGTGTTTATGCTACATAAAGAAAAACACGAAAAAATCAAAACTTTCTTCTATGCAGATGGGATATCCATTGGTTTACTTCTCAAAAGTGATGATATTGCCTCTTAGATAAGAAGTAGAGATACATCAATCACCATTGTGGCTAGTCCCCAAATCCAAGTGAGTACATTTTCGAATTTGGACTAAGATGGCATCACATGATCAACTATTCTAGTGCAATACAAGCAAAATGATTGCATATTCGAAACTAATTGCAGTTTTCATGATCATGGAAATCAAAGTTTCATACTGAATACTGTCAAAGCAAATAACTGACCTGTCAAACTTGTAACCATGGAGGAGAGATTCGGCTAGAATGGTCTTTGTGGAAGTAGCTAAGCATCCAAACAGGGCAGCACAGAATCCAAACATGTTGAAACTAAGCTCTGTAACAGAGGTCAGAAGAATTCCTCCAACAATGGGCACAAGAGACGCCCAAATACGCCAGTCGAAGTATTTCCTCCATACCAGCCACTGTAACACAACTGCTCAAACATATATATACATAGGAAACAATCAGCATCTCCAAAGAACAGACAAGAGAAAGATTACAAATTTCAGAATCTCAATCTCAAAACCCTAACCTGTAGTAGCTGGAGTGAAGGATTTGATCGTCTGCATAAACGAAACCGGGATGTATCGAAGGCTGACATTTCCCAACACTATGTTGATACAGAACACGAACGACATTGGGAAAATCCTCCTCCACCGATCCTCTGGATCAACCACGATCAACGGTTTAAGCTTCAGGATTTTGATAACAATGTACGCTCCGATCGATGAACATATGAAGTGAACACATGAAACCGATAGTGGAAACTTGAAATCCAGTTTCTGCATAAATTTTCAAAACACTATATATCATCAGTCTATGAAGCTGAAACCGCAGATTAGACTCGTCTAAGAAACAAAACAAATCAAATTGTAATCTCAAATCAAAACGTCAAACATTGCAAATTCCACATCACGATATTAGAATAACAAGACAGATCAGATCGATAGAAGATAGATTACAAGGAAAAGAGGGGAAATTACAAATTAGCTAAAACCTAATCAAAGGAATCGTAAGGAAAGTGAGGGTAAAAGATACCTGGAAGATCCATTTGTTCATGATGATGACGGTAACGTTGAAACCCCACCACTGAAGAATCGCTAACAGAGATCTGAACATACTTCCCTCTTCCATCTCTCACCCCCAAAAAATTCAACGAATTTCGGAATCAGATCGCAAAATGACAAAAACCCACAAAAAGTTAAACGAGTTTTAAGAAGAGAATCCGTGAGAAAGAGGGAGAGATCGAGAGAGCGAAAGCTGCGCAGCTAAATAGAGAGAAAGAAGAAGAAGGAGTGAAAACCCTAATGAAAGTGAAAACTAAGAGAAGGTAACGGTAGCAGTGAGCTCTTGTTCCATGTGATTTGTTTCGAATTCTCTTCTTCTGTTCATCAATCTCAAACGTCTCTCTCCCTCTCTCTCTCTCTGTCTCTCTCTCTCTTATGCCATGAAAATAATGTTTTGCTCTTCCGTAGGATTCCATTTATTATATATAAGAAATATATTTTCCAACAAAAAACACTCTTTTCACTATTAAATTCCTCTATTTTAATTATTCAATTTAATAATTAAAAGAGTCAAAAATACCACGAAATTGTATTTCCATGTTGTAGAAAGGGTTCAGTCAACTTTCCCTTTACATAACTCAATTGCATCTTATCTCTTGGTAACAATTTTTCAGTTTTCATATTAATTTTTTTCCACAATGTTATAATGTGAGGTTTGAACTTTGAACCCGAATAATTGTAATAATTTTTTTATTCGTTTATAATCGAAAACATTTTGCTTTTGCCGCAATTTTTTTTATTGTTAAAATATGTTTGTTTTGTGGTATTTGTCCCATATTTCCAAGGGTACGGGAAGATCACTGCCGTCCGATGAACATACTTTTCTCATGACGCTGACATCTTACTGCTACTGTCTGTTTTTGTTATTGGTTATGGAAATATTTTTTTTGGTTATAACTTACAAATTATATGTTTTTGTTCTATTAAAGTTGAACGTTTTGTTTTGTTAATTACAAGTTGGACGTTAGATATAGTCCACATTTATTTTACAGTTCATATATATAAACAAGAAACTGAATTTGGAACTAAATGCAAAAACCACCAACGTTTTTTTGGTTAAAAGTTATATAAAAAATGATGGACCAAGTTCTATTATAATTTTGTTCTTGTAAGCAGAAATAGTCTTCAAACTTTACTTTCACCAACAAAAAAAAAGAGCCTTTACACTTTACTAGGATCTTAATTTTTCTCTCAAGATAAAAAAAAATAGGTTTGGCAGCCAAATCTTTTTTTTTTAGAAAAATAGCGACGCTATTTAGCGATATAATAGATCGTCATAAATTATTTATAAAACTCTTAACAGTATCACAAGCAAAATGCATAAATATTTGTATAATACACGAAAGCGATTGTAACATGTATCGTTCATGCAAACGACCATACTTAATATTGAGTTTTTGACTGAATTAGTTAAATCACGAGAAAGTCAAAACCATCTGATATTCTGATGGTCTCACTTTATGTGAACAATAAGATAGGGGAAATTAATAAATAAATAAAAACACATTATCAAAATAATAACTTCAAGAAAAATGAAAGATCCAAGATCTTGAATGAAGTAGGCAGCAAGTTTTGGTTTCCCTTTACATGGTGTAGGCAATGAATGCTAATTTAGATCTGTAGCTACAAACTTACAAGGGTGAAATGTAAGGCAAGTAGGCATTTTCAATCTAAGATTAAAAATCAATATTGAATTTTAGCAATCGCCAGTGCCAATCATTTTTTTCAGCATAACATTAGATTAGGCCAAAAAAAAGTATAACAATTCATTTATACGCTGTTTATTTTCGAAATTTTACCTGAGCCATGCATGATGATAGTAATTAATATATACACATCAAGATATCTATATTTGCTTATCAGTTTATTTTCATTTTTCCTCTCTATTATAGAGAGAGCAGGTCTTTAACTTACATTTACTCATTGATTTCGTGACACATACATAAACCAAACTTTCACGAGCAAACGAGAAAACCCACTCGAGAAATAGTGGAGAAATCTTCAAAAGTCAAAAAGCATCTACTTAGAGAAACTCGTCCTCTTAATATATAACCACCATTATTGTTATTCCTTATATGGATTTCAATTATTGAACATTGATCCAGAAATGAAATGGAGACAGAAAATGCTCAAATGATCATTATGGTATAGATACAAGTGTGTTTTGCCACTTAGTGTGTGTGTGATTGTATCAAGCACATGGGTGGTGTTGTCTTTTTGCTTACTACAACACCAATTAGTGAGTAGAATTTGATCTGCAACAACCAATAATAATAATAATAACTCTATGAAATCAACTAATGAACAAAATCATAATCACCTACAGAAAACACTCTTTTCACTATTAAATTCTTTTATCTGATTATTCAATTCATTCCAAAATACAAGTAAAAAAATATCGGTCACAAAGGAAAAAAAGAATTAAAAATACCACGAAATTGTATTTCCATGCTGTACGAACTACGAAGGGTAAGTCAACTTTCCTTTTCCACACAACTCAGTGCATTTTATCAATTTTCATCTATATTAAATATTTAAATGAACTTTTTTCTCGTAACTTTCTTCATTCGATGATAATTGGGCCAGTAGGCCCATGTAGATAATTTGTTCGTTCTTTTACAGTTAGTTGTCACCTTCCTCAGTACAATCTCCAATGGGGGCAGTGACGACACTCAGAGATTAAAAAAAAAAAAAAAAGAGAGGGAAAAAGGGTCCCTCCCGCCCAAAGCTCCCTCCTTCCTTGCTCCGTTTTCCTCGCAGACACACCGTTGGATTCAGATCGCCTCTCTCTCCGCAGTCGTATCTTAGGGGTTTTCTTCTCCGTTTTGATTTCGATTTCATCTACCGGTGTACGGAATGGAGAAAACTCCGACGCAGATTGTTTCCGAACTGGGTTCTCGCTTGCTTCAGTTATCTCGTCCGAACAAGGCTTCTCTGGTGAAGTCACTACGGGTAAGTTTTTGATTCCGATGAAATATATTTCCCAACTTGAAAATAAGAACTGGGTTTGTTTTATAATCTACTCGATTTTGGGTTTGATTTCTTCACTGTTGAAAACTCGTTCTTACTCCGAAACATCTCGATTCGTCGGAAATCCGACTTGAATTTGAGTGGGTTTGTGACTGGGCGTGATGGGTTTCTTTTACCCCTCTTTCGATTTGCCTTGTATCTCAAGGGTTTTGCGGTAACTGCTTTGCTCATTTGAAAACGATTTTGGGTTTGTAAGCTAATAGCTGATCTGACGGTGGCTTGAGTGTTATTTCCGGTGATACGATATCAAATATATTCTGATCAGATCCGAAGATAGTATATGGGGACGATTTATGTTCATTGCCACTTTCGATCATATGCTATTTTGCAGGAGTTTGTTTGCTTACACCTATTTTTATAACTTTGCAGGAAGCTGCTACTACTCTTTCACAAATCGAGCAGCCTTTAGTCACCGAAACTGTGAACAAGAAAAAAGCTCTGAAACTGCTTGAAGCTGAGCTAAGACCTCTGAAGAACTCCATTATAAAGCACGACCTTCTTAAAAACCGCGATAATGACGTGAGTCTTTTAGTCACTGTCTGTGTCAGCGAGATTTTCCGGATTCTAGCACCCGAGCCACCTTTTGAAGACAAGTACCTCAGGGTATGAACATGTTTCTGTTGTTTTCTTCTTCAAGTCGATTCTCAGCTTGTGTGAGTAGATACTTACATATTCCCAAATTTCAGGATATCTTCAATCTCTTTCTTGCTGAGTTTTCCGAGCTATCTGATACTGTGAGCCCTTATTTCTCAAGAAGGGCAAAAATCTTGGAGACAGTTTCTCGATGTAAATGTTGTCTGCTAATGCTGGACGTGGACTGCCATGATTTAGTTCACGAGATGTTCAACATGTTTTTCTCTGTTGTAAGGTAAGAGATGAAGCAATTTATGTTGTACTTTCACGGCTACTCTGATATTTTATTGGTAATAATGAACTGCATTAACATTTAACAAGGTCGTGTTTCCCTTCTTCTCTTTGCAGAGAGCACCATCAACAAAATTTAAGTCATCAGAAAAATGCTAAAACGCAGCAGCGAAAGGGTAACACGCAGCAAGCACAACAAAGTGTATTTAAAGACATTTTAACTATAACGATTGATATTCTGAAAGAAGAGTCAAGTTCGTCGCTTGTCGAGGTTATTCTGGAAAATCTTTTGAAGGATGGAAAGGTAGGAATGTACGGAGATTAATTCTTTGTTGTTTATGACTTGCCAAATTATCAGATGATATTCTTACTCTCGTGTGCTTACAGGATGCAACTCCTGGTGCTAATAACCTTGCCAGTTCTCTCATTGAAAACTGTACCGAGACGCTTGAGCCGTTGATTTGCAGCTTTTTAACATCCTGTTTTATGGAGAAAGATTCCATCCAGACCAATCTCAAAGATTCTTATCACGAAATCATATTTCTGATCTCCTTAAATGCTCCCCAAATACTGCTAGCAGTTATCCCGAACTTGACCCAAGAACTACTGGTATTTATTACACACTTGCGTCTAAATAAACGTATGATCTAATTTTTCTATGAAATTGTGTTAGTTAGTAAGGTATAGACTGCTTTGTTTTAAATTAGTGTTTATATTACGGTTTGTATTTTTGGCTGTTCACCAGGGTTGTTATTTTCTCTGTCTGCAGACTGATCAGGTCGATGTGCGAATAAAAGCCCTCAACTTAGCTGGAAGGATTTTTGCACAGCCTAAGCACTGTTTCGGAGAGATATATCGAGATCTTTTTGCAGAGTTCTTGAAAAGATTCTCAGATAAATCTGCAGAAGCCAGAATGGCTGCATTGAAGTGTGGCAAACAGTGTTACTTGGCGAATCCATCTGGAAACAAAGCATCGGGAGTTCTCAGTAATATTCCTAAAGTGTTTTCCCTTTTTTTTGCCTTGGTTTGTCATTTCTGCCTATCTTCTAATAATCTATGGTGTGCTTTATTGTTTTTTTTATGTCTCAGCTGCCATCCAAGAACGCCTATTAGATTTTGATGATAGGGTTAGAACACAGGCTTTGGTAGTTGCTTGTGATATCATGAAGTTTAATATGAAGTACGTTCCTTTGAATCTGATTTCTGAAGCCACTGAGAGACTTCGGGATAAGAAGGTACTCTACGTTTCAGTATATGAGGCGTTACAGAGGGGCTATTCTTTTTCCAGATTACTCACCACCTTATTTCATATTGTGCTTTTGTTTGAAAAAGTTATCTGTTAGGAAGAAGGCTCTGCAGAAGCTGACAGAAGTATATCAAGATTATTGTGACAAGTGTGCAGAAGGATACATGACAATAAATGATCATTTTGAGCAAATCCCATGCAAAATCTTACTGCTTTGCTGCGATAAAGATTGTAAAGAATCATGGTAACATAATTTACTAACTATCCTTGAACTGTTTTTTTTATCTTAAATATTTCTGACAAACTAATATAGTTCTGTGAATAACTTAGGTCCCAAAATATGGAACTTGTGCTCTCCGATGATCTTTTTCCTCGCCATCTTCCAGTTGAGGAGAGGATGCAGCACTGGATCCAATGTTTTGCCGTTATGAACCATATTCATTTGAAGTCACTCAATTCAATTTTATCTCAGAAAAGAAGGTAGACATAATAATTCACCATCAAACATAGGTTAAAAGGCTTTCTTGCTAAGTGAACTTAGTATGTTTCCAGGTTGCAAAGTGAATTGCGGCATTGTCTGACCCTGTGGGGAGAAGCCAAGGTCTTATTTGCATTTCTCTCAAGTCTTGGTGCTCACAGATAATGAGGGCTTCGCAAACTTTACATTACTCATTAAATTATTTTAATCTGATGCTTGCTTCAGGATCACAATGCAGAAGAAGTGCAAAGAAAACAAAAGAGCTATTTTGTAAAGCTTTCAGCTTGCTTTCCAGATGCCTCCAAGGCAGAAGAACTCTTTCACAAATTAGACCAAATGAGAGACACATCAATTTTTGATGCCTTAACTCTACTGCTGGATGAACTGACATTCACAAAATCCCAGACTATTAGAGTAAGTCCAAACTTCTCTGAGCATCAGATGGATTATTTATTAATGTGTAATATATGTATAGTGTCTTCACAATTCATAAGGTTTTCTCTTTTTCTTTGAAACATCTACAGTATCATGATTATTGTACTCTTTTTCCATTCTTGACAAATTCTATGATACATTATTTTAGTATCAGCAAGCGTATTTACAGGAAATGTACTGGTATTCAGATGTGCTTTGTGGATTTATTCAACTTCACTACATAGAGGTTAAAATTTTCTCATTGTTCCTTATTTTTATTTTTCAGGAGAAGTTTCTCGAGACGATTGGTGCTAAACATCATCTTTTCGACTTCCTGCGCATACTTTCTACAAAATGCTCGCCTACTATATTTAGCTCAGAGCATGTCCAGTATCTACTGAATCAGCTTTGTAGTAGCACCTCTGTTAACACGCAGTCTAAGGCTCCTTCCATCAAACTTCTTCTGGTAAGAACAAATGTTGGGATAATGCTGGCCTCCTCAAATTATTATCCTTACATTTAAGTTTTTATTGTTCCAGTCGATATCGGTCCTTGGTTCATTTTAGGTGTTCCATTATTAATTTTGTTTTTTCCATAAAAAAACAACTTCTTTTAGGTATATCGGCGTTCTTAAGTATACATTATTATTATGCTTACATCGACTTCGAATATGAAAATGAAGCACAGTTAATGATTTCCTAAAATAGGTTATCCTCAACATGTTCCCTTCGTACCTGAGAGGTTCAGAAAAGCCGTTTCTGAAGCTGTTAGAGGAGAATGATTCAGTTGCTGACGAGCTAACTGAAGCTTTATCAAAGGCAGCTCCTTATATTTCTGTCAACTTTGGGTAATCTCTCAAGCACTATTTGATTTCCAATGGAAATTTAGGTCAAGTTATCATTATTATGTAGCATTCTTTTATATTACTGTGACCTGGTAGTCAGAGTACACAATCTGGAATGCTAGAGCTCCTTTCTTGCTGTACTGCTTTATGATATGTTATGAAAATGCTCATCCAGTTGGAGGACATGTAGTGTTGCTAGTGAAATCTGTTAACATATTAACTAATTGTTTGATCAAAGTAAAGAATTTACAGACCGTCTTTGTAGCGCAAGTTTACTCTCTGAAATCCGGTCATTACCGTTCCATTTACTCCCACATTGCAAATATGTCGTGCTGTTATATAATATAAACGTAGCTAGCTGTTAGGCTTAACTGTTCTGCCTGTTGTTTACTCTGTAATCTGATAGTGTACTCCTCCTCTTATAACTAATAGAACTATAGAAGCTCTTTGATGGAAAAATATAATTAAAGAAGATTATTACTCGACAAGATGCTCTAAAGATTCTTAATACAAACTTTTAGATACAGGCACGATATACAGTCTATTTTTAAAACAGTAGTTACATTTTATTAGATGCTTTAAGTTCGTTTTTGATATTATTCTCTCTTAAATATGGCTTATGTAAGTTAGCATACCTATACAACTAATATCCTTCTTTATGGATTAGTGAGATCTGGAAATACTTTAGACATTGGTTTGCCTTTGCAGTGGCTATTACCCTGTTTTGGAGAAGTTGTGTCTGGAGGGCACTCGTTCTCAGGCAAAATATGCTGTTTCTGCCATTGCTTCATTGGCTGGATCATCTGACAATTCTGTCTTTTCCGAATTATGCGAGGTGATTTGTTTTCCGCAACCTGAATTTGTGTTAATTTCTTATACATATGGATTTCCTAGATTGAAGGCATTTATGTAAATGTTGTGTAACTAGCTTTGGTAAGATCCGTAGTGTATAACTTAATTCTGCTTTATGTTCTCCGGAGCCTAACTCTTCGCGTAAGTGGAATTTTAAGTGATGATGTGACAGCGGTTGTAGGGAGCATCGCTTTGATATATTAGACAGTCTGTTCTATGCACATATCTTTCACTATACTCCCTTTTAATTAGTGAAGTTTTTCTTTATAGCGTATGTTGAGTGTTGCCATTGATTGTTTTGCTCTCCTTTTGCTCAGATGCTCATAGATTCTTTGCTGGGGGGACGGAACATTCCAACAATTTTGCAATCTTTGGCGTGTGTTGGGCAATATTCTGTTTTGGCATTTGACAACATATATGAAGATATCAGTAGCTACGTATACCAGGTCTTTCAAGTAAGTGGCGAGAGGAGCTATTCTTCGAAAGTGCTATGGATATATCCAGCTAGTTCATTATTTTGTTATGTTTTCCTAATTGTTAATGGTAATGTTCATAGGCGGAACCATCTGACAAGCAGCCTCCTTGTGATCAGTCTTCTGGTTGTTGTAACTCTTGCAAGATTAAGGCAAGTGCTGGAGAAAAAAATCATTTTTGCTTTACGTTTATTGACTTCCGAGAAAGTTTAAGTCTTTAACATGTAATTACAAAGTGAAATAAATGAGCCGGCTTCTGCTCAATATGTTCCGGTTACGAGTACCTGGGATGAAGTTAAGCATTTTCATGCTTTATTGCAAATTTTTTTAGGAATAAGGCTGCGGCAGAAAGAAATACATGTGAATGACATTATCGTTAAGAATGATTCCTTTATTAGCTAGACAAGGATTGGAGTGTTAGCCTTGAGATTTTAAGTTTTTTGATTTGGGATAACTGCAACGAAGTTCTCAAAATTCGCGAGGATGATGTATGTTCAGTTTTTACTTGTTTTCTTTGGCAGATATATGGGCTCAAAACACTCGTGAAAAGTTTCTTGCCCCGTCATGGTCAAGTCGTAAGGAAAATCGATGAGTTGTTAAAGGTTTTGAAGAAAACATTAAAATCACAAGGATTCGATGGCATCAGATCATGGTATGTTCTTTTGGATTGTTATGCAAATCAATGATGTCATACGGGCTTTTAACACGAAGCAGCATGTTTTATGAGTTTTCACGATTCCATTATCAGTTTTCTCTAAGCACATTCCGGATCCGCGTTGACTTCTCATATGATCTAAAATACTTATTTGCTCTTTAAATTTGTAGCGATGACACAGGGGCCAATGTTAGACTGGCTGCTGCTAAAGCTGTTCTATTACTTTCAAGGAAATGGGACCTTCATATTTCTCCGGAACTTTTTCGTCTTACGATCTTGATGGGAAAGGTAAAGTGACTTCCATCTTGCATGACAACCAAACAAATTTAAAATTATTCTTGAATATTATGTTAACTGGATAATTTTAAGTGCTTGTTTTCAAGTTTTTTTTGTTTAAGTGATGGCAAGTTATGAGTCAACTGTTACAGTAGTCACGTACTGCATCCTGCATTTGTGAATTATGAGTATATATCCTTGCATATAGGATATATCCATAACTTGCTCTAGTAGAATTGGCTTTGGCTTATGTTATTTTATTCTTGAAGAAAAGGATGTTTTTAGTATTTCAACCATGTAATGGCAGTGATGACAGTCTGGCTTATAATTGCTTCTTTTGGTCTCTTGTACTACGGAAGTTGGATTTATATGGTGAGTTTACAGTGCACTTGATTGTCTTTCTGACCGTTTACGTTTATCTTCTGCCAGGATTCCAACGCCTTTATTACCAAAACCTTTCTCACCAAATTGCACAAGCTATTGACGGAAAATATGATACCCAGTAGATATGCCTGTGCTTTTTCATTTTCCGTGTCTGGTCCATGCAGAGATCTGCAAGATGATGTAACTTGCTTATACTCCTCTGTCCCCACTCTAAGAAGGATTATTTTGGTTGTTTTAACCCTTTAGGGTCTCTGAGACTTTTCTTGTCTTTTTGTTCACTTGTTCAGTCGCTTAGATACATCAATGGATTCATCAGAAATGCTACAAAAGAAGCTCGGGCATGTCGGGATTTAGATCAAGGGGAATCGCTCACTGATTGTCCACCGTACATGATAGTGTTCCTGATCCATGTTCTTGCACATGACCCGATGTTCCCTTCAGAAGACTGCAGGGATGAGCATGTCTATGCTCGGTTTTGTAGGTAATTTCTAAGTTCCTATTATTGTTGGTAATTGGTTTCTATATGAATTTTTGTTCTTACTTCTTCCCTTTGGCAGCCCTCTATTGTCGGTATTACAGGTGCTACTTAGTAACAAGGAAACGGTCCCTTTCTTGTTATGTATCTTGCGTGCAATTAAGAGAGCTGAGGATGCTGTTAATGCTTGTAGAACTCCTGTAAGTGTGGCATGATAGCACTGAATAACATAGATGCTTCTTTACCATTCGTAGGCCTAAATTTATTATGATTTGAACTGCAGAGGCTACATATTCTGGCAGATATTGGTTACTCAGCTGTAAACACATTAAAATGTAATGCCGTCACTTCCCCACAAGCTCCACGGTCAATTTTGCTACCATCATCGTTGTACAAATTAAGCCTCACTAGCATGTCCGATAACCAGGCAAGTCCTGCATTGCGTGAACATTGCTCAACTTGTGATGTTAACTAACATTTTTTTTGATTTCCGGGAATGCACTCTGCAGAAAAAGGATAAGTCTCATACTCGAAGTGCTTTGGAACAAAGTTTCATGAAAAAAGTAGTTCATATATTCCAATCACAGATCTCCCCGGTATATCCACGTTACATTTACTGTCCTTTTACCATTTTACTTACTTATATTATTTTTATGCTATGTAAGCTTTCCTTTTCCTGATCCTGTTTCTGCCAACGTGAACTCTTTCCGTGCATGATCAGAGATGTCAAGAAGATATCCCAGCAGTTGTTTTGGAGGATAGAGGGTTGCCTTCATTGTTGGGCAATCAAATCCAAACCTCACTGGCTGGTTCAACCGAAGCCAGCAAAAACAACACAAGGTGTAGCAGGAAGCGAACACATTTGGGATTGCCTGAAAAAAGTACTACTTCCAGAGCAAAAAAGTGTAAAACAGTAGAGGGGGCAGAACATATTTCTCGAAATTCCTTATCTTTGAGAACAGTTGAGTCGGAAGTTCCTATTAAGAAGCTAGAAAGACATAGTACTTGTTCAAAGGAGATTGTTTTAGCAAGTTCCAGCGATAATGTGGCATCTTCCAAACATTCCGGGGTAGTGTCTGCTTTAAAGGTAAACTCATAAGTATATGTTAGATCTTTATATAACTATCCTTATCTTCCTGTGATACCAGAAAATGATTGTCACAGGATATCAGCAACCACGGCGAGGCAATCATTGGACAGCGGATAAAATTACTCTCCCCCACTGATGGATGGTAGAATTTTTCTTATAGATAGTCGACCAAATATGCACTGGCGTTTTTCGTAATTTCTTTTGGGGTCTTTTTTGCCAGTTTCTATCCGGGCACTGTTGAGAAATTTAATTCTAAAAGCAACTCTCACAAGGTATGCTTCTAAGCCCATGTGATTCTGTTTTTCCGTGATGACTGTTAATCCATTTGCCCCAACTCTCTGCCTTTTTCCTGCTCTAATATACGTCACGGGCTTCTGTGTTTGCTTTGTTTCAGATTGCTTTTGACAATGGGGATGTTGAATTAGTTTGCTTGAACAGCGAGAGCTGGGAGACACTGAGCCATGAATCCTTGGGACAACAGGTAAATGGAATGCTTTATGCAAAACTCATCATTCAATTAGTAACTTGGTGGAATCCAAAATGAACTTGGCACAGGTACAATAGTGTTAACATTAATGTTTGGCTTCTTGTTATTCAGGAAATAATGGGAAAGGAGACAGAATCTTATGGTTCGCGGAATTGGTGAGTTACAGTCAACCGGCTTTCTCTGGTTGCTCTTTTCTGTTGTCATCTGTAATGATGTACTTTGCTTTCTGCAGCGTTCCTGAAATTACTCTTGCACAACATGCAAAGGCTAATAATGCCCAAAAGAAGAAAGCTACAACAAAGCAGCAGAACAAAAAGCTGCCTACTAAATTGATTACTCCAGCTGGTAAAGTGTTGCAAACTTCTTAATTCTGTTTTCAATGCTACTTCAGTTGTCGACTTATGGTATTTGGCTCATTAGCATCTAAGTTCATCTGTTCGAAACATAAACATACGAGGCATCCATTAACCATGATCCATGAATGATTCCCATAGTCCCTGTTTCTCATAAGTGAAAAGAAATTTCAGATTTGATGACATTTGGTTGGTTATGTATAACGTTATTCTTGATTGCTTTTGGATTTGAAATCTAACGAAGACTCCCATGTTTCATGATTCAGCAGACAACTCAGTAAAAGGAAATTTGGTGTCAGGAGAATCATCAGTTTCAGAAGTAACCAACACAAGTGACAACATTGTAAGCCTTCCTCCTCCTAACAGCAAAATTTTTGTAATGTTAATATCCCCAATGATCATTAGAATGATATTGCTTGATTTAAGAGACGAAGTTGTTACTCAATTTTCAGGGACTTAGAAGAAGTCGGAGACAGCGAGCTTCTTAGGAACATATTTATGTTTATAACCTCGTACAAATTAAATAACTGACTCCTTGTTTAGATTTAAATTGTTAATGACCGACGCCAAAAAGAAAGGTAAAAAGTTGTTTTAAAAGATTTGTAAACTTTTTTGTTAACATTGTTGGCTCTTTGATCATTTTGTTTCTTGACTTGACAATCATTAATCAACCAGGTCAAGTCATTTTCAAACTTATCTAACTAAACCAAAATTTACCCAATTTCTCCAAAAATCCACATTGGATTGTTTCAAGAAGAACGACTATTATTATTAATTTATTTTGTTTGAAAATGCAGTTAAGTCTTGTTGTGAAATTAGGTGCGAAAGGTATGCAATTTGACAATTTTGAGCGTTTTGTGGAATGAGATTTGGCGTGCCAACTGTAAGAGGTTATATTTGCATTTGGTATGGTCGTTTGTCAGATTTGACCTAACACATCCTACGGTCCAGATCATTCCTTCTTCCTCTACTTAATTATATATCCTCTTTAGATAATTATTCAAAACAAAAAAAAAAGCAATTTTTTTTCTAATTTCTTCTTTCTACAATTCTCTTCGTTTCGTCTATCGGCGTCCACAGTCCTCTCGACGTCTCCGCTAAAAGACCATTATACCCTCGCTGTTCTCTCTGTCTCTCTCTAAATTGGAACCTCGCTGCCGTTTTATTTCCTATTTTTTAATCGCCGGCGACGGTTTCGTCTTGCTTCTCCGTTCACCTGCTTCGATCACGGTATATTCCATTCCCTTTCTTCTCTTCTTCTGCTTCACATTTCTGATTACATTTATTCGAATGCTTGTTTCATTCACGTCTTTCGTCACTGTCTCTCTCTCTGTGAGGCTTTGATTAGTTTGTTCTACTCTCGCTTTTCTCAGATCTTTCAAAAGTTTTAACTCATTTTTGTCTCGGATGAAATGAAATGAAAAATTCTTAGCTCACGAGAGTGTTCTGCTTAACCAATGTGATTTGTAGCTCAATTCTGTGTTGTGTGTGTATCGAGTTTGGCCTTTATTAAAGCTGGTTTCAGTGAAATTGATTATGTGAATAATGTTTTGTTCAATATTGCGATAGGTTCTCGTTGCAGGAGGAGTTGTTCATCAGCCATATATTATTTGTACTGAAGATGATTCCTTATGCCGCTGGTGTCATCGTGCCTTTAGCGTTGACGCTTTTGGTTCGGAACTCGAAGAAAGAAAAGAAAAGAGGCGTGGTTGTTGATGATGTTGGTGGAGAACCAGGCCATACCATTAGGAATCACAGGTTCACTGATCCCGTTAGTTCCCATTGGGTTGACATCTCGACGCTTCCTGAGCTCTTTGAGGTATCCTGTAAAGTTCACAGCGACAGGTTTTTCCTTGGAACACGGAAGCTCATCTCTAGGGAGATGGAGACTAGTGAGGACGGAAAAACGTTTGAGAAACTTCATTTGGGTGACTACGAATGGATGACGTTTGGGAAAACACTTGAGGCTGTGTGCAATTTTGCTTCTGGTTTGGTTCAAATTGGACACGAGTCTGAAGAACGTGTCGCTATTTTTGCGGATACTCGAGAAGAGTGGTTTATTTCCCTACAGGTGCTTTTTCCATTTTTCATATATTTTTTTTAATCTTTCTACTGTTTTCTCTGCTTTCATCTGAATGCATTGCTGATACAGTTGTGAAATTTTCTCTGATTCACTGTTACAGGGTTGCTTCAGGCGCAACGTCACTGTGGTAACTATCTATTCATCTCTGGGAGAGGAAGCTCTTTGTCACTCGCTGAATGAGGTAGGTCTCGCTTCCCTTCTCTGTTTCCTCTCTAATACGTATACATGTTCCGTGGCTGTTTATTTTCTAGTTAGTTATGGTGTTCTTAGATATTCAGTATGGTATGATATTCTTATCGTATATGGTGGAATTAGCTTTATGTTATCCTGTGATTAAGTATGACTTTTTAATGTTTGTGTGTCCTCTCTTTTCATGTGTTCTTGATTCCGTTTCTTTTATTTCATAGACGGAGGTGACAACCGTTATTTGTGGTAACAAAGAACTCAAAAAGCTCATTGACATAGGCCAACAGCTTGAAACTGTGAAGCGCGTCATTTGTATGGATGATGAGTTCCCATCTGATGCGAACAGTGCTTGGAAGACGACTTCATTTGCTGACGTTCAGAAACTTGGCCGTGAAAATCCTGTCGACCCGAAATTTCCACTTTCGGCAGATGTTGCTGTTATAATGTACACCAGTGGAAGCACTGGTCTTCCGAAGGTTAGAAGGTTTTCAAAACCAGCATATTCTTACATTTGTTGTTTCAGAATTTTAATATTCTGATATTCACTTCCCAAATTGTTACAGGGTGTTATGATGACACACGGCAATGTACTAGCTACAGTTTCAGCTGTGATGACAATTGTTCCAGACCTCGGAAAGAGGGATCTATACATGGCATATTTACCTTTGGCTCACATCCTTGAGTTAGCAGCAGAGGTAACTTAAAACACTTTATTGCTCAATGCCTCTATACAGCAGCAATGCGTCTATTGAAAAAGGTCTAATATCATTGTTGTAGAGTGTAATGGCTACTATTGGAATTGCTATTGGATATGGGTCTCCCTTGACGCTCACTGATACTTCAAGCAAGATTAAAAAGGGCACAAAAGGAGATGTCTCAGCACTAAAGCCCACTATAATGACAGCTGTTCCAGCCATTCTTGATCGTGTCCGGGATGGTGTGCGCAAAAAGGTTTGTGCACTCTTTGGCTTGTTGAAGCAGTTGAGCTCTTGCTCGGCTAGATCTTCTAATTTGTTTCCATTATATGAGCCCTCTTGTGAGTAAAACCTTATAATTGCATAAATACTGACAATTTCTGACCATCAGGTTGATGCAAAGGGAGGAGTGGCGAAGAAATTGTTCGACTTTGCATATGCTCGGAGATTATCTGCAATCAATGGAAGTTGGTTAGGAGCCTGGGGATTGGAAAAGCTCCTATGGGATCTGCTTGTGTTCGGTAAAATCCGTGCAGTCTTGGGAGGTCAAATCCGCTATTTGCTCTCTGGTGGTGCCCCTCTTTCTGGTGACACTCAGAGATTCATTAACATATGCGTTGGGTAAAAGAATATCTCCTTGTTAGGCTTGCTGCTCTATGTTTTCGTTCCTTTGCCATTTCTGCGATCTTACATCCTGAGATTCCTCAGGGCTCCAATCGGTCAGGGATATGGGCTAACAGAGACTTGTGCTGGTGGAACCTTCTCTGAGTTTGATGACACATCCGTTGGCCGTGTGGGTGCTCCACTTCCTTGCTCCTTTGTAAAGGTAACCCTCTTTACCTTATTTTGTCTTTGTTTCAGGTTTGCTAATCCAAATTGCATGTTGTAGTATCTTATGATCATATGCGTGTGTATTCTTGTTTCAGCTAATAGACTGGCCGGAAGGCGGGTACCTAATCAGTGATAAGCCGATGCCCCGTGGTGAAATTGTAATTGGTGGCTCAAACATCACGCTCGGGTATTTCAAGAACGAAGAGAAAACGAAAGAAGTTTACAAGGTGGCAAAATCAACATTATCGGTTCATGCAATGTTTAAGATTGGTTTGGTTTTTCCTCTTTAACTGTTTTGTACGCTTCAATGATCAAAGGTTGATGAAAAGGGCATGAGGTGGTTCTACACAGGAGACATAGGACAATTTCATCCCGATGGTTGCCTCGAGATAATAGACCGCAAAAAGGATATCGTTAAACTTCAGCACGGGGAATATGTCTCCTTGGGCAAAGTATAGTCTTCTCAAACCGAAAGTCTTAAGTCTTAACTCAGTTCTCAAAAGATATAAGCTTATTAATAAACTTCAATTCTCTTGTTTTCAGGTGGAAGCTGCTCTCAGTATAAGTCCGTACGTTGATAATATAATGGTTCATGCTGACCCATATTACAGCTACTGTGTGGCTCTTGTGGTCGCGTCACAACAAACACTTGAAGGTTGGGCATCAAAGCAAGCAATAGAGTCGACCAACTACGAAGATCTGTGCGCGAAAGAAGAAACCGTGAAAGAAGTATATGCGTCTCTCGTCAAGGTAAAACGTTCATCGCCGTGTGGTTCCCTGAAATCACCGATTTTTTTAGTCCCTAATCAAATTCTCTATAATATTGTGTTCTGTGTGTTTGCAGGCGGCTAAACAATCGCGGTTGCAGAAGTTTGAGATACCAGCAAAGATCAAATTGTTGGCGACTCCATGGACGCCAGAGTCAGGGTTAGTCACAGCAGCTCTTAAGCTTAAAAGAGATGTTATCAAGAAGGAGTTCGCTGAAGATCTCACCAAGTTATATGCTACCTAACAATCTTCTTTCTTCTTCCTCTTCTACTCTCTCTCTCTCTTTTTCTTCCTTACGCTTTTGAAAGACACACAACAAACAAACAAAACTCGGTCTCTAAGACTAAGAGTATATTACTTACGAGTTCTTACACAACTTCTCTGTATTTCTGTTTGTTGTTTGCCTCTGGAAGGAGAAAAAAAAGAGTTGTGTGGCCCACCAAAACTTCGTAGGAGTCCCAACAATCTCTAGGCTTTGGATGTATATAGCCCATACAACGTAATGGGCCCTTTAGGCAATTTTTACCAAGTCTTAGTCCAATTGTTTATGAAGCCAAATAATACATAGTTGTATGAAACAGCGAAACTACAGTATTTTTGTTTCGTTAACTCGAGACTCGAGAGAAACGACAATAAGAAGAGGCTATTAATAGTGATTTAGAGTGAAAATAAAGCTATCTTACCAACTATTACAATTAAGAAGATATAAAGAGTAAATTACTCGATGTTGAAATTAGTGTCTAATTATATCGTAGAAACTAGAAAGACAGAAGGAATTCAAAGCAGAGTAAGAGGATCAATCTCAGCCGTCCGATAAATTGTGTATCTCACTGGTTTGTCAGGGAATCCAATGGTCACCGTCAGCTCTTAATCCCATGCACTTAACTTTTTTCATGACACTTCCTTAAATTCAAAGCTGCTTTCTAAATTCGATTATTTTCTTTGCAAAATATTTCAATAATACTTTTAGCTGTTAGGAAAGATATAAACAATGATTTGTATTAACAATTCATAAAATATTTTTCTCTTTGGGAAATATTGAAAATTAGATATTCAACTAATTTAATTATTTTTCTTCTTTTGTATAAACGGCCTTCAGTTCCCAGTTAAAAACAGAGGAAATTGCAAATGAAGATAAGAAATTATAAATGTATGTTTATGCATGGGCGGGAATCGTAAGCAAATTAGGTTTTGAACTCAAAGAAGAATGAAAAAATGAGTACTTTTTTGTCAACAATTCAAATTAAGTGTTAGTATAATACTATTATTAGAAAATACGTCTCTTACAACATTTATTTATATTATTCCAAAATAAATAAATAAAAGAAAAGCTGAAAAGTTAGATTTTAATGTTTTTGAGTTCACAGCTCCACATACAGAGGATCACATGCCTTCTCTCTCTCTCTCTCCCTCTCCATCTTTTGAATTAAAGAAGAAAACTTGTTTTCAAAAAATTTAAAATAGCAAAAAAAAAAAGATAAAGAGAATTTTCTTTCTCTCTCTCTGCGCCTTGTCGTTATTAAAAATCGCAATAGTGTTTCCAGACAGTAGAAGAAAGATTGTTCTTCTTCTATTTTTTTTGTTAAATCGCTGATTTTTGTTTCCACTGGGACATTTTCGGATCTCAAAGTTCTTCAGACAGTCCCCAGACATCGGACAAAGGTATGTATTCCACGCGCGTTTGGTCTCTTGTAAGAACATCTCTTCCACTAGTATTCTCTTGCTTTCGTACATCATTTCTCCTTAAATTGCTTTCTGTTTTTAGAGAAGGCCAACGTTTGAAATTTTAATTTAGAGCGCAACTTGTTTTTTTGGAGTTTTGTATCCATCAGACGAAGATTGAGAGACTAATGAACACTACTGTTTCATTACTGTGTACTTCTTTGATGTGATTCCCCCGGATTTGGGTTTTCGGTAGATTTCAAATTAGTTTTAAGCAAATGTGTAAATATGACTTCAAATGCTCGATTTTAAAGATGATTTCAAGCAATGGGGTGTTCAAATTTCAAAACTTTAGTTTTGCAGATTTGAGTAAAGCTAATGAATGAATTTGTCCTGTAGCTTTCTCTATTGTTGGATTTTTAATATATATGAAACGGACATCTGGAACAAACAAATGCACATTTGTTATGATAAAGACAAAAATCAGTTTCCTTAAGATAAATGATTGGTTTATTCAAGATTCTCGCCTCTTGCATGTTAGTTGGTTGGCTGAGTTTACTTCATCTCAAAGTTTGTTGCTTTTTTTTTTGTTCTCTTTATTTATTAAGATGTTTAAAGGAGTTTAATTGGTGTTTGTGTTTTCTTTCTCTCTTCAGATACTGAGACTGTTATGTGCTGATTCATTTACTGTTGTAATGGAGAAACGAAAGAGAGAGTCATCTGAGAGAAGCTTTGGTGAATCAGAGTCAGTGTCTTCACAATCTGAGAAGGACTCTGAAATTCAAGTAAGATGATAAAGAATTCAACTTTTAGATTCTAATCTCGTTTGTATCTAAAATGTTCATCATTATGATGACTGATTATTTTTTATTCATCCTCAAGCCTGAGAGCACAGTAGAGTCTCATGATGATGATGAGAAACAAGCCACGGAGGTTTCTTTGGAAGTAGAAACCGAAAACGAAGAAGACTTGAAAGATAGCATGAGGACTTTAACTGAGAAACTCTCAGCTGCTCTTGCTAACGTGAGTGCTAAAGATGAACTGGTGAAGCAGCATGTCAAAGTCGCAGAAGAAGCTGTCGCTGGTATCAATCAATCTTTTTTCCATTTTATATTATGTTTCTGTGTTTTTTTTTTTTGTAAGTGAGAATAAGTATTCTCTTTTGTGAAGGATGGGAGAAAGCTGAGAATGAAGTAGTTGAGTTGAAGGAGAAGCTTGAGGCTGCTGATGATAAGAATAGAGTGTTGGAAGATAGAGTAAGCCATCTCGATGGAGCTCTCAAGGAGTGTGTTAGACAGTTAAGGCAAGCAAGAGATGAACAAGAGCAGCGGATCCAAGATGCTGTGACCGAGCGGACTCAGGAGTTGCAGTGTTCTAAAACCAGCCTCGAGAGCCAGATTCTTGAAGCTGCGACCAAATCCGAGGAGCTTAGCCAGATGGCTGAATCCGTGGCTAAGGAGAACGTGATGCTGACACACGAGCTTCTTGCGCGTTGCGAAGAGCTAGAGATCAGGACGATCGAGAGGGATTTGAGCACCCAAGCAGCTGAAGCTGCGAGCAAGCAGCAGCTAGATAGCATAAAGAAAGTGGCGAAACTCGAGGCTGAGTGCAGGAAGCTTAGGATGTTGGCTAAATCATCAGCTTCGTTCAATGAACATCGGTCTGCGGATAGTCATTCGGATGGAGGGGAGAGAATGGATGTGAGTTGCTCTGAGTCATGCGCATCATCCACATTGATTGAAAAGAGAAGCCTTCAAGGGACTTCTTCCGTTGAGATTGATCTCATGGGTGATTTTCTTGAGATGGAACGTCTTGTAGCTTTGCCCGAGACACCAGATGGTAACGGGAAGAGTGGACCTGAATCTGTCGCAGAAGAGGCTGTTGTTCACACAGAGAGCTTGTTGGCTGCTGAAATAGAAGTATTGAATTGCCGGAATAAGGAACTTGAAGAGAAGTTGGAGAAGTTAGCAGCGGAGAAAGATGAGCTCGAAAGCAAAGTTAGATGTGATGAAGAAGTGGTGAGCACATTTAGATTTGAGCTCGAAGCTATAGTTTGTGAGAAAGTGGAGCTGGAAAGTAAGTTGGAGAAGTTAGAAGCGGAGAAAGATGGGATCGAAAGCGAAGTGAAATGTAATAGAGAAGTGGTGAACACATTGAGATTTGAACTCGAAGCTATAGGTTGTGAGAAAGTAGAGCTGGAGAACAAGCTGGAGAAGTTAGAAGCGGAGAAAGATGGGCTCAAAAGCGAAGTTAAATGTAACAGAGAAGTGGAGAACACATTGAGATTTGAGCTTGAAGCTATACTTTGTGAGAAAGTGGAGCTGGAGAACAAGTTGGAGAAGATGGAGGTTGAGAAAGCTGAGATGCAGATATCTTTTGACATAATCAGAGATAAGTATAAAGAATCTCAAGTTTGTCTCCAAGATATTGAGACAAAGCTGGAGGAGATACAGAAGGAGATGAAAGTGGCTAACGAGCTAAAAACACAAGTTGAATCTCAGATCAAGTCCATGGAAGCAGAGACGCAGAGTAAATGCGCAAAGATGGAATCTTTGGAAGAAGAGGTGAGAAAGCAGAGGTTTGCTTCTGATGAGCTTAGAAGAAAATGCGAGGCTCTTGAAGAAGAAGTCTCTATCCATCAAGAAAATGCAATCAAGAGAGAAAATATAGAACCCAAGATCAAACAGGTCTCTCTCTCTCTCCACAACTCAAGTCTTAAAAGAGTAAAACTTTTGCTCTGTTTTCCACTAAACTTTTTGATTATGCGTTTCAGGAAGACATAGTAACAGCTGCAGGGAAACTGGCGAACTGTCAGAAAACAATAGCATCGTTGGGGAAACAGCTGCAATCTCTTGCAACGCTTGAAGATTTCTTGATCGATACAGCGAGCATTCCAGTGGCTACAAATGGTGTAAGCAGCAGTAACACAGAGAGTTGGAAGGTTCACAAGAATGAAACTTTCATGTCGAGAAATCATCCAGAGTCCATGATCAAACCAAACAAAGAAACATCTTTGTCTTCTTCTTCTTCTTCTGCTGCTGCTGCTGCTGCTGCTTTGGCGTCAGTCTCGTCAAACCGAGGGAGCTCTGAGAAGAATCGCAATGGATTTGCTAAAGTATTCACTCGAAGTAAAGACGGAATCCATCTGGCCATTTAGCATAACTTATGGCTGTAGGCAGAGACGATCTGTTAGGTTAAAAGGATCTTTTTTAACGGTTATTAACACCAATTTGTTCTTTTTCCCAGATTTTGAATCCTTAGTAGTTTAATCATCAAAACATAAGTTTCGAAGAGTGATAATTGAATATGATCATCGTTGTGACTTGTTAAAATGCGTAAAATGTTGTAAACTGTAAACTTTTGACGTTCATACGATCCCAATTACAAAACAACGATTGTCATTTATTCTTAATTTCTTATTACAGACTCAATTTTGATCACAAAGTTTTGAACTTTGTAGATTACGAACGATTGTTCATACATGACATTATTTCTTATTACAGACTCAATCCATCTGTCTCCGACAGATTTTGATCAAAAAGTTTTGAACTTTGTTCAACGATTGACAATAATGAAAACGAGCCTTGTTCAGATGCTAGACTTGAGTTCCTCTGAATAAACCAGAGGCTTCCACGACGGGTTTCGAGGAAGAAATGTATCCTGCAAAATCACAAACAAGAACTCACCGATTCAACTTCAAATTCCAGAAAACAAAATTTCGAAAGCAAAATTAGATTTGAGAAATCGTACCGAAACGTAGGAACAGGAAGGGATGACTGAGATTGAGTGAGAGGAGGCGTGTTCGAAGGCGGCGACGCAGAGATGCGAAGCTAAACCTAACCCTCGTTTGGTTGAAGGAACGTAGGTATGGACCAGATCCATCACTTTCCCGTTGTTTCTCATCTTGTACTCGATGAAAGCTTCGTGATCCTCCGTCTCGAATCGCCGTTTCTCATCGTTCCACACTATCCTCGGTGGCTCAGCCGCCGTTTTCGCCTCCGATGTCGCCGCCGTGTTCGTCATATGTCAAAAAAACCGTTAACAAATGTGAATTTCAAAGGGATAATCTCTTAATCTGACTGATCCTTTCGCGTTGTTATGTCTGGGCCTTTTAATGGGCTAGATTATGGATCATTGATGTCACGGCAATCATTCATTTCGAATTTCTGTAAATAACGGACCTTCCAAAATTATTAAAGGCCGAGGATTGTATGAAATTAAATCTGACTGTAAAAGAAAAGGTCCTACCGGGAGTCGAACCCAGGTCGCTGGATTCAAAGTCCAGAGTGCTAACCACTACACCATAGAACCTTAGATGTTCGTATGTTGCATATAAGATATCTATATAGAAGTGACTCGAAGATGATCTCTTTGACCTAAGTTATATATGACTTAACATCACATAAAACTCCCTTAAAACCTAAAAGAAAATTGAAATCTTTAGAAACATCATTCTAAGAATCGGGATCGTATGAACGTTACAAGTTTACAATTTACAGCACTTAAACACATTTTCACAACGATCAGATAGTTATGACACTTCGTTTAGATATTACAAAAAAAGAACCAAAGAAAATAAGAGAAATCAAACAACAAATCAATAACTATCTGTGGAATTTCGTTTATTTTCGCAAATTCCAAAATTATTTGTGGAATTCAATAACAGAATATGAAATCGCAAGACAAATAATTTCACATCGAATAAACCCTAAATTAAATGCTAAATTCTCGAACTGCGAAAGAGATCTCTCTTTACCACCCGAGCATTGTGTTAACATCAACAAGTCCATGCCGAACACAATATTAGAAGAAAAGTCACCACACTTTGGTTCTATTGGTGTAATCATCTCTACAATTATTACTTTTCCTCTTCCAGTAAACTCTTCCAACAATTCTTTAGTATCTTTATACAATCTTCATCGGTCCAATCATGTAGTATCCACTGTCAATAAATTAATCAACCAGTTAATTTCAGAAATGATAAATTTAATCAACCTCGAAGACATAATTTTTTTTGTTTAATAACTTACTTTCATGAAGATAGCATCTCCTTTTGGGATTTCTAAAAACATGTCTCCGGAGACATGCTTTACTCCTTTCATTAGTAAAATTAAACAAAACAAAAGTTTTATGAAATTGTTTCCACAACTAGCACTTCAGATGCTCAAATATATTATGTAGTATTGTACCTGGATAAAAAGGAGCATGGGTTAAAACCTGAGGTAAGTCAAAATTAACACCTTTAATATGAGGATACTTGGAAGTGACGAGACCTAATATGGTGCCAGTTGCTCCTCCTACATCTACCAAAGTGTTAACATTTTCAAATCCTCTGTAAACTTCTAGAACCTTCTTCATGACCATAGTGGAAGATTCCGACATTGCCCGGTGAAACACCTCACCGAATCGTTCATCCAAATTAATGTATTCAAAAAGTTTCATGCCGTGTGCAGAGCTGAATGCATCTTTTCCTTCTAGTATCACATCCTTGAGATGTCCTACGAAATAATAAAAGCATCTTCTATATATCGTTCATTAATTATTATAGTTATATATTGAACATTTTATTGTGTAATCAGTTTAAGTAGTTGGTTAGTAACCACTTTTATAGAGCTAACGATGATTTGACTTATTTGCCAGTATTGAAGCTCTTACCAAGCCTTGAAGAGGACTTGGTCATGGAACATGATGAACAAAGACGCGAAACCAGAACCATCATTATGTTTCAAGAAATGCTTGCAAACCGGTTCGGCTGCATATACAATTTCGATCTTTCCGGTTCGACCGTTTTCTCTGCTTTTAACCATACGACACTTCAAGATCGAGTGGCTGACAAGTAATCGCAGAATCCGGTCCAGCAAAACTGAGGCCTCCGGGTTCATGGGTTTGGTTGGAAGACTCCCCGCTATCTCAGACGGTGAGAGCCACGCGCCGTTGCCTGCAGCAACGATCACGTCGACTACACCAAGCTCCAAGGCAGCTTTGAGGACCATGGGGAAAGCCACAGTGTTCACTATACTCTCCGCTTGCAAGCTCACCATTTTCTCGTCCGCTTCTTGTTCATCATTGGTTAAAACCGGTTTAGGGTAATTGGTTAAGGGCTCTTGAAGATGGTTTGACATTATTGTTGTTTGTTAACAGACTGAAGAATAGTTGTTAATTCAGCGAGAGTGTGGATTTAGGTCTCACACTTAGTGCCATTTTATAAGGAGAAATCTCAAGTTGTGTACTAAAAATTGATTTGGTGACCAATTTCCCAAGAATATGCCTAATATTTTATATTCCCGTGGATTTAAAATTATAAATTCATGATTATACATATTTGTTTATATTTTTACCTGTCTAAATATTATATACGACAATGCGATCATTTATATTACGAACTTTACCTAATTTAATTTTTTTTATATTAAAAACATGAAATATAATTAAATATAATTATAAAATTTTGGAAAACAATTAAAAATAAATATAATAAGCCTATCCGAAACAAATTGATTGTCACTCGATCGTTGGGTGACCACCGATCCTACTCTCCGAGCATCTCCATCAATGATTCTTAGGGGTTTTTTAACAAAGTTTCTTAAATTAAAAAATTAAAAACAAATCATTAAAATGCAAATAGTGTAGTAAACGGTTGTTAAGTAAGGATTTCTAGAAATATTAAAAAACCCAACTGTGTCCATTTGTGATTGGTCGATCACTTTTTAGATTAAAAAAAAACAATTGGTTATCATCTCTTTAGAACCTTTAATGTGTTCTACCAATGGAAGGGAGAAAAACAAAATCTTGTAAAAGAGTATTTAAAATAAAATGATGGGAAATATATATTAAAAAAATTGTTAAAAATTCTAACTGAAGTTTACCGATGGAGATGGTCTTATCCTCTACTTTGCAACACGAAGATAAAGTTGAAAATTACTTGAGACCCTATCTACATTTTTAGATTTCACCAGCTTTTTCAATTTCTTTACTTCAAGCTTTTATAAACTTCAAAACGATGCATTCTACTGTAAGAAGTTCATTTGTTGAATAGATTTATTACAAACAAAAATTAAAATACTACAACTAAACCTTTTATCATGATAGTTCCTCCGCTTCAAAAATATATATAAAAAAATATGATTATCAAAGATTCCAAAATTATGAGGGAATTGATTACAACTACACTTACTTCTGCTTGAAAAAAAAAAGTATCACAATTTTAAACAAGAACAAAATCTATCATTTTTAAATTGATAGTAGTAAAGACGTAAATGTAACACTATAGAAATATTGTAGGGTCATAATAATACAAGAATCGTATGTGTAGATGTTGCACCCTCTCTTATTATTATTATTTTTTTTAACTTATCTCTTATTTTTTATTTCAAAAACAAAAGTAACGAACATCATTATAGAAATTCTGTCAGGTGAATAAACAGGATCCGTCGGTCCACTGAACCACGTGAATCAGGATATCACTTCTTTTTTCTTAATCCCACTTGGGGAATCACTTTAAGGAACAACCACCAACTATTGTTTGATCGTTATTTAATGTAAATTGTATACACTTTACCCTTTGTTGTATATCACTGAGTACATCGTATCTCTATATCGTCATACCAAATCTCGAGGAATTAATCTACTCCCTCTGTTCCATATTGTATGATGTTTTGAGTTTTTTATTTTGTTTCACTAAGATTGATTTTCTATATTATATTTAATATATTTCTGTTTCCAAAACAATTTTTTGGGTAAAAAATAAAAAAAAAATAATATTAAATTGATAAACACATAAAAAGTATTTTAAAAAAGTAAATAATCATTGTTTTCTTAATATCTGTGAAACATCTAAAACATCATACAGGAACGGAGAGAGTATATTATAGTTTGGAAAGACTGTTAGACTTCGGCTTGGTGCTTTTATCGGAGTTGAGTGCCAAAACCACGTCGTTTTCAAGGCTTTGTACGTAGTCTCGATTAATTAAGCCAAAACCAGTCGACTACGTCAAACCGGTCTATGACTATCACTTTTCCTTTCTCTAGAAGACTTCTCCAACAGTTTTTGAGAATTTTCACACAGTTTTCGTCGTCCCATGCAAGCATGCAGCATCCACTATCATCAGTTAAACCATTTGGACTTTTTGTTAAAAATGTATAAGGACCGTGTGCATGGTGATACTATTTGTGGGATATATATATATATATAATTTATACTAAAATAAGATTTTTTTTATTCCCTTACTAAACATTAATCCGACATGAAAAAAGGAGTTTTAGCATAAGACAGAACGCATTTTCACATTTAATTATGACAGTTAAGCATAGTTGAAACTAAATCCTTATCACAAATATTACACTTCGTTGATACTGCAATCCCCACACTACTCTTGAAATGAAAAATATAACAAACCAATACCATGAAACTATATTCCCCTCGTGCTTTATTTATGAAATACATAGTACCAGCATTTTAGGTCGTAGTTTCCCCTTGCACCAAACCAATCATTGTTTTATCTTCGTAACTTCCAATCTATTTATGAAATTCGATAACAGAATAGGAATATGCATGACAGATGATTTCACATCGGAGAAACCCTGAATCAAATGCTAAATTCTCAAACTGCAAAAGAGATCTCTCTTTACCACTCGAGCATTGTGTTAGCATCAACAAGTCCATGGCAAACACGGTGTTAGAGAAAAATTCGCCACTCTTTGATTCTACTGGTGTAATCATCTCTACGATAATCACTTTTCCTTTTTCCGGTAAACTTTTCCAGCAATTCTTTAGTATCTTTACACAATGTTCGTCCGTCCAATCATGTAGTATCCACTGTCAATAATTTAGCCATTTTATATATGTTAGAAATAATGATCTTAATCAACCTCAAAATATCCGTTTCAGCTTTTAGTTTTATTAATAGTTTAATATCTCTATATATAAAACTTACTTTCATAAAGACGGCATCTCCCTTTGGAACTTCTATAAACATGTCTCCGGAGACATGCTCGACTCCTATAATCAATATAACATCAAACAAAGTATAAGTTTTGAATAGGTAGTTGCTAGAACTAGCACTTCAATATAAAACTTATCATTATGTAGTTTCGTACCTGGATAAGATGGAGCATGGGTTAAAACTTGAGCTAAGTCGAAATTAATACCCTTGATATATGTGGATACTTGGAAGTGACTAAACCTAATATGGTTCCAGTTGCTCCTCCTACATCCACCAAAGTGTTAACATCTTCAAATCCTTTGTAAACTTCTAGAACCTTCTTCATGACCATTGTGGCAGATTCTGACATTGCCCGGTGAAACACCTCACCGAACTGTTCGTCCGAACTAATGTATTCGAAAAGTCGCATGCCTTGTGCGGCGATGAATGCATCCGTTCCATTTAGTATTACATCTTTGAGATTCGTCCTATGAAATAGAAAAAAGTCAGATGTTCATTTCCGATAGGGCTATATATATAACACTTTTTGTGAATCAGCTTATATAATTAGTTGTTTTGACAACCGGTTTCATGTAACTAACGATCAACTACTGATATTTTACTTATCTACGAATAGTGAAATACGTACCAAGTATTGAAATGGACTTGGGTATGGAACAATAAGAACAAAGAGGCAAGAGAACCAGAACCGTCACTATCTTTCAAGAAATACTTGCAAACCGGTTCGGCTGCATATACCATCTCGGTATTTCCCGTTCGATCCTTTTCTTTGGTTTCAATCACACGGCACTTCAAGATCGAGTGGCTGACGAGTAATCGCAGCATCCGGTCAAGCAAAACCGGCGCCTCCGGGTTCATGGGTTTGGTTGGGAGACTAACCGTTATCTCGGATGGTGAGAGCCATGCACGCGCCTTTGCCTGCAGCAGCGATGGTGTCAATGACGCCAAGCTCCAAGGCGGCTTTGAAGACCATGGGGAAAGCCACAGTGTTTACGATACTCTCCGCTTGCAAGCTCACCATTTTCTCGTCGGCTTCTTCTTCTTCTTTGGTTAAAATCGGTTCAGGGTAAGTGGTTAAGGGATCTTGAAGATGGTTTGACATTCTTTTTGTTGGTTGAAAGATTGAATAAGATGGATAACAAAGGTAGAGTTGGTTGGAGTAGAATGGTTCTAACTCTCACACTTAGTGCCATTTTATACCCTTATAGGTATGATTATAAGGCCAATTGTCTACTTTTGATTTAGTGACCAAAATTACACAAGATTTTGCGTAATTTTTATTTTTCACGGGGATGGGAGAAAGGATATTACATTTTCATACCCAAGAAATTAAGGTCTACATTCTGTTTTCATTTAATTGTGGAATGCAATGTAATCGGAGCATAAGTGTCTATCGTATTGGAGATAATAATGTGCTCTTATTTGAACTATAATAAATCTACATATGCTTATTTGAAATATAATAAATTTGTACGTAATTGTTTATTTTTGATAAGAATGGCTCTATTTATATTTTGAATTTGAGTACGTTGAATTGTATCCAACAAAAAAAAAAAAAAAACTATAACTTCATTTCCCTACAAATGGCTGAAAAATACTCGAAGCTTATGTATTTCGATCAAAGTTATAAGGAAAATTATTACATTTATGATTTATCATTATTTTTAGTTCAAAAAAGTACACCAATTTAAAATAAAAACAAAATCTGAGATTTCCGATTCCTTTTTGGTATTTTGTGAAATTGTGATTTTCTTTTGTAAATCAGAATTAAAAATAAATATTTATATTGAAAAAAAAAATGTTAACATTATTAAAATATTCTATAAATCACTCAGTAGTCAATTGGATACAAACTAGAAGGGTCATAATTGAAAGGAATGGAATGAAATGAATAGAATGTTTTGCCATATCCTTTTAATCATAAAACAAAAAAGCGTGAGTAGTACACGAACGTTTCAATAAAATATGGTGTATGATTATCATTATAGAAAATCTGTCAGGTCAGAAAACAAGATCCGTGGTTGTCCACCAAACTAGGGATAGACGCGGATCGGATATCCGGAAATTTTTAAGTATTTATGGTTTAGGATATATCACTTATTTTTTTATTTATTTTTATAAATCTCCTTAGTAAATCACTGTAAGGAACAACAGCCAACTAATCTTGTATCGTTATAATTTAATGTAGAATGTATATACTTGCCGTTTGTTGTATGTATAATAATCACAGACTTATTCACCATCCACTGATCTGACATCATTATCCAATGAGATCAATTATAAACTAACGTAGAATTTTTAATAACTTTAATGGATCAGCTCAACACACAAACTCATAAAGTAGGTACACCGTACAACCACGTAGATGGTTTGCCACTTGTTTTTTAAGTTGTTAGGTGGGAAATATATGAAGCAGGAACCATAGCTAAAAAGATAAAGGAGAAGAGTGGATTGATTTCAAGATTCACACTTAGTGCCGCCATGCATAAAGACGCGTGTAGTCAAATACAAATCAAAGTTAATGAAGTTCAAACGATCGATGGAAACGGTCAGCTTGTAGGCTTTGGAGTTATTATATTAATGCGAAAAAACAAAACTGATCTTATAATTTCTAGCTAATAGATAATAATAATAGTTCCCAGGAATGATTTTAATTACAAAATGCAAAACACCGTTAATACTTATCACAATTATCACGCTATGTTAATACGAAACAAACACTGAAAAGAAAATTGAGCGACCCAAGACCATAAAACCATATAATAATACACGCAATAAATATATATATCATTAACAAAAAGAAGCTCCTCATTGTTTATTCAAATGAAATATTATCATGTTACAATATTTTTGGCCCGCGATATGATTTCCCATGCAGCAAACCAATCATTATTTTATTTTTGTATATTTTAAATCTGTTTGTGGAATTCGATAACAGAATATGAATAGGCAAGACAAATGACTTCACATCGAGTAAAACCCGAACCATATGCTAAATTCTCGAACTGAGAAAGCGACCTCTCTTTGCCACCTGAACAATGTGTTAACATCAACATGTCCATAGCAAACACAGTGTTAGAGGAAAAGTCACCACCCTTTGGTTCTGTTGGTGTAATCATATCTACGACGATCACTTTTCCATTTTCCGGTAGACTCTTCCAACAATTTTTCAGAAGCTTTATACAATGTTCGTCCGTCCAATCATGTAGTATCCACTGCCAATAATTTAACCATATTTAAGAATATATTTAATTAACCTAGAAGACAAAAAAATATATATATGTTCATATAAATAAAATTTACTTTCATAAAGATGGCATCTCCCTTTGGAACTTCTATAAACATATCTCCGGAGACATGCTCCACTCCTATAGTTAGTAAAATTACACAAAACAAAAGTATTATGAGCTAGTTACTATAACTAGCACTTCAGTACACAACTTATTATATATGTTAAGTAGTTTTGTACCTGGGTAAAAAGGAGCATGGGTTAAAACTTGAGGTAAGTCAAAATTAACACCCTTGATTTGAGGATACTTGGAAGTGACTAGACTTAATATGGTGCCAGTCCCTCCTCCTACATCTACCAGAGTCTTAACATCTTCAAATCCTCTGTACACTTCAAGAACCTTCTTCATGATCATGATGGAAGGTTCGGACATGGCACGATGAAACACTTCAGCAAATTGTCTATCCGAACTAATGTATTCAAAAATTCCCATGCCGTGGGCAGAGGTGAATGCAGCTTTTCCTTCTAGTATCACATCTTTAAGATTTCCCCTGTGAATAAAAAATATTAAAAATGACGTCATCTCTTTACATAGAGCATTTGTTTTTCTTTTTTTGTAAATTGGTATTGTTAACTGGTTTAATGTAATTGACAGTCAACAATTTGACTTATTTTAAAAAAAAAATGAAATACGTACCAAGTCTTGAAAAACACTTCGCTTTGGAGCAACATAAACAGAGATACGAGAGAACCCGAAGCGTCACTGGATTTCAGAAAATATTTGCAAACCGGCTCGGCTGCATATACCCTCTCCATGTTTCCGGTTCGACCGTTTTCTCTGCCTTCAACCATACGGCACTTCAAAATCGAGTGGCTGACGAGCAATCGCAGCATCCGGTCCAGAAACGCCGGCGCCTCCGGGTTGGTGGGTTTGGTTGGGAGACTACGCACTATCTCATACGGTGAGAGCCACGCGCCGTTGCCTGCGGCAGCGACTGTGTCGATGACGCCAAGCTCCAAGGCGGCTTTGAGAACCATAGGGAAAGCTACGGTGTTGACGATACTCTCCGCTTGCAAGCTTACCATTTTCTCGTCGGCTTCTTCTTCTTCTTTGGTTAAAACCGGTTTAGGATAGGTGGTTAAGGGCTCCTGAAGATGGTTTGACATTATTTATTGGTGTTGGTTAAAAGATTGAGACAGATAGAGTTTTGATTCGAGAGTGTGGTTTTAACATTCACACTTAGTGCCATTTAAATAGGGGAACAAAAAAAGCTGAAGCCAATATTTTATTTTCGTGGGGGTTCGCGAAATGATAATACTACATGTTAAGATGTAAATGTGAGTGGAGCCATGGAGCGGAGTGTGGACCATAACTCCATTACAATACCTAACTGACTAACTCATATAATTAAAAGAAACAAATGTAGGGGAGGGGTCATAATGTTTAGTAGCTAAATGTTTTAGTAATTTAACAAAGAAACGGAATGGAATGAACAGATGTTTAATACACTTTTAGTTGGTTACAAAACAAAAACTTTTAATACTAGTTTATAATCATCTACACAGACAAAAAAAAAAATGATGATACGCCAATGATATATTATGGGTGATCGTATAGACATAACAAAAACTTGCACGTCTTCGAAGCCACGTGAATCACGATATCACTTTAACGCAACTACCAAAGAATGATTGATCGTTTATTATTTGAATTTACGAAGAGTTGGTGTAAACTTTATAGTTTATAGTTATTTTATGTATTGTATATAGCGATCGTCATTGAGTCATTTATATGATTTCGGTTTAAAGCTCCTAATGACGTATAATAAATGTAATTTAGCCAATACATCGTATCTCAAGAGTGTCATACAACATCTCGTGTGATTTTAGTTGAATATTAGTTGGAAACACAAAGTTTAAAAATGCTTAGAGTGTATGTGTTTGATGATAAGAAAGAAGTTGAATTAAATTGTCCACACTGAACAATATACCCTATTCTAAAAAATCAGACAAATTAGATGATTGTTATTTTATTAGGTTTCATTTGATAGAAACTTTTATTGATGGAAGACTTTTAAATTCCAATTAGCAGAGAGAGAACAAAAACGAAGAAGAAACTGGAAGTATTACAAAAAGCCACTCTAATGGATAGGGAGAAGAATAGAAATTAGGTTTTAGTCTTTTAAAGCTCGTCCTTGGCGGCAGATTCCTCGGTCTTCTTGGGCTCCTCAACCTTAGTGGTGGACTCATCACCATGAGAAGCAGGCTTGTTCTTCTCAATGAAGCTGATGAAGTCTTCCTTTGTCCTGCTTCCTTCATACGCTACAACGTTTCCACTCGCTGATCTGAAGTAAATGGTCGGGAAGCCTTTCACGTCGAAGGTATCACCTTCGATATCATTTGCGGTTGCGTCCTGTATTCATTTCCGGTTATGTCCCATCCAATAACAAAGTCAAAAAGACAAAATTAGAGGAGGCTTACTAGTTTTGCTATGATCACACTTGGGTCGTTCTGGAACGACAATGCCACTTCGTCCAAGATCGGGGCAAGTTTTTGGCAATGTCCACACCATGGTGCGTAGAATTCAATCAAGACTGGGAAGATAAATTGAACCTTTTATTAGTTTTTGTTTTGCAAGAAAATAGAAAAGAGTATTATAAAAAAAGGTTTCAAATGTGCTCACCGTTTTTTCCAGACTTGAAAACAATGTCGTCAAGGGTCTCCGCGACAACAACCTTCACTGGTTCGTTGTTCTCAGCAGGAATAGGCTGAGACTTTTTGTGGGCGGCAACTTTCCCCGCCTGAAAAGAACATGTTCTTTTGGTTAGCTTATCTTGATTTTACATTAAAAAAAAAAAACTCACGAGAATGTGTGCAAAGAAGATCAAACCTTGAAGTCCTTCATCCATGATTCAATCTGTTCAGCCTCAACGTTTGCTTTCAAATATTTCTTGTTGTCAGGAGTCTGGATGATGACGAGAGGAACTTGGCTCTCTTCAAGTCCGAAGTACTGTTGAACCCATAAAAAAAAAACTATGGTTAGTAATGTGTTTAAGCTATTATGAAAAGAAAATGAGACAAATTGAATAGTAACCTGCAAAGCGCCTTGGCCGCTCTCAGAATCACCAACAAGGAATGTAAGATCTTGTCCTTTGTAGGATGTAGCAACTTCACGGAACTTTGATTTTAGAGAATCAGCTGCTTCTCCGGTAAAGTTAACAAACATCATTGCCTAAAATTTCAAAATATTACTTCCCATCAAAACCATAAGATCATAGAAGACTGTAAACTTCATAAAATCTCTATTCTGTAATTCGTTCTAAGATAAATTCTACCAACAATTACCTTAGTGGCAGAGCTGTCAAAGAATTTGGAAACATATGGGTGGTTGCTTGGATCACTGTCAAAGACGGTGACAAGTGGAATGCTTGATTCTTTGACAAATTTCTCCAGAGCTTCCCCATTGAAATCCTGAATTCATGATTCGCAAAACAAATAAACAGTCAGCAACATTATATCATATAACCCATATTGATGTAACATACAAAACCACACGTTTCCTTACCTTGGAATCCACAGAAAGTTCATCGAAAGGCTTGAATAGCCTCACCAAAGGTCCTGCCACAGATGAGTCTCCACGAGGAAGAAGCTTGGCATCCAAGGTGTGTGCGAAATCATAGTCAGCACGCAACTTCTCAGCAAGGGCCATGAAAGAATCGAACTCCTCACCGGATAGCTTAGGGAATACACCAACCTAAGACAGCACAAATAGGCATACATTAGCGGCTGCAATACATGATGAATCAATTGAAAAAGAAACCTTAGGAATAACATCAGAAAGCACTTACAGCGACAACATTCTTGTCACCCACAACTTCAGCAGCAGCAGCAGCTGACTTAATTTCAGCTGAAGCAGGGCCACTTTGCTTCTTCACGTAAGAGGCAATACCCTCAGCGTCACGAGGTCCGTTGTAATCTTGAATTGATTTTCCTCCATTCCTCAGAATCTTGAGAGTGGGGAAACCCTGAATCTTGTACTCGTTTGCAAATTCTTTGTTTGCTTCCTCACTAGCATCGATCTTGGCGAGGACGATGGCAGGGACATGGCTGCTCAACACTGATGCAGCCTTCTCGTACTGTAAGCAAGCAAATATCACCAATGTTAGTCAAATATGTGTAGATTGGTTTTCTCAAAATATATAAAAAAATAATAATTAAGTGATTGAAAAGCCAATAAATCACCTCAGGAGCAAGCTTTTGGCAGTGACCACACCTGAAGAGTAACATAACATCGGGTTAACAAATGAACACACAGATTCTTAAGATCATATATGCTTTCATGCAACAATTACAAACGAAAATAAATCAAGCATCATTGACCCAAATTGATATCATAACGAGTTTGGATTCTAAGGTCAGAACACTTAATCCACGTAAATCGAAAATACCGAATCAATCAAAATCCACAATTGCGAAGTTCATACGGAAACCGAGCAGCTATATTATATACCATTTTTCAATCAACATATTCGAAAAACGATCTATGTCGACAGAGATCTCTCAATTAAGAATGAACAACCGGAGAATTAAAGTAAAATTCAGATTACCAAGGGGCGTAGAACTCGACGACGATGAACTCGTGCTTGTTGATGGTTTCGGTGAAGTTAGTGTGGTCCAGTGTCAAGACGAACTCCTTCGTCTCCGTCTGCTCGCTTCTTATAGACGAAGCGAACAAAGACAGCAAAAGGATCGAAAACCACGCGACACCCTTAAACGCCATTATCGCTCCTCACTCCTCTTTCTCCCTCCTCTGTATTGACGTTTGTACGAATATAATCTGGTGTCTCGGAGATATGGCACCGAAGGAGACGGTATATATATATATATTATTAGCGCTTTTTTAACACTAGAAAGTAGAGAAAATTACACGAGACCGCTGGATTCTAAATGGTCAAAAGATACACGTGGCGAGTTTTGATTGGATATGCCTCGTCATTGGTCTTTAACGAACTTGGAAACGATTTTTATTTGTTCACTCTTGACCAGAGCGGTAATAAATATTTCGTGATTTACTTCCTTAAGCAGCAGTGAGAAAATCATTATGAGGATTTGAACAAAATTGTCCATGTCGAGGAAAATCCGTTCAAATTTGATCACCTTCTGAGAAAAAACACAACACGTGGCCTTGTTTAATTGGTCGTACTTGGTCAAGGTAAAATTGAAGTGCATTTTCAAATGACTGACCTAATGGAGGTTTTTTTTTTGTTCTACGTTTTCTACTGCAACTAATGGAGGTTTGACTTTGATAATTACAGGATTAATAAATAATAATACACTCCCATATACATCATGCCTAACACATATTCTGTTCATTTTCCCAACAATATGTTGCCATATTGCCTCACAATGGCTACATACCCCCTTATACTTATAAGTTATAATATTACTCTGACTATTTTGTTTCTTAAATGAATTTAAGGTCTAAAGTATTGTTATTGTGTTGTAAAACAAATGTCTACTGGCAGTTTTTTGTATTGCTCTTTGAACTATTCTTCATAATATCAAGTGTTAAAAAAGAAAAAAAGGTCTGAGAGTAGCTCATAGATCATGCCTAACCATATTCTCTTATCTATTCTACATATATTCACCATGACACCATATTCTTAGTTATATCCTTTTTTTTTAGAGTCCTAATAAATAACTCTTGTAGATTTCAAAATCATAATGTACTTGTGTTTATATTCTCAGCAAAATGGGCGCATAAAAATAATTTCAGTATGATAAGTAATATTTGAACTAAGAAACTGGATGATTTCTTCTTCACCATTTGAAAAGGCTTACAGAGCAAACCTACCAACCAATAAATGAATATAAAACTCATCTATACAACAATTTTCTATATAGTCAACCTATATCTAAAATTTCAAGTAACAAAACTTCAAAACCGTGCAAAATGTGGCAAGTCCACACTCTCTACTACTCAAGAAGAAGTCTGAGGATGTTGAAGCCTAACAATGTTATGAGCTTTCACAGCTTCTGCAGTGAATTTTCTCAATGCCTCAAAAGTGGGAACTAATCCAGCTTTAAGGATACTCGAAGACACGCTGTTCACAAGCTTAATGGTTTCTTTACGCCTACCTCTTTCCTCTGCTAGCTTCTTCCTCATTGAATCCAAATCCACTTTCAGATCATCCAAAACTGATATCCCACTCTCTGACCGACCTCTCGAAACCACGCTTCTTTTATCCGACTCCGCATCTCGATGCTCATGCTCTGCTTTTGCCCTTTGTTCTTCTTCCTCTTGCTTCTCCCATAGCTCGTGTAGGCTTGAAGCGAAACCTTGCATCGCATTGCTCACATTCTCTCCGGATATCCTATTCATTGCTTCTTGCCAATCTTTGCATATGGTAAAGATGGGCGGTGCACCGATACGACTAGGAGAGAAAGGAGCTATTCCGTCGTCTGTTGACTCGGGTTCATAGTGAAGACATCTCGAGAGCCATCCATTTAGAGACTGCACGTATGATTTTTGTGAGCTGACCCAGTCGTTGAAGCTTCTGCACCATTCTCTAAGCTCCATCTCAAGTTCAAGAGTTGCTTTCGAACCAGATACGGTGTTGGCTTTTACAGACCGAACCTTGCTCTCCATGATCGCCTGGAACTGTTTCTGATGGCACTTAAGCATCGATCTCCACATTCTTATCAACCTTCAAACCACAGATATCAGTTTCATTTTCAGTTTTCTCTGTCCACAGATATCGACATTGGTTAACAAGTATAAGTGGAAAGATGATTTACCCATGAATTAACTGTGTAAGTTGTGGCTGCAACTCCTCATCTCTAAGTTTATGGATTCTTCTGGAAATAGAATCAACAGATCGTATAGAGATATCGATTTTGGTTAGAAGCTTCCTAATGTATGCCCGAGTAGCGTCGATCTTGGTAGATTCTGCTCCATGACTATCCATTTTTTTCAGTGACTTGCATTTCTCTTCATAGATGGCACGAAGCTTTTCTTCGTCCTGCCATCAAACAAGAACCACAATTGTTAGTGAGATGCAAGAGTCTAAAAGAGACAATAGATATCAACAGAGATTCAGAAGCAAGTAATACCTTGACTTCCTTGTAAAGTTTCTTTTCCCACACATACAGTTTCTCCAAAGTTGATGAGAGGTTCCCAGTGAAGCCTTCATTAACATCTTGTACATTATATGCTTTCGCCATTTTCAGTGTCCTAGATGTTAATCGTATTGATAGTTCAGGCTGAGAGCGCGATGACCTTGTAGATGGTGAGACCAGATACATGATCCTGGTTAAGATAACTGAAAATGAAACATTTATGTAAACTTTGATCAAATAAAAAGCAAAACGTTTCATTAAAAAAGCACAAGATGTTTCCCCATTGTATATTGCAAAGTTTAAAGTTTCATACATTTGATCATAATCCAAAACATACTGTACGTGCCAAAACGCATTGTGAATCATGATTTCCAAATATTGTTTCAATGCATAGATGATTCAAAATAAGAACGAGCCATTGTCTAGGAGTATCAGAATCTCAGACAAGCGAAACATGCGAGTTAAGTCGAGGTACCTTTAAAGCCACCCTTGTTTCTATGCTGATAAGGCAACTTGCTGACCTCAAGCAACACAGCAACCTCCTTCCCATACGAAGAAGCAATCTCGAACTCACTCTTGATCTCCTTCACAACCTCTCTGAGATCCCTAGTGGCATGGATCGACAAACTGGATAAGCTACTTATTTTGGAAGATTCAACATCAAAAGAGGAAGTGCTCGTCTCCTCCAACTCAAAGCTCACTCCTTTCTTCCTCCCGTACTCTTCTTCTACTTCTCCCGAGCTCTTTGTCCCCATGATCGTCTCGTGGGCGTTTGAACTGTTGCTGCTCTTTCTTTCGGCGCTATTAACATAGTGAAACTCAGATTCTACATCACTTCCTGAAAACGAAGACACTGTCTCTGAATCGAAGGAGCTCTCAGTAGCTCTTTCAGGCATTGGCACAGCCCTCGGAGTTTCTTTGCCGGCATACCCTCTTCTGTTAATGTTCGTCACACGAACTTCGTCGCGCTCAGGGAAGATGTCCTTCTTGCGCTCGTCTCTGTGCTCCTTCACCTTCTCCAAGGCTATTCTCTTGGGACGTCTATATACTTGCTTGATCACTTCGTGCTCTGATTCTTCTTCCAGCTCAGGAATCCCTTCCCTCTCTCTAACTTCCTTCGAATCAGGGCTGCTTGAGATCGATGCCATTCCCGGCGGATAGTAGCTCGAGGCACGGGAACGGGCGTTGCCATAATCATAGGTATCAAAAACATTCAGGAAGTCCCAAGTAGAGACACTAGGCGGCGATGGAGGAGCCGGAGCCGGAGGTGGCTTTGTCGTAGACGGTGATCTCCGTTGGACTCCTGAGCTGTAATCACCAGAAGGATGAGGGTAACCGGAAAACCCAGCATTAGGGAAATAGCCCGAGTTTCCGACTCCAGAATCCGACGGCTCGACTCGGTGATTTTCCGGCTGAAATATGAACGGTCGAGATGGTGGCGCAGATTTCTTCATGAAATACATTCCTCGATTCGCGTTTGGATTCTCGCCAGTGAATCCCCATCCTCCAGCATATGGGTAACCCGGCTGATAACCCGATGGATAACCCGATGGATAACCCGGTGGAGCATAGCCTGTTGGATAACCGGAAGAAAATGTTTCGGTTGGCCGGTTTAGCTCTGGTTCCGGAGTGCTATCAATTTGGATATGATCATCAGATCCAGCTTCCGAACCGGATTCAGATCCGGAAGATAGATGCAAATGTGAACCCTCTGTATCTTCTTCATCATCTCCTTCTTCGATGACCGAATGAGAAATCGAGGTGGAAGAAATCGAGCCCTTATGTTTTTTAGGCTTCCCTTCGTCGGAAGGAAGCGTAAGAACAGGAGAATCCGGCGAAGAGGACGAAGAACCAACAACGACTTCCTCGTCAACGAAACGCTGAATAGCTTCTCCGACGTCGCAGAGAGACTGGAAGTAAACGAGGTGAGCGACGGCGAGAGCAGAGCGATGATACGACGCCTCTTTAATCAGGTCCTTCCGCTGTCTGCAGAGAATCACAAGCGGCTGATCATCAACCTTAGATCCTCCGCAACCCATGGAAACAACGAAGATTACGTCTTCACCGGAACTCTAGACGCTGTTTTAAGTCTCATTCTGATTCCAGTCCGATAATCGTCGGAGATGGAGCTGCCATCGCTTACTTCAGCAGCAAGAACCTGGGTTTTATTTGCTGAAATCGACGAAGATAACGGCGGCAGAGCAAACGAGAGGAAAAATCGTTGGAACAGAGCAATTTGAAGAGCCCTAATTCATAATTGTTGTAATCGTGTATAGACGAATATTATATAAACGGAAGAGAGGTCTTGTGCATGAGTGACAGAGAAACCAAAACAGAAGAATCCATGGCTGCTGATTTATGTGGAAACGTGAAAACACGAATCAGAAGAGAGAGACAAAAGGAAAAGAAAACAAAAAGAAAAGTTCGTCGTGTTGCAATTAATTCAACTATACTAAATTAAAAAAAAAAATGGATAGAGATGTTGCGAAGAAAGCTTGGGATCGGGTGGCAAATATAATAATTGCTAGTATTGAATTTGGAGAAGAAGAAAGTGGGAGCAACGAGGAATGGTAGAAAAAAAGGACAAACTTGTTTTTTTCTTATCTCTGAAATTCTTCGCGATTCACCGGGAGAGAGTGACAACCAAGAAGACGTGTATATTTTTTTTATTAATCGTCGACCCAAGAAATTAAGTTTGTTCTTTACTATTTTCACCCTGATATTAAGATTTGTTCAGTTTTGGTCCTGACCAATTTGGCCATTATTTCTCTTTGTGCACACAACAGGACACGGTTTACAATTTGTACTAAACACATCCACAAATTGTAGAGATAGCTTTTCTTACTGTTTTATAACACACAGACAAAATAGATTCCATCGTCTGGACTAATTATAAAAAATGGATTATAGGTTACCAAAAACATAAGGTAAATGAATTGGATATTGTGGATCTACAGCCCGGCTCTGAGAGGTGGCGAGAGGGGCACATGCCTAAGGGTCCAAATTTATTTTTTATTTATTGAAAAATAAATTTGTACTAAAAAAATTCAAAATTGTTTTTTTTTTCTAATAAAAAGGTCCAATTTTTTTTTTTGTCTAAGGCTTTTAAAAAAACCGAGACGGTATTGTGGATCTAACATTTTATTTATGAGTCCATTTTTCTCCTTTTTTATAATTTGATTGTCCCACTTATCAAAATGTCGTCCCCTTTTCAAAACATTAAGTTCCATTATTTGTAGTAAATGTTACAATAATGCATATACACATGAGACATCGAGACACTATTGGGTGAGAAAGTGGGACATGTGCTTCCAAATCCACTTCACATGCACCTCCTTGTCCCAATCACCATAATGGCCAAATCTATAGCATCATTTTTCGTTTTCTTCCTCAAATTTAATATTTTCACTTCAACTTACATGATTGGCCTTTGCTTTCGCTTTAGTTAGCTCTAATTTCGTCATAACAAACGATGAAATTATATCATCTCATCCATATATACAATTGAGAAAAGGAAAAAGAAATCAAAAGAAGTTTCGAAAATCGATTAAAAAATGGGAATGAGTCTGACCAACCTGATCGGCTCGTCGTAAGCCTATTGCGTCATTAAAGGTATAGGAACGTCATTTTCCATACCAAACCATTCATACATCTTTCTAGATTCCGAATTTAACAAATGAATAAATATCCAAATTGGTGCAGTTGTAAAAGGAAACATTGATTGTCCCACCCAACAAAGTAATCTTAATGAGATTGATCGAGCATAACCATGCACGTCCATGTCGCACGTGGTGTTGAAAACTTGAAATTTTCCACTATACTGTATTACTGTATATATTTTATTTAAATCCCTTTTGTTCGTGTAGAACTTGAAACAAGTACAACAATGGTTTGACCTATAATCCAAGAGAGACGACTTTTCCTTTTTTTTTTGAGTATCCCAATTCCCAAATGAGAAGAATCTTGAATTAAAATCTCTAGTGTAAAAAAGGTCTAACGTTAACAATAACCCAACCTTATTTTAATGTTTTAAAAATATACGTGCAAAGGTGTTGCAGTGACTTTAAATTAGGTGTATCTAGATTTGAAGAAGTCACACTAAAACCTAAAACCATATGCTATAAAATATTGAAAGTGTTTCATCACTGCGACTGCAACACTGATATTTTATATAAAAAGATGTGTTCTTTTGCAAAGAATATATGAACACCACGTAATCATGTATGTATACATTGTAAGAGAAATCAAAACATGTTTTTTGTCAAAATTTTACAATTAGAAACCAGAGTAATCGGAGTTGTTATTATTACCAAAGAAAGTGAACAAGAGAACCAAAACGCTGATGGCGATTATGATGTTGAGGAAGTAATTAGTGGGTAATGGCTTATCTGGGCTTCCTCCAATTGCTTCATACTCTGCTCTTATCTTCTTCTTCATCGAATCCGAAAGCTCTTTCTGCCATCATTATTCACATTATTGTTTTTTTTTATAACATGTATGTATTACACAATCAGCTAGAAACAGTTTTGTATTAGCTACTAAAGACAAACCTTTCCAGTGGAATATTTAGCAGCTACGAACTTCTCTGGAGATCCTTGTGCAGGGCCATTGTCAATGATAATGCCCTGATTAGTTTAGTAGTAGCAAAATCATCAGTTTACTTCACTTAAACGCATGGTTCAAAATGGTTAACACAAGTAGCTAAACGTTATCTATGTTTTATGTATGTATGTATGTACCTCGGGAGGATCAAATTTCGCTCCGAGATTGCTGAGCTTGGCATGAGCTTCAGCGTAATCCCTGAAGAATGCCGCTGGATCTTCAGCATATTTTTCTGCATAGTTCTGTAAAAGTAAACAAAAACACTTTTATCTTAAGTTACAAAGGAATAATTCTGTTGCATCTTAAAGTTAAACCACTTTTGTGTTCATTAACCTTGAAGGAAGGATCTTCGAATAGGGCTGCGTCAGTGGGTAACACAAGAAGATCTTGGTCCCTTTTTTCTTTGATATCCTGCAAGTCATGCATACAAAGTCACTGATTAAGAAATCAAGGATCGTATACTTAAGAGTTCTCTTCTTGATTCCCAAATGCAAGTTACTAAGACCGACCTTGAAGTAGGAATTGTCAAACTTAAGCCATTTCACTGTCCATGACTGTCCTCCTGGTTCTCCAGGTCCAGTTTTCTGCCAAATTTTGATCGGTTTCATAAACATCTCCACACAAAAATCATTCAACAGAGAAGGGAGCTAGATTGTTGTCCTTGTTTATCAATACCGTGTACTTTGTCTCCGGTTTGCCCCAACCGCTACGTTCAGGTCTTGATCGACCTAGAGTGTGTGCACCAGACAACGCAACTATCTCCTGATTGCAAAAGAAAATGAGAATAATCCATTTTTGACATGAGCAATACAAAAATGGAAAGAAAAAGAAAAATCCAAAACTGACCTTATCATTTAGTCCCATTCTGTAGAACACATCTCTCAAATGATCAGCTGGTGAAGGCGGTCCAGCATCTAAACATGGTCATATGTTTTCAAACTTTGTTAATTTTCAATTAAGTCCATAGCAAAACCTGAAACAAAAATCATCATGGAAGCCATGAAAACAGACAATGGAAAGATGAGTTAACCAGGGAGTCTTCCTTCTTCTGGACACTGTTCAGGTGATGACACATCGACTCTCCCATATTTCATCGGGATTTCAGGACCACCAGCCTCCTGAAGGTTGATTCTAAAGTTATCAGTAAAATGTTTTCAAGACCAACACAATCTTCCTAAAATCAAATCAGTGAACCTCTATAGCAGTGGCACTAGCTAACTGGAACAAGTCGGCGTAAGAGATGTCAGGATACTTGTCTTTGATTGGTTGAATCAGCTTTAAAGCACTAATGAGACCTGTCAAATGTCAAAACCTTACAAATTAAGAAGACAAAACCGGTAAAACCGGTAAAACCGATAAAACAGAACAAGTGTTTTAAAGGGTACAAAAACACAAAGTACCAGCATTTGCAGCATGCTTAAGCTCAGCCTCAAATCTAAGACTTGCATTAGCTCCACCTCTCTGTGGCCACTCCTCGATGCTCTTGTTATACGTACCAGCATCGTGCCATCCCAGCCTAACCTGCAATATATGTACGTTACTCTTGTCAAGATACTCAATTTCTTCAAATCAAGGGAGGAAAGGAGAAAGAGAAGGACGCTCTTTCACCATAATCGGATGGCAAAACTTTGTGCGGAGAAGCACTTTGATATCTTCTTTGGCGCTTCTCAATTGAGCTACATCAGAGGCGGCGCATTTTGGTGAACTCACCGTGCTACATCCTCTGTTCGTCCCATTAACCGGACGTGATTTCTAAAACACAACAATAGAGAGACACAAAATGTAAAAAGCGGAGACTTTTTACAAATGTACCGAATTTCGCGATTGGTTTATTTGGATTTTACCTGAATAAAGGATGAACGAGGAAACAGAGAGGAAGATGAGAGGCTTCGGAGAGAATGTGGCGATGAAGAGGAAGAAAGAGCAACGAGAGGGGGCGAGGAGGAGGCGACGGCGGGGGAAAGAGAGACAGAGGCGACGGTGGAGGAGGAGCAGAGTGATTGAGATGCGGCGGAGAGAGAAAAAGCCATATTTGTGTCACCAACGGCGGAGAGAAATGAAACTAATGAGACATGTGTCAGTGACTTAGCGATGCGTCGCCAGTTGGATCTATTTGGAGTCACTCACTCTTAACTGGATAACGATACCGACCACCTAATTCGCATGTGCTCCTCACGCGCCTGATTTCTATCAGCTCTTTGACAAGTGATCCTCACGCGCCTTCACCACCACCACCAAACAAAAATACATTCCTGTTTAACTTTTTTTTTTTGGAAGAATTATACTCCTATAATTTAGAAAAACAAATCTTAGAAAATCAGAAATGATTAAAGAACTAGTAGAAGATAGATAAAAAAATTGAATTTTATAAAAAATTATATAAAACTGATATACTAAGGAGAAGAAAAAAAAACACAATTATTGAGAGATAGACTATGGAATTAATGGGCCGAGCATGTAGGCCCAGTAAACCTCAAAAACTATCGGCCTTTTTGATCAGTGGTCGTTCGCGCGTGATCTACACGCTCACTCTATTTAGCCAAAGTCCGTCCAATTTTCTCAATTAGCTACGGGAACTTAAAAACCTCTGTAGCAACTTGCAAGAGATTGAGTGAGAGATACTGATACAATTCCTAAAGAAGCCTCCTTTTTTGTTGCCTGGGGTCAACTTGACAACTTTTCTCCTCAAAAAGAAACCTTTTTTTCTTCTTCTTGGGATTGGGTTTCGCTTTCTTGGGGAAAAGGAAATGATGAATCCGAAAAGGGAGACAAGAAAGCTGTTCCCAGGTGCCTATTTCGTCTTCTTCTTCTATGTGTTCGTACTCTGTGCTCGCTTTCAACCTTCAGAGGCTACCAAAGATTTGTCGGTTGGGCAAGTGAAGTTACAGAATCATGGGCTTGGCTCCTCCGTCGTGTTTCCTGTCTCCGGGAACGTTTATCCTCTTGGGTAAGTTTAATCTCATTCCGAAATTTCACCTCTTTTGTTCAATCCCTCGTCTTCTCGGTAGTTTCTAGTGACCCATTCGTGAGCTTGATCTTCTCCGTTTGATTTTTTTTTTTTTTGCGGGATTTCGTTGACTCGTGTCTTCGATTATGGGTTTGTGCGGAAACTTTGTGGCTTCTTGTATCTGTGTGGATCTATTTCAAATGCTTGAGCAGAGAACTTTTAATGTGAATTCTTGATTCTGTTGATGTGAGGAGATTTCAAATTGCAGACTTTGAGCAATGTTGATTCCGATATATACCCTTCAATTGGAAACGCCCAATTTTGATTGCTTGAGTGTTTGTTTGCATTTGAAGTCACTAAAGCTTCATCTTTTTTCCTCTACTGGGGTTTTCAGGTACTATTATGTGTTGCTCAACATCGGAAACCCACCAAAGCTCTTTGACTTGGACATAGACACTGGCAGTGACCTCACTTGGGTTCAATGTGATGCACCCTGCAACGGCTGCACAAAGGTACAAACTTTGATTTGCTTTGAGTGTGTTACATAATTATGAATCTGTTTATCTCTCTTTCTGTGCAGCCTCGTGATAGTCAGTACAAGCCCAATCACAACACTTTGCCTTGTTCACACCTCTTGTGTTCTGGCCTAGACCTTCCTCAGAGCACCCCTTGCGCTGACCCTGAAGATCAGTGTGACTATGAGATTGGGTATTCTGACCATGCCTCCTCTGTTGGCGCTCTGGTTAGTGATGAGTTTCCTCTGAGACTCGAGAATGGCTCCACTATGCATCCCCATTTGACATTCGGGTTAGTTTTTTATCCACACATTCGAAAAGACAAAAACTTGATTCAAAAGCTGGTGATTCTTGAAATCGATGTCTCTTTTACAGATGTGGGTATGATCAGCAGAACCCTGGTCCACACCCTCCTCCTCCAACAGCAGGGATCCTTGGCCTTGGCAGAGGCAAAGTAAGCATCTCGTCACAGCTTAGTTCCTTGGGGGTAACCAAGAACGTGATTGTGCATTGCTTAAGTCGTACTGGTAAAGGCTTTCTCTCTATCGGAGATGAGCTTGTTCCTTCTTCTGGAGTTACGTGGACTCCATTTGCTCGTAATTCACCTAGGTGAGCAAACCTTTGAGCGCATCATCTTCTTCTTTGTCACTTTAACTTTTTTGTAATTCCCGAGTTGAAACTTCGTGCTGCGACTGTTCTGTTTTCTTTAGTAAAAACTACATGACCGGACCAGCAGAGCTTCTCTTTAACGACAAGACCACAGGTGTCAAAGGCATTAACTTCGTTTTCGACAGTGGAAGCTCGTACACTTACTTCAATACTGAAGCATACCAAGCGATTCTCGATCTTGTAAGAGACAATCTCTTTTTCTGAAAGAAGATAAATCTTTGTGTTTACCACATTTGTATGATTAATTTGGTTTGCATGTATCTCTTTTAGATAAGAAAAGACGTGAAGGGGAAGTTGGACACAGAAGAGGAAGATAAAAGCTTGCCGGTGTGTTGGAAAGGCAAAAAACCTTTCAAATCAGTTCATGAAGTCGAGAAATACTTCAAGACGATTACTTTACGATTTGGGAGTCAAAAGAACGGTCAGCTGTTTCAGGTTCCACCTGAGTCATATCTCATTATCACTGTGAGTCACGCATATATATACTAACTTGTATATATGACTTTAATCTCCATAAAAAGTCCATGGCTGAGAGTTTGTTTCTTCGTTTTGGTTTGTCAGGATAAAGGAAACGTATGTTTGGGCATTTTAAACGGAACTGAAATCGGGCTCGAGAGCTATAATATCATTGGAGGTAGTTTATATCGTGTTTTAGATCGTCTTGGTTTTGTTTATGCTCATCACTTGACTAACAATATCGTGTGTGTGTGATAGACATATTCTTCCAAGGGATAATGGTGATCTACGACAATGAGAAGCAGAGGATTGGGTGGATTCCTTCAGACTGTTACAAGCTTCCAAAGTTCTGATCCCTTTTTTTTCTGGCTTTTCTTTCTTGTGGTTTCTCCAGCTTCCAACAAATCTGTGATACAGTTTTCTTCTCTTCTTCTTGCCTTTCTGTGTCAACAGTTTGGGTCAAGACTATGGAGGAGATTTGTCGGAGGAGGCATATCCAAGAGGGTTTGGTTTGATAGGAGAGCTTTTCTCAGGAACCGATTCTTCCAAGAACAAGAACTTGGCCTCGGATGGAGAGCTTTGAGTTTTGGTGGTGAAATAAAATGTTTTTGAGGTTTCTGGTTATGATGATGTTATTATAGAGAACGAGGAAAATTTTTGTGAATATTATACTATATACATATACCTTGTGTCAATCCAACAGATCTCTCAAACACATTGCTTTGGGGAAAAAAAAAAAAAAAAAAAACACAAATCGACAAATCTGATTCATTCCAAAAAAGTCAACATTGTGTGAAGCTAAGTCAACTAGAACAGTCTTGATCCAACTCGAGTTAAGGCCCAAACCTTTGTTCTTAAATATACAACACGAAAGAAGAAGAGTTATAACCCATACCAGAAAAAATAATAATTAAGAAAAAGATTATAAAACCTAGCAGTCGCGCGCTCTTGTCAATTTTTCCATGGATGAAGACGCGATGAAGGTAAGATTCTTCTTTCTCTCTGTTATCGATTAATGGTAGTAGAGTTTCTGATTAGATATTTTTGTACCTTAGGGGCTACAATTGCTGGAAATGAAGGATAGTGATGCAGCCATTCCAGAAATCCCAAAATTCAGGTAAATTCTTTTAGGGTTTTTGAGTTTTGAGATTTGCGTATTCTTTTAGTCTCTTTTTTGGAGTTTTGCATCTTTTAGATTTGGTCTTTGTCATGTTGATAACATTATAATATCTCAGTGGCGTCGTTACGGTTTCGGTTGAGGGATATGACACTTTGCTTCCTCCCGAAGTTGTCGCGAAAGCGTTGAGAAGACACTTCTCTTGTTGTGGAAAGGTCATAGACGTTGCTCTTACAGCATACACTGAAACCGATGTTTTCCTGCCTTTTCTCTACAAGTTTGTGATCTGAAACATTGTCTCTATCAATTTTCTAACCTCTCAAGTTAAGTGCTAACTAATAAGCTTACTTGTTTTCTTTCACAGATTTGCTACTCTCCGTATTCGGGGAGAAGGTGTAGAAGAGAAGGCGTTGAGACTTAGTGGAAGCGACGTGGGAGGATGGACTGTCGTCGTTGCTGAGGCTTATCCGTGTGACGAACCTATCGGTATTGAGGTTTCGGGAGCTGAAAGAGCTAAAGAGGATTCGGAAGATGGAAGCGCCAAAAGCAGCAGCAGTTGGGAAAGCTGGTTATTATGCAAATTGATATTCTTTTGAGATTTGCATCTGTAAGATGTCTTCTTGTCATGTTGCTAATACTATCTCCTGCAGCGTGATTAAAGTTACGGGACATGACACTCCGCTTCCTGTGCATGGTATCGAGAGCGCGCTGAGAAAACATTTTGCGTCATGCGGTCAGATCATGGCGGTTGCAGCTGGTGATCCCAGGTTTGTGGCTTCTTTCCTCCAGTTTGGTGTTGTGAATTTGTTCTTTAAGTGCTATACATTAGGACTTGTCTTGTGTTGTGTTTTTTTTTTTTTTTTTCACAGCTTCCTTATTATAGATGGAAAAGGCGCACAAGAGAAGGCTCTGTCACTTAGTGGAAGTTACATGGGAGGATGCAAACTAGTTGCTGAGCCTTCTCCTAAGAGTGCACCTGAAGAAAACGGGAAACGCATTTATGGCGCTCCTCACCTCGGTACAATCCTGTTTCTCGATTCTTGATCCTCTTTAACAGATAAAATTTCTCATTGAATTGGTGGTTTGTATTAGCTCGTTGGGATCATATTGTCAAGGCTAGGATGTTGTGGGGAGCTGAGATGGCTAAGACTATGAAGATTACTGACAAGGCTAAGATGGTGTGGGAAGAACAGATGGGTCCTTATATGGATGCGGAGGATAAGAAGATGCTGTGGGAAGCTGAGATGGCTAGGAGGGATATGCAGAACTAGGACTACAATATGAAGTAGAGACAGCCATGTTTTTTAACTTGTGATACAATATGCTTTTGTTTGGGTGTTAAAACTTATTTCTCTGTGCACATGTTTCATTCATGCTTTTATTAAGTCTATTGAACCAAAACCTATGAGAGAAAATGATGTGAAAGGAAACTAAGGCTAACTAACCTCCACAGAGAGCTAACTTAACTAACTAACCTCCAATCGAGCTGTAGATGCAACCGAGCCACATCTCTTGACCACTTTACTGAATTGTTACATGGAAGCTTGGACACGTTTACTCATTCAGACACGTTTATGTCTTTTTAAGACAATTTTTTGCCTTCTTAGACGGAACACTCTGTTCCTTTGCAACATCTTCAAGCCTGCTGTTTACCGCAGCCGTATTTGCAAGCAAAACTCTTGAGTTTTTGCCCTGTCTTGGGAGTGGCTTCCAAGCAGAGACCCATTCATTTGTCCCTTGAGGCCATTGACGCAAATTGTGTATGGAATTGAGTTTCCACGCTTATGAGCATTACCCCATTTGGACTTCCCCTAAGCTGTTGTTAGCAGTAATTAACACTAGATATTTCGAAACGTCTCTCTCACAGGGACGACTGAATGTACTCATTTTTTTCCCACAGTAACTGCATTTAACCCGACTTTTCTTCTTGTCCACGCAAATTCCATGCTCACGAATGTCCATGCAAGTAGCACCCATTCAAACCCTTGTTTTCTCTTTTCCGAGATAGAAACTTGTTTTGCCTTTGTAAATGATTGTATACACGAAGGTCCATTTCCTTATCTCTCCCTCTCTGCCTCTCATACTCTCATTTTTCCCTTATTAACTCATTGTATACAACAAGGTCCATTTCCTTATTATGAAATACCGAGTCTTCATTTGTTTGATATTGGAAAGTAAAAAAAAAAACTAAAATCTGCCATCGACTTGCTATGCATCTTTGCTAACGGAGATAAGCTGAAGATTGTATTGAACGAACAATGACTATTTCAGATGCTATTTCTCACCATCGATCATTCCTATCGTGGGCAGATGCACCACAGAGAGTGGGATGACATGCAAATGCTCTACAATCTGCGATTTCCTAGATATAATCTCCTACAGTTTCTTATTTATTGAAAACCATCTTTTTAAGTATAACCTCTTTTTTAAGTACAGCCACCATAAGTGTTAAGACATGAATCACGTTCAATGGACTAATTTATTTCCATGAGATATATCTTTTTTTACTAATTACTTCTATCTACAGTTGCGAAAATTAGTAAATATCAAACATAAATCCATAAAGTTCACAAATCACCTTAATCAACATTAGTTTTTATTGGTTAAGCATGAAATGTTTATTTAAAACTTTTCTATACATTTTTAAACAGTTATGGGTAAAAAGGAACAAAATCCAAATTTTGAGTAATCAACTCTAAACTTACCATTAAATATGTTTCAAATGATGAAAAACATGTTAAATTATGTTGTAATATTTGTAACTAAGATTGTAATATTTTTTTTTAATCATAATCCCCATCAATTTTGATAAAATTATCTGAATAATCAAATAAGTTATTGAAATCCAATTTGTTTTGATATATATGATTATTGATCATTAAATATAAGTTTCAAATATTGATTCCATATGTAAACTCATCTAACATTTTTGGTCGAACCTTGTACAATTGAAAATATATGACTGCCAAATAGTTATAATTGTGGTCTATACGTTTTTTGCTCTATGGAGAAAGAATGATTCACAAGAGATTTTGTTTATTCATATCTATTAAATAGGAAAATGAGGACTTTGTGAAGTTGAGGAGTTGCTAGGAGGAAGATTTCTTTGAATTATAAGGGTTATTTAACAGCCTCACAAAAACATGTGAAACTGGTAAATGCGATGCCCTTAATAATTTTCGATGGTTCACAAATTGATTTTGAAGATGCTCTTGAGAATCTTCTATATCTTCTCCTATGGCTGCCATGGTTCCTTCTTTTGCTATTGTGGGATAGGTGATATAGTTTTATTTTATTTAATTTTGTATTTATTCACTGCTTTGTCTTTTCTATTTTACTGACTTCTATTTTTTATTTAACAATTTCTTTTGCAGAAATTTTTGACTATCCTAAAAATATCTATTTCCACACCATATTGTTTACTGGGGTTTGCTGGGATAAGTACCATATGTCGAGACTGTATTGGGAGTTTCAAGAGAGTGTTGGCTCTAATGTCCGGAAGAATGGCTATGTCAGAGTGGCTGCTGACTACTCCTTCATTCAAGAGTTTGTCTGCATTACTTTACTGTTTAGTTTTTTAGATGTTTTTTTTTATTATTTTTGTCATTTTTTATGTCTTAGTGCATGTTATAAACTATCAACACGTGCAATTTCTTTTATTGTACTTGAATTCTTTTTGTATTCGCCTGTTAGTTAATTCAACTATATAATCATTGTTTGCCTTCAACAACAATTATTATATGAGCAAGATTCAAAAAGTGATGGAAAAGGCGGCAAAATAATTGAACTTTTGTTAATCCCAAAGCAACTAATATTTCTTGTAAAGTCATCTAAATAGAGATGAAATTTGATAATGTTCGTTTAGTAATGAAAACAAGAAAGAGCTAGATGACTTTTTGGATGAGTTTCAAAAGTTTGAGCAAACTCATTTAGGTTGGATAGAGATAAAATATTAAAGAATAAAATATCTTTATTTAGATAAAAAGTTTGAATGGATGTACTTATCAAATGCATGAGCAATATAGATTATTAAAAAATACAGATTGATATGTATTTGTCTTCCATTCCTTTGTTTTATACAGACTTATAAATAAATAATAAAAATCATTGATTTGTATACAAATCAAAATTTTATTGTCTTATTAAGGTAAAAGCAGAACAAATTCATCTTGCATATTTTACTACAAGAAATCATGTGTGTTGTATCATTTATTTTATTTGTTAATATCATTTTTTATTAATACAAGTTCAACTGCATCATTTAATTAAATGACTTTGGCAGTAGTGATGCTAGACATTTATATCAATATTATTAATAATGCAACTATTTTTATCACTTATATTAATTGATATTAATATATATCATCTGCAATAAGTGATATTAACATCACTTCAAATAAATGATATTAATATTTATATCACTTAAAATAAATGATATTAATATTTACTATCAGTTATAATAAATGATATTATATATTAAAATTCGTTTTGATTTAAATTTTTGTGTTAATTTTTATAATATTATAAATTTAAGATAACTAATAATTTATATTTATTATTCTAAGAAATATATATAAATACATACATATGATTTAACATAAAAAATTAAGTGTTGATGAATTTCTTTTATAGAAGATAAAACTATTACTCTTCATCAATCTTAGTAATGTGGGACAAATAGTTGTTTAGTGGAAATTTTATTTGCATCATTTTTATAAATGAAAGAAATATTAGCATCATTTATTATTGATACTAATGCCAGTTGATCAAATGTTTCACTTATATAATTAATGTAAATTTATATATTTTTGTTAGTTTTCAAAATTGATATAAATTAATAATGATTTATATCAGTTTTTTTTAATTGATGTTAATCAAGTTAGTATTAATATTAATTGTCTTTTATGTATTTATATCTAGTGTCAATTTTTACTTAGTGATTTTAAATAAAATTAGTTATTTTAATGACACTTTATAAATGATACAATATAGATTTTTATAGTGTTTATTGACCAGATTAATGCAGATCAAATAGTATTTTATCACTATATATAATCTCCGACAATTTATTATTTCTTGAAAATCATCTTTTAAGTATAAGCTCTTTTTAAGTACAGCCACCATAAATGGTAAGACATGAATCACGTTCAATAGAGTAGTTTATTTCCATGAGATTTATCTTTTTTACTAATTACTTTTATTTACAGTTACAAAAACTAGTAAATATCAAACACAAATCCATAAAGTTCATAAAAATCACCTTAATCAGCATTAGTTTTTATTGGTTAAGCATGAAATGTTTATTTAAAACTCTTTTATACGCTTTTAAACAGTTATGGGTAAAAAGGAACAAAATCCAGATTTTGAGTAATTAACTCTAAACTTACCATTAAATATGTTTCAAATGATGAAAAACATGTAAAGTTATGTTGTAATATTTGCAAACTAAGATTTTAATATCTTTTTTTAATCATAATACCCATAAATTTTGATAAAATTATCTGAATAATCAAATAAGTTATTGAAATCCATTTTGTTTTGATATATCTGATTATTGATCATTAAGTATAAGTTTCAAACATTGATTCTATATGTAAATTCATTTTGGTCGAACCTTGTGCAATTAAAAATTTATGACTGCCAAATAGTTATAATTCCAGTCTATACATTCTTTGCTCCATGGTGAAAGAATGATTCACAAAAGATTTTGTCTATTCATATCTATTAAATAGGGAATTGAGGACTTTGTGAAGTTGAGGAGTTACTGGGTGGGAAATTTCTTTGAATCATCAAGTTTTCTCATACGGTGCTGAAGTTACAACCGGTATAGTCTCATCTTTTGTTCGGTTGGTTAAAGAACAGCAGGTTCAAATTAAGATTCAGACACAACTGACTTCCTACACTTTCGCTAAGGACTCTGATGATGAATTTAAAGATGCTTGTCAAGCAGACAAAATTTCTGAAATCTCCCCTCCAGATATGTGAGCTTTGTATATTGATATAGCTGTTTGTGTGTGAGCTTTGTATATTGATATAGCTGTCTGTGTGTGACTCCAGGTGTGTGAGCTTTGTATATTGATATAGATGTCTGTGTGTGAGCTTTGTATATTTCTGAAATCTCTTCTCGTTTTTTTTTTGTTTTGCAGGTCAATGGTGGACTGAAAATGCCAGACAGTATCCTGAATTGCAGATTTTTGCCTTCAGGGGATTAAGCCAGAGCTGTGAAGTGCATTCACTTGGTAGAACAACCAATACATCTCAGAGAAGGTTGTTGTGATCATCACCATGTAGTTTTTGTTTTTGCTTCATGAATCCATGTGTTTGATTTGATTCCTTCACTCTTTTCTCAAGTTTCAAGCCTGTGAGGTCAACAGTTGATGTTAATTTGGTGCTGGATACAAATATTGATCAATTGATGATGTTGGTCGATTTTAAGTAGTTTTTAGTTGCTTGAACCTTCAATGTAGTTGGAACCTGCCTGTTTGCATAATATGGTAAGCTGTGGATTTTGATGTGAATCTTATCTTGAAGTTGCAGTTTATTTGTTCAAATGCTAATTTAACACATAACAAAGTATGAACGAATAACATAAGTAAACCAAGTATAAGTTCATATACGATGATTCTCTTGAGACCGTTAAAAGGAACAGTCCAAGTAAACTAGGTACATGCTGTTTGGGTGTTAAAAACTTATTTCTTGTGCCTTTGTTTGGATGTTAAAACTTAAACTTATATTCTTATACGATTCTTTTCTTTTGCATGTATTCTGAATTTCCGATGCAGTTTATAAATTAGGCTTTTGTTCTCTCCGGGAGTATTGTTGTAATTGGAGTGTTAATTTACTAAAGTAGCCCAAGGACAACTTTCATTTCTCGAGGGTAAAAATGGAATTAGAACCGAAGAGACAGTAGTAGAGAGTGGCGGAAGGAAACCTCAAAAACTAGAGCTTGGCGCCATCAGCGGGAGAGAAAGAGCGAAAAGAGGGCTCAGTGAGAGATTTCTGAAGCAATTTTCGTTAATCGGCGGCGAAGATGACCGACATAGCATCGGCGATGGACATTGACGTAGACGAGAATCAACCTCGCAAGCCGAGTAACAAGGGCAAAGACGTCGTCGGTTTTGGTGGTCCGCCGCAGAGCAAGGCGACGCCTTGGGTCGAGAAGTACCGACCTCAATCGCTCGATGACGTTGCAGCACATCGTGACATTGTTGATACAAGTAATTGAACTTACACACACTCTCTCTCACTCTAATTGCATCTCCTAGGGTTTCATTTCCAATTTTAGGGATTTAGTATCAGTATTCACAGTTTTCTGCTTCCCTGTGTGGAGATTTCTGGAAAACCTAGAAAATTGTGGTTTGAAATTTCGGTTTTTTTTTTCTAATTACGCAAGGATTTGAAAGAGAAATGGATTGCCTTTGATTATGCATAGTGCTTCTTATACTGAGAAGGTATAGCTTTTTGTTAGTGGATTAAAATTGATGAAGATACTGCAATTTTCCTTTTGTTTATACAAAATCGATCGAACTGTATAGTATCTTCTAAAGAGGTTCATATTTTCTCAGTTGGATTGAGAGACTGATGCATGATATAGCTTCTTCTGACCTATGCTCACTGAAGGTTTTGCTGTTGTTTTTGTCATTTTTGAAACAGTTGATAGGCTGACCAATGAGAACAAATTGCCGCATCTTCTGTTGTATGGTCCTCCCGGCACAGGCAAAACATCGACCATTCTAGCCGTCGCCCGGAAACTGTATGGGCCCAAGTACCGTAACATGATTCTTGAACTCAACGCGTCGGATGATAGAGGCATTGATGTTGTAAGGCAGCAGATTCAAGATTTCGCCAGCACGCAGAGCTTCTCATTGTGAGTTTCCTAAATCATGTGCTTTTTTGATTTCTTGGTTTGTTTATGAAAATAATGTAAGCATTTGGATATCGTCAATTGTTTTTTTTTATTACTCATAACATGGAATGCATTGTGATGGCATCATGCTTGCTAAGTAGAAGAGTAAGATATCCTTTCGTGTTGCAAGTTTGTTGTGGATAATAAAAAAGGAAAAATTGGAATTCATGATTGCAGAGGAAAATCTTCGGTAAAGTTGGTTCTGCTAGATGAAGCAGATGCCATGACAAAAGATGCTCAGTTTGCCCTGCGTAGAGGTGAAACCTTTAGTCTTCGTAGCTCTCTCGTTTTTGTTTTTTTTGTTGTTGTTGTTGAACTACGGCATTAACATGTTTAGCATGCTTCTGTTTCTTAAATCTGGCTAGTGATTGAGAAATACACGAAGAGTACTAGGTTTGCGCTCATCGGAAACCATGTCAATAAGATCATCCCAGCTTTACAGTCCAGGTGTACTCGGTTTAGATTTGCCCCTCTTGATCGTGTCCATGTGAGTCAACGTCTTAAGCATGTCATAGAAGCTGAAGGGTGAGAATAAAAGTCATTTCAAACTTGTATACTTTTTGTTGTGTTTTTCTCCATCCTTTTCTCTTTGTTAAATATTTTTGTTTTGTGCTGCTTTTTTTTCATAATTGGACTAGGCTTGATGTAAGTGAGAGTGGTTTGGCGGCTCTTGTACGGCTGAGCAATGGGGACATGAGAAAAGCATTGAACATTTTGCAGGTTCTGTAAATACTCCTTTTGCTTCTCTCTCCCCTAAATTACAACTGTAAATCTACAAAATTTCTTAACGGGTTAATGTGTGTGGGGGTACAGTCAACGCATATGGCGTCAGAGAAAATAACAGAGGAAGAGGTTTACCTCTGCACTGGAAACCCACTTCCCAAGGACATTGAGCAGATATCTCACTGGCTTCTGAATAAACCTTTTGCTGAGAGCTACAAAAGTATTGAAAAACATAAACTTTAATCGTATTTTCTCTACTTTAAGTTATTGATTCCGTTTTATCCTGGATCTTGATTGTTATGTCACTCGCTGCAGATATATTAGAGATGAAGACGAGAAAAGGACTTGCCATTGTTGATATAGTGAGAGAGGTTACCATGTGAGTGACATACATACTTGGTTGCTGCTGCTACTAGTGCTGTGTTAACCATGCGTCTGTGAAGTAACTAACTAACGTTTTGTTTCTACAAATTCCATCAGGTTCGTTTTCAAGATCGAGATGCCTTCACATGTCAGAGTTCAACTGATAAACGATTTGGCAGACATGGAGTTAGTACACTTTGTCTTTTAGGCTCTGGTTTATTGTGATTAGAGAGTATTATTAGCTTTTTTGTTTTTGACTTGGAGTCGTTTTATGGTAATCAATAGGTACAGGCTGAGTTTTGGATGCAACGACAAACTGCAGCTTGGAGCTATCATTTCTACTTTCACACACGCCCGGTCTGCCTTGGTTGCTGCAGCAAAGTAAACCGTACCGTACCGTTTTGGAAACCCGGTTGCTTTAACTCAACAAGACGGATAACGCTAGAATGTTTTAGCTCAGTTATGTTTTATGGCGATTGCGACCAAAAAGCTTGTTTTAAAAAAAAAAAAAAATTTATTTATACTTTATCTATAAAGGAGTTTCGATGCCACCTTTATTTATGCAGATTGCTAAAAAGACCAACCGCAAGTTCACTGAAACTGAAATGTTCAGAATTCGTTGATTAATCAAAACTGTCTTTGAGATCTTTGGGAATTTGGGCTTAGTTAAAAACTGGGCATGGCTATTAAGGATCCTAAAATCATAAAAATGATCCAAGAAAAAAAAGAGTTAACACTCCCCCAAAGATCAAAATCACTTTTTTTGAGATGGCTTCATCGTTAAGGCTTTGGCGAATCCAATTTTGTTTTATGAAAAAGCACATCGCCCAATATAATTCGTGACCTAGAGATTTCATTTTTTCTTCTCCCAAATGGCTTCTTCGTCAAAGCTTTGTGCAAATGGTTCGGCGGCGCTGCCTTCTGAGGTAGTGGAAGAAGAGATACTCGAGAGGACTCCGATAGAGGATGTGATCCGGCTAAAATCGACATGCAAGTCATGGTACGCTCTCTTCAAGGACGAGAGGTTCATCACCAAACACCTGGATCTCTCCCAGGAGCGCTTCATTCGGATTTATCAGGATAAGGTTCAGATCATCAATCCGGTGACCCTTGACCTCTTATCTCTACCGATCCCTTCCGAATTTCTTCTGGGTAAGACCACCATTTCTCCTCGTGCTATCATCAACTGCGACGGATTGTTGCTGTGCCGCTGTGTTACTGGACGGCGCAACCGCAAGATTGCTCTTTGGAATCCGATTCTGAGCACCCGAATCACGTGGATTGAGCCCTCGCGCTCTTACACTTCCTGTGACGTGTTCGGTTTCGGATACGACGGTGACAACAAGTACAAGATTTTGAGGTTTGAGAACTTTGCTAAAGAGACGAAATTTGAGGTGTACGACGTCGAGTCTAAGCTTTGGAAAGCCTTTCCGGCTACTTTCGACTGGTCTATGTTTCTGCCGACGCAAAAGATGTCTATGAAGGGGAATATGTATTGGATTGCTGAAACCAGGAGTAAATTCGAACTCTTTATCCAAAGTTTCGATTTTTCCAGGGAGGCATTCAAGCCCATTTGTTCTTCTCTTCCCGTTAAGGTTGAGGTTGATCGTGTCCACCATGAGGATCTTGATATACTAGTCTTGTCAGGTTTCGGAGGAGACAGGCTTTCTTTGCTACACCAACACCGCGTGGGGGAGATCAAGATCGAGGTGTGGGTCACGAACAAGGTCACTGATGCTCTTGTCTCATGGTCTAAGTATTTTACTGTGGCTTCCCCTCAGCTCCCTAGATTGAATTTCACTCCCTGTTCTCGGGGTAATCCGACATACTTCATCCACAAGACCAATGGTATCATGTTATGGTGCGATAAGCTTGTACGAGAGGAGGATGATGATTATGCGTGTTCCTGCTTTTACGAAATTGTTGAGGGTGAGATCATAAAACAAGTCGAGACAGGACCAACCTTTGGAAATGCTAGAATCTACCCGCCTTGTCGTTGTGGCTCCGTTTACGTTCCGAGTCTGGTTCCGTTTCCAGAGTAAAGAGCCGCAAGAGACGCATAAGGGAGACTCTGTGAGTGTTATGTTCTCTCATCATGAGAGAGTTCATGTATCTTCTTTGTCTGCTTTTTGTTTCGTTACTCTTTTGTTCGATTTGCTGAATTTAAAAACTATGATGGTACTTGTGAACTTCTTAACATAATAAAAATGTTTCATAATAAATTGTTTGAGCAATTAGATTCCTAGTTGAAAAAGTCTTTCTAGTTAGGTGTAGAACTCTCAAAAGCCAACCTTGAATTAACTTATGACATCAGTGAAAAATATAAGTAAATTAATTTAAAACATCGCTACAGGAATCAGAGCACTTCGTGCTGCTTAGTTGATTCCGGAGCGAAAGGGTTTCATGAACAAACTGTCAAATGCATTAGCATCGAAGACCAAAAAGAAGAAGAAGAAGAAGAGAAACAAACTATACAAAACGACTTTCTTTCTTGATACGTAGTTACTTCTTTGCTTCTACGTTCCTTCCCACACACCATTACTCTCATTACCCATATACACGTATTGCTATACATCTGCTGCATACTTTGCTTTCTTTCTTCTACTACCACAAGCACTAGACCAGATCTGAAGTCTTCCCTTGTCCAAACTGCACTGTGCTTGTGAAGATGGAGTTTGTCTTCTTTTTTCTCAAAGAGTATCATCCGTTGTCCTATTGGACCAAGCAATCTCAATGTCCAGTGATCTGGAAGAAGCATCTTTGCTGTTTTCATGATTCAAGCTTAGGGATCCGTTGTACACTCCTTCTGTCACGACTTTGTCTATTTGGATAGTGACACGGCCTAGAGTTGTCTGCAGACAAGGAGTTTGTTCCGTGTTAGCGAAAAAGGACCAGTTAAGACAACGTATAGCTTTATCGACTCTCAACAACTGTGTTACCTTTCCGAATGTGCTTTTGCTCTTGCATATAATGTGAAGCTTTTGTCCTTTCGGGGGAACATCAAATGCCCAATTAAAGCCTTCTTTCCATTCAGGAGTAGTGCTGTTGCTCACGACCTACAAGACCATTCGACAAGAAGAAGAAGTTAATTTGGCTATGGTGGGAATGTAGAATGTTCTCTCAGGATGAATTTGATTTTACCTTAGTTTGCCGTGGAGGGCAGTTTCCTATTGTTAATTGACAAAAGGCGTTTGTGGTTCCCATAGACTGCTTTAAGTTCTTCGCACGCATAACATTCACTGTTAAGCAACCTGGTAAGCAGTGCAACAGGCTGTCTGCCTTGTCGTGGAACCTAGGAGGGCATGTTTTCATCAGCATTTGCAGGACGGGAATTGCTTCAGCTGCAATCATGGATTGAGACTTTGCAACATCTATAGCCATATTCGTCCACGAGTGCCTTAGCAGGTAGAGTATATCCAATACTAATCCCTGGACATCTTCAGCACCAGATTTGAGCGCCCCTACCAAATGCGGGATGCAGAAAGTAGCAGCTTCTGAGGCACGGAGCTTTGGAAAGTTGGAGAAAATCACATTTAAGGTTCTCAAAACTTCGATATTTATAGTTGCTGTAGACCACAAGCCTCTCTCGAGTGCAGCTGCTCGACAACAGTTAAAGATACGAGCAAAGAAATCATCAGAATATAAAAAGTGTGTAACAAATCCCCTGAGGAGACTGACGAGGACGTAAGCATAGCTTTTAAATTGAAAAAGTACCTGTTAGTGATCGTATAAGCTCATTCGAGACGTATTCTTGGAGTGTGTGGTTGGAGAACAAAAATTTAACCATTAGTGCAGCCTGCCCAGAAACTTCCGCATTGCAAGAAAGCAGCAGCTCCTGAATTAGCAATACGCCACCAGCCTCTGCAACAGCTCGCCTGTTCGTTCTACTATTCATCACAAAATTCTGCAACGCACAGATGGCCACCACTTTCATTTCTTCCGTTGGCTGTTCTTCTAGCACGCTAATGAGTGCCCGACAAGCGGAAACAGAACCACTGGATCTAGAAAGACCTTCATGCTGAGAAAGGTCCCCAAGTGCCAGAGCAGCAAGAAGTCTACCAGGATCCGATCTTGTCTGCGGGTCCAACAGATATTGAGAGAGTGGAGCTATGGCATATTTGCATAACTTTAACTCTCTTACCCTCGGATTGTTAAATATTACTTCAAGTAAGCTTCCTGATTCTTCCTCGCATTGATGAGTTCTCAGGAGGTCCAGTAATGCATCGATTGCGCCAAGCTCAGCCATTTGTACTGTGCTTGAAGCATCGTTCTTCTCATGAATCATCAATGCTTTAAGAGCCAGCGTCACTGTGCTTTCAATTGTCGAGAACAACAATTTTACTAAAACTGGTAGTTCGACTCTGAAAAAGCATTCTGCATCATACTGCAGAACATTGGAGAGAACAAAAGCAGCCGACTCCCACAGCTCAAGAGGTGGCTGAGGCTCTTCCTGAAGAATAACCTTGGATAGCTCAAAAATACCTCCAGCATCAAGAACAGCCTTAGGCCAGCTAGCAGATATCTTCTCCAGTGCCTTTATTGCAGTTTCCTGGAGGCTCACTATTCCAATTCCAGCAAGCCGAACCAGAGGAACAACAGCACTCTGTGTTGTGATGTCTTGCTGGAAATCTTCCATCGTAAGAAAATGGCTTAGAAGTTCTGCTCCAAGCTGCTGGATAGCTTGAGATGAAGACTCCAAAAATGAAATTAGAGGGACGATGGCTTCACTGGGTGTGAAACTAAAAGCTTCAAGGCTCTGCTGTTTTTCCAAAATGTTAACAAGTGCTTGTAGGGCACTATGTTGCCCCCATAAGGTCAGGTCTGATCGGAGCAAGACCATGAAAAGAGGTTCTACAGTTTTTGTAACATCTGGTCTTCTTGCGATTACTCCACTATTTGTTAAAATTCGAAACAGTTCCGCAACAGAGGAACATAACGAACTTGAGGCTCCAGGTAGTAGCCCAAGACATCGATCAATTATTCCAGCTTCCACCATGTCCAACTTGCGTGGTACTCTGTCTTTCCCCAACTTAATGAGAGCTGATAAGCTAGCCTCAATAATCCTGTAATTTGTTCCCGAAACCAAGCCAACGAGAAGATCTTGAATGTCATGAGCTGCCGCGAGTTCTAGCTGTTGCTCGTCATCCATTAATATCTTAATAGCACAAACTGCGGCCTCAACTGCTTCACTTCTTTCAGACTGCATAAGTGTTATTAGAGACTTCATGCATCCGGAGGCGGATGGACTTGTTCTAACGTTTTTATTCGAGAAAACAATAGAACAAAGTCTGGCAGCATTTATCTTTAACTCCTCTGAAGCAGAAGCAGATGATAAGATTTTGTTCACATTTTCCAGCAGACTTCCTTCCACGTCAATCAGAAGAG